TTGTACAGGAACGTGCACTCAGATACACAAATATAGCAGTGTCTTTCTGTTCCTACTTCCATATTCAAGTTTATGGAAATTTTGTTTTGAAAAATGCTGTCTCTCCTTCCTTGTGACACCCTTCTGTCTATTGGCACAGCATTTTCTCCCAGCTTGATTTATACGCTATGCCGACGGTTGTTTATCATGGCCACAATGTGTGACAGGTCCAAACTTTTCATCATAACCTCCATGAACTCCTCATCTTTCCTTGCTCCCTCCACAAATTCATCCAGAGAAAGTTCACCTGTGTCAGACACAAATAAAGGGCATCAGAATCCACATCTGACAGGAAAAGGAGTACAATAATCTAACTTTAGAGACCACTTACTATATAGGCACTGTTCTAAAGCACTGTCCTAAAGACCTCAGAGAGTCTTCTTAAGCTTTTATGAAACATCCCCAGTATCCAGACAACGCCTGCTTCCTTATTTTCCCCCATACAAGAGAAGAGGTACGTAAGAAAGAACAATAGAAGTGGGTAGCTAAGGAGTGGGATCATAGCATTCTTTTTGGCTCAACCTGTCATAATACTAACCTGCTCTATACTTGCTGGTTTCCAAGGATAAAGGGACTGACAGAAGGAGGCTGTGACATAGAATCAAATTGTTTTTATGTCCTAGGCCAAAAAGCCCTTGTAAGGGAGGCAGCTCAGCAGAGTTATTCTGGAATGACTAAAGAGCCTGTCAGGAATTAATGAACACCTGAAGTAGCAAGGAAAGAGATACCTCTCAGGGACATACAGGGACCACAGTGACACTTGACCAACTTTTGACTGAGCACTTTATGTTCTTGCTGTACTGCCCACAGCAGACACAGTGAAGAAACTCTGAACTTCAACATTAAATTGCAGTTCTTCCTTTCCATACTGAAGTACTTAGGAGCAGCTGGGGCCATTTGATAATATTTCCCACTTCTAACTGACATGAGCTACACAGCAACACACAAAAAGGAAAACAAAACACCACTCCAAAACCCCACTACGAAACTCATGCGGACAGAACAAAGCTGAGACCAGTACAGGGAACAAATCCTGTCACACTGATTATGTGTAATGCCAGAAGAAAAATCCTTTTTGGTCCATGGAGAACACATTACTGGCTGAGAATGCAAATAGAAATAAAATATGAAGTGAAGAGGCCTAAAGTTCAACCGAGAAAGGAAACATTTGATGTTACTCTGTAGAAGAGACTGTCTGAGCTGGATGACAAAGGCAGGAACCTTACCGTCGCCATTCACATCAATCCTGTCGAAGACTCGGTTGGTGAACTCTTCTGCACTAGTTTCATGGTCACCACCATTAATAGCTCGAATAGCCTAAAATAAAAGAGGAAGAGTAAGCAGCTGCTGACAACTCCCAGACTGATTCCACATGTCAGTAGAATAAGACACTCATGCCTGGTACCTTCCCCACACAAATGAACCAGTACCACAGGAAAACAAAGCACAAATCATCAGGCCTTATGGATGGCACTGAAGGGTGCAAAGGGAGCATGGCTCTGGAGCACAGAATGAGCAGCAAAACCCAGAGGATTGGCCTAATTCTGCTTAGGTACAGTTTAGGTGCTGTAGAAATGGTAGAATCAGAATCCACCTAATTGGTCCACTTTGTCCCACTTTGTGACCCTATGGTACACCAAGCCTCAGAAACACTGTCAAACACCTTCCACAATTGACATTATGAAATTCCTTTGTTATATGCTGTGGTAATTTATTTCTATTCTTACTTTCACAATTTTAATTTACATACTTCTTCCTGTGTGTTTGGCTTTTCCCTAAAGCTCACTGGAAATTCATTTTCATCTTGAGAAACTTTAAGCCTTATCCACTTCTGTTTGCTATAATTCTTCTTATTCATAACTACATAGTACAGAGTTCTCTTTTCTTCCAATGCTAATTATTTCCTTTGTTTAAGGATGTCCATGAAATATGTGATTTCAGAGCCTTTATACTGAATCTAAGACTATTCATTTTCTAGTTTTTCCCCTTTGATATTTGGTTATTTTATTAATTCTTTTTCAAATGCTATTTTACTGAAACTTATATCATTTCAGCAATTTCTTAAGGTTACCAAAAAAGACACTGAACTACATCCAAAAAAGACAAAGGACAATAAATTTCTTGCCACCAGTTGTTGCCCACAGGATTTGTTTCTCAAGAGCTCTGTGTTAACTATTGCTATCTGTTGCTTCACTGTAATGTTTGAGTATTTCTATTTAAAGCTACTAGTAGGAGGCTTTATGTTACTACAGGTATTGATCAGGTCTTTTTGATACCCAGCTCTAAAATTCTTATACAGATGAGAATGCATTATTAACATCTTATTAGTGCTTTATCAAATCAATTTTATGACATTTCATATTCAGAAATGCTATTTATTGAGGGTCATTGAACATTTCCTGCAATTACCTTGGTAATTTCCCATTATCTGCAAAATAATCTGAATTTGCAGCACAATTAATTCTGAGATATTTATAGTGATCTTTATGCCCATAACCCAACCCCATTCACAACAGCTATTTGCATACAATCCTTTCAAGTCTAAATCCTTTTTCTTCAGGGTATTCGTCAGAGTGAGAAATGTTTTATTATGTTAATATTTAGAAGCTGATTCTAAAAAGCAATCTGGGTGTGGCTCTCCAACTTCTCATGGGGAAAAGGACATATGAAGGACACACTGTAGAGATAGCAACTGAGAGTCACAGGGCCGGAAACCTTGGAAAGTGCAATTTAGGTCACAGGCAGCTAAAACAATTTTATGGTTAGCTATGCTGTAACATAAGATGTGGTGATAAAGAGTCTAAGTCTGCTTATTGCATTATACGGTGGTGAGGAATTCTGCTTAGAGAAGGAATGCTTTTACGGGTCTCATCCATGATCATCCATATGGGAAACAGCAAAGGTCTTACTTGTGTGATTTGTCTTTAAGGAAAGAGGCAAGAACATGACCCCTGGAGATTTACCTTGATGATGTTGAGCAGTTCATGTCGATCAATGCAGCCATTGCCATCTACATCATAGAGCTTGAAATACCACCGCAATTTCTGCTCCATCTTCCCTCGGAGAACGAGGCTGAGGGCAGCCACGTATTCCATGAAATCAATATATCCATCCTGTCAGAAAAAAAAAAAAACAACAAATTGTGACAAGAGTAAATTGAGGGAGATAATGCACTGGAGTTGTTTCACCTTATTGCTCTTTAGATTCACAGCTGAAAGAGAAAGGCCAACAAGTAGCACAGAGACTTTGACTTAGGAAAAATCTTTAGTGAACAGACACATGTTATTTCTCTAGCCACCAAATACCTGGGTTCCTAAAGTTATGATCTAGTACACAGAGCCTCCCCTCTGCTCACCACCTGCATCGAGGGAACCTGGTTGTCAGCATGAACAAAGCCCCCTCGGTACACCAAAGCTGACTGCCTTTGGGCTGCTGGGAGAGAACACTGAGCCCAGCCCATGGGCTGCAGGTTTCCTGCACTAGTCTACTCTGCCTTTGTGGGAAACTGCTATTCCACTAAGCCATAGATCTCTTTTCCATTCTGTGGAAAATAATGTGACTGGGAATATTTTGTAAAATACATAGAGTGTGATTTGATCACTGAAAAAAATGTTCAGTATTTAGGTTTTTAATATTTCATTTCTTGACTCTACAAAGAAAGTCAAAAAAGCTCTTGTTTCATCTGCAAGAAAAATGTCAGTTAGTAAAGGTTCATCAGCCCTAGATTTAAAGCCGACTAAAATGTGCAGCTGTTAAAAACAAACTACAAATAAAATACATATCTAGGTCAAAGATTCTGAATAACAATAATTCTTCAAGAAATAACAGAAAAAAAATGACATTTTCAATTATTAACGTATTTAATCAAAGTCAGATGCCTTTCTGAAATGGATGCAAATAAACATATATAAAAGGTGAATGCAGGTGAACTAGCAGACCACTGCTGTTTTGCAGCAAGGATCACCATGTTTAAAATACTCATTCAGGGTGGGAAGAAGGGTTGACAGGCTGAGAGAGTTATGGCAGGTCAGCCTGGAGAACAGAAGGTACCAGGGACACTTTGGTGCCTCTTCCAGTACTTAAAGGGGGCTTAGAAAAAGGCTGGAGGGGTACTTCGGACAAGATCGTGTGGTGATAGGACACAAGAAAAATGGCCTTAAGCTGAAGGTGGGCAGATCAGATTTAGATTCCTTTAGGAAGGAATTTCTGACTGTGAGTACGGGCAGGCCCTGGCACAGGGTGCCCAGAGCAGCTGGGGCTGGCCCTGGGGCTGAAATCCTGGCAGTGCCCAAGGTCAGGCTGGACAGGGCTTGGAGCAACCTGGGACAGTGGAAGGTGTCCCTGTCCATGGCAGGGATGGCACTGGGTGGTCACTAAAGTCCCTTCCACCCAGACCATTCCATGTCTCTATGACTCTGTGCTGCCCCTCCCTTCCCTGCCCAGCACTCAGAACCAGCCCCTCTGTGACAGCGGCCCTGGCCCGGGCACTGTGAGCACCACGAAGGCTGTGGGTGCTGTGGCGGTGGCCGCACTGGAGCTGACACCTCTGTTCTGGCTCTGCCACCTGTGCTGGCACGGATGGCTCTTCTGTGGCTGCTCATCCTGCCAGCCCTGGCCGGGCCCGTGTGGGGCAGCTGGGACACCTGCAGGTCAGTGGTCCCACTTAGCGAGTTCCCTGTAGGGGCCCCACATGTTCCTCACACCCACACCACAGTGTTCCAGCCTCAGTCCCTGGAGGAGAAGCCTTAGTCCCTGGCCCAGCCAGTGCCCAGCTACTGGCACAACCTGTCTGCAGGGCTGCAGTAGCATGAGGTTACAGATGTGCCCCTCGGGGGTCCTAAGTTTTCCTGCCATTCAACACTGGGCAGAAAGGGATGACAGGGGACTTTCAGCCTGAGTAGCAGCAGCCACCAAGAAGAACAGTGATGGCTTTGTGTTACAGACGGATTTGCAGGCTCCGGCCCACGGCTTCTGACCACAGCTCCATGGCTTCTGCTGCTGACACATCCCGTGTTGTGGATGGCAGCAGTGTCCAGCCAGGGGCCTGGCCCGGCATCGTCAGCATCCAGGCCACCTGGGAGAACGGCACGTGGCACATGTGCTCAGGTGTCCTCCTCAGCTCCCAGTGGGTGCTCACGGTGGCACACTGCTTCGCCAGGGCCGGGTAAGAGACAGCAGGGACAGAGATGTCCCCAGAGCACGGGCAGGTGCCCAGCTCACAGCACCACGGGCCGCTTCCCTGCCCACCTGGGCAAGCAGAAGGCCGGGAAATGCTGGGCTGCTGCAGCCCCTGGCTCTGCTCCCTGTCAGCCCTCTGTCCATCTGCTCCCCAGGGGCATCTCCACGTGGGAGGTGGTGATGGGGGCCTCAGACCTGAGACAGCCAGGCCCCAAGGCTGCAGTGAGACGCATCCAGAGGCTCCTGGTGCACCAGCACTACGTGCCTGCCACGGCCAGGAACGACATTGCCCTGGTGGAGCTGGACCAGCCCGTGGAGTGCAGCGACTACATCCAGCTGGGCTGCGTGCCCGACGCCTCGCTCAGGGTCTCGGAGCTGAAATCCTGCTACATCGCCGGCTGGAACTTTGCCAGAGGTGAGTTCCCAGCAGGATGTGTGCTCCGAGGGCGAGCCCCGGGGACACGGGCCGGGCACAGACAGAGTCCGGGCGCGGGGCGGCAGCGGGGCCGGGCTCGGAGCAGCCCGGGCTGGGCAAGGGCTCCATTCCCGGGCAGGGCATGGTGCTGCAGCGGGATGAGCTGTGGGCTCCCTGCTCACCCAAACAATTCCTGCTGGCCCTGGGAAGCCTCAGCAGGGACGGGTCTGGCCCCTTCCCCAGGCCAGCAGCAGGGACACAGCGGGACAGCATCGCTCCATGGGGAAGGGGCAGAACCAGGCCCAGGAAGGGGGTTCACCCCAGGCAGGGGAAGGGATGGGTACCGACATTCTCGGGGCTCATTTCCCTCTATGCCCACAGCTCAGGGATCAGGCATGGTGCTGCGGGAGTCCAAGGTCCACCTCATGGACACGGAGCTCTGCAACAGCAGCCGGTGGTACGCGGGAGCCATCCACCCCCGCAACCTGTGTGCTGGGTACCCACACGGCGGCATTGACACCTGCCAGGTATGAGCGTGTGATAAGTCCCTGAGCCCCTGGCAGCACAGGGACCCCCTCACCCTCCACTCACATCGCAGCCTGTCCCCTGTCCACCCCTTCCCTCCCCACATGCGGGTCCCCGTCCGATGTCCCCTTGTCCCCAAGGCCTGTTCCTGCCCACAAAGACCATCCAGAGGCCCCAGCAGACCCAAAGTGTGGATGTGACCCTGGAACATCCATCCTCCGCACATCTGGGACCCACGTGCAGAGATGGGAGAGCCCCCGACCTGTGCTGGGAATGTGGACCTGGCAGGGATTGGGAGACAGGAGCCAGCCCCGGGACTGGGGGAGAGGAGCCATTCTCGGGGCTGGCAGCACAGTCCCTGAGCCATCTCTTCTGGCACAGGGGGACAGCGGGGGTCCCCTCGTCTGCAAGGACAATGACGCTGACTACTACTGGCTGGTGGGATTGAACAGCTGGGGAAGAGGCTGTGACAGAGCCAGGCACCCCGGGATCTACACCTCCACTCAGCACTTCTACAACTGGATCCTACTCCAGACGGGCCTGAGCCCAGCAGAAAGAGCTGGTCCAGCACCAGAGCCAGTTGTCACCTCGACCCCTGAGCAGCCTCTGAAACCAGAGGAACACACCAACTTGACCCCTGAGTACAGCCGGAGACCAGCAGTGACATCCTCGGGCTCGTCACTGCCCATGGCATTCCCACACCAGTTCCTGGTGCAATTTTGGAATCTGCTGCAGGAATTCCTGCAGTTTCAGAAGGACAAAAAAGCCTGAGCAGCAGCAGGATGAGCAGGCTCCAGGGCTACAGTGGATCACGGCAGTTCCTGCTGGGCCAAAGGTAGCCTTGGGGCCAGAGGCTTCTCTGTCCTGCCCACGCTGCTGCGCTGCAGCCACAGCGATGCTGACGTGACTGAGGCGTTGAAGTAAAGTTTCTGTGTTCACCATTAACTGTGTTTTCAGCCCTGCTCAGTGCACTGGCAGGCCCACAGAGTCCCTGCTGTGTCCATCTGCTGTGTTCACATTCATTCTTCAGCCTGGAGAGGGCTCCGGGGAAACCTCAGTGCCCCTTGCCGTGCCTGAAGCAGGTTATAATAGTGGGGGAGAGCGGCTTTTTGCATGGGCAGGCCATGACAGGATAAGGAGGAATGGATTAAATCTAGAGGAGGGGAGATTGGGATGGTGGTGGGAAGGAGTTTTTACTCAGGGAGTGATGAGGCCCTGGCCTATGAAGTGTCCAAGGCCAGGTTGGACAGGGCTTGGAGCAACCTGGGATAATGGCAGGTGTCCCTGCCCATGGGAGGCGGTAGAATGAGATGACCCTTACGGTCCCTTCCAACACAAACCTTTCTATAATGCTATAATTGCAATTTATAAAAGAAGAATAATGAAAATTTATCCTCTTTGTTATCATCAAAGTCTTCAAAATATGAAGGTCCAGAGGGCAGGAGACTCCATCCATCATATCTGTATTACGACAGGGTGGATTTTCCTCTGAGTGCTCTTGCTCCTTGCCCTTGTTCATGAAAGGATCTTAGATTAAGTGACTAACTGTTAACAGACTAAGATTTACTGATGTAGGTCTATTGCCACTAGTTGCACATTTTTACCTGAGATCACTATCACTTTATTTAGACAATAGCTTTTCTGACCAAATTTGAATTTGAGAACCTTCTTATAACATTGTTTCCTGCATAACACAGGGCTCACAGGAGAACTCTGGAATGCACAACATCCTTGAATAAATTTTAAATTCCTTGAACATCCCAAGAAGGAAGAGAGGTGAAGTGAAAGAAAGACTTGTGCAAAAGCTGTAAAGGTTTTGCTTTACCTTATGAAACTGTTTCTCATCACTATTATCATCCTGGGCACAGAGGACTTTGGAATGAGAAAAGATATTCTCTGAGGTCTACAGCTATTTACAGTCATTACATCCAACACAAGACCTCAGGTACCCTAATGGAGCCTGTCTGCTGCTCTGCTTAAGAATTTTATAATATTCCTAAGCATTCCTTAACTCCTTATGCTGTCTCACATGTCCAAAATAACATTCTTTGTTGGTCCCTAAGCTTTCCTTCTTCAAAACTAACTCTGTGATTTCCCACCTGGTTGTCATGTCTCTGTGACTGGATCCTCCTTGACTCCATTTGAGAACCTTGGAGCAGAGAGTAAAGCTGAATTTTCCCAGGATGCTATAAATCCAGATTTCTTTGTCATTAAGAATACAGGCCTGCAAGCATACGCTGAAATACATATGGATAAAAAGCAGGCAAAAGTGAGGGCCATTGCATGCTTAAAGGAATTATGGGGGCTACTGTTTTCTACCAGCAGTCACCCATCACAGTGAGGAACACTGCCCACCCCCTCACTCCAGATTCATGCCGCACCTACTAGAACCAAGGAGAGCCACAGAACTTGTCTGCTCATGCAGTGTTAATTTCAGCTGCCAAATACCTGGAAATTACTCCTCTGTGAATGCTATAATGATTTCTATTGTGTCTGATTCCTGTGGTCTCCACGATCTCATACAGCTATATTTTTGAATAATAAGAACATGCAAGAAGAATTATTAAATTAGCATTTTGCTAGTTAAACAAGGCCAAGTCAAATAATTGGCAATAAGGAATTTTCAAAATTCAAATATGAACTTGCTCAAGGTAGTTAGATAATCAGGTGTACTTATGTTTATGTAATCTATGTTATTACCTGTACACATTCATTTGCTCCTTACATTTAGCTACTTTGCATAAGCATCCCTAGGCAGCTTTCCCCACCAGTGTTTGCAAAAGAAAATGTTTGCAAGAGAATATTTGTATTCTTTATGTTTGCAAGAGAAAGACAAAGACTCTGAAAGTGCAGGAGTTGGATCACTTCTAAGCAGCACAAGACAGTTAATTCCTTGCCAGAGAACTCACCTTGTTCATATCAAATGTGCGGAACATCTGCTCAATGTACTTATTGGCCTCTGGATCCAGCCCTCGAAGCCCAAAGAACTGCTTAAATTCATGCTCTGTCAGCTGTCCAGAAGGACACTCCGTCATGAATTTCTTGTACCAGTGGTGGATCTCAACAGCTTGTAGATCATCCACGGTGGAGCTGCTGTTGTTTCCCATATGTATCTGTGGTCACAAGGATGATGCTACAGGAATGATCCTCTTCCTCCTGTGGCTCTCACAGCACTGCCCGTTTGCTCCTGTCCATGCTCAACACCAATGTCAGTTACGTGAGGGATCTAACCTTCCGCAAGCCAATTATAAATGTTAATCTTCTTAGAGGCTGATCCACAAACCAGAAAGTTTCAATGATACAAACAGTCTTCTTAGAATGGAAAGGAGATGCAAGATAATCTAGCAAATCTCTGCTATTTTAGGAGCTAAAGCAGAAAGGGTGAGAAGGTTAATCAGACACTGGCATTGGGAGCTATATTGGTTTGGTATCCTATTTTTAATGTTGATATAATTATATGTGAAGATAAGAGGAAATGCCCACAAGATGTGGGCTGTGAGGTTAAGTAAAGATCTGCTCCTCTAAGTGGATTTGAGAGTCTGTTTTCTCAAATAGACATGTTGAATAACAGAGTGTGTAGGACCAGAAAGTGTTGCAGAAGTGGCCCAGTACAAGAGTGAGGTTATATGGGGAAAAGCACACATAAGGAGCACAGAGGAACAATGCAGGGGAACACAAATAATCCCCTGGTTTGGCAAATCCAAGAACCATCACAGAAATGCAGTCAACCCATGAAAGGCTCAACTGCACAAAGGGGAAGGAGCAGAGAGACAACCACAGGCTGGGCAACAAAAATTACCCAGTAAGAGAAATAAAGGCCCTGTCCCAGCTCCTTCCAAATCTGTCGCAGGGGACCCACCAGTCTCATGGGCCTAGAGGTGGCACCCATCATGATGAGTCAGTAGGAGAGGTTGCAGAGGACTCTACAAACTGTGTACTGCCTAGGGACATGGAAAACACTGTGTGGTCCAGGGCAAGAGCATTTGGGGACAAGACTCACAACAGGATGTTTAGGAGGGGAAAAGAAGGTGGGGAAAGGGATGGGTCTAGATGGCATGGGAATGAACAAGCATGAGAAAATGGAGGCAAGGGGAACAGAAGGGGCTGGTTGCATGTAGAATGGTGCTAATCGGTATGAATGTGTATCCATGCCTTGGGCCTGGTCATCACAGTCTTTCTTGTCTTCTAACACTCCTACCTCCTTTTTTTTTTTTCTGGCTGCACAGTGCTGTGCTCTGGGCATGTATATGCATGGGGCTTTAAGTGCCCACAACTGGATTGAGTGAGCTCATGTCAATCTATGATCACTAGTAAATGTCAAGCCAGACTAGTCAGCAAATAGGCCAAATAGCTCATGAAACAGGTTTGTGTGTCACTCTTAGTGAGACCACTGGAGTAGCTGACTATTAGACTGAGGGTGTAGGGTTGAGGGTGACCCACCTGTCTGTGTTTCTCTGCATCCTGAGCACCCCATCACATGCATTCAAGGGGCACCCAGTGTATGTGTCCGTTTGCAGGTTGTTGTGTGCAATGGAATCTGTACTAGTGGCTGTGGCAGGGTTGTGCACCTCGCAGGCTCCAGCATGTACAGGTGCCAGCAGCTGGGGAGACCAGGCGTCGAGAGGCAGCTGCTGGGTAGGCTGGATGTCTAAGCACACACTCTCTCTGTGCTTGCTATTGATGGACCTTCAGAATCACAGAATAGTTTTGGTTGAAGAGTCCTTAAAAATCATCTAATTACAGCCCTTGCCGTGGGCAGAAGCACCTCTGCTCCCCTGGAGACGGGCTGGCAGAGCTGGGGTGTTCAGCCTGGAGAACAGAAGGCTCCGGAGAGACCTTATTGCAGACTATCAGCATATAAAAATATTTTTATGTCAAGAGCTGTAGTACCAGAGCAAGGGACAACAGTGCCCATTTGCACGAGCGCAGCGTTGGCTTGGACATCTCCGGAAGCTCTCAAGGCCGGGTTGAACGGAGCTGGGAGCAGCCCGGCCTGGTGGAAGGTGCCTATGGCAGGGGGGTGGGACTGGATCATCCTTAAAGGGACGTTCCGACCGAACCACCGGACAACACCGCCTCCGGCGCTGCCCGCCCCGGAACGAGCCCCGCCCCTGCGGCCCCGCCCCTGCGGCCCCGCCCCCGCGGCCCCGCCCCCGTCGCCCACCGGCCAATGCGAGCCTCCGTTTCACCAACACCGCCTGTCCGGCCCGGAACGCCGCAGTGATTGGTCCTGCCTTGTTATTGGGCGGGAACCCACAGCGTCCTCGGGATTGGTCACTTTGTGCCATGTTGCAGGACAACCATGGCGCCGAGGCAGCTGCTCCGTGGGATTGCCTGGCCGTCACGTCTATCTTTCATCCACCGCAGTTGATTGGTACCTCTGCGCCGGGGGCGGGGCCCTGCCGGAGGCGGAAGTGGCGGCGGCGCGTTCCGGTGCTGAGGTGGCGCGGCAGAGCGGTTCGGCGGCAGCGGGAGCTCCTCGGCGGGTTAGAGCCGCCCCTCGGTGCTGACCCCCCCGCCGTGCTGCAGGTCAGTGCTTCCCCCCGCCCTGGGTGCTCTCCGCCTGCCCTGTGCGCACCGCGGGCTCTGCCGCCCGGCCCTCGGCGGCAGTCGCTGGTCCGACTCCTGTCGTGGCCATGCGGGGCCGGAACGCGTTGGCAGCTCCCCTGGGCCCGGGCCGTAAGGGGCGGTGGGCCGGGGCAGGCCTCTCGCTCTGGGCTTTGCGTCCCGACCCAGTCCCCCACCCGCTGGTGGGACGCTGCCGGCTGTGCCCCCAGGTACCGGGAGCGCAGCCCCACGCGGGGAGGTTCGCACTCCGCGGGGCCCGCCGCAGGCCTGCGGTCCGGTAAATCTGCGGGGCTGCTGGGGCCCGTCGGCGCTGCCCGCCATCGCCGTGGCGGCAGGAGCCGCCGCTCCGGGAGCCTGCAGGGCGCTCTAGTGCTTCCCGTCCCTCCCGGCTTTCCTTGGAACCCCCTCCGCGCAGCGTGAGAAGTTTGGCTCAGGGCTTGTGAACAGCAGCAGTGCTTTTAATACGTGTTTGATTTTAAACGAAGGGAAGTGCAAGGAACTAACTTCATTTGTGTATAATAAACTTATAGTATAATAAATTAGGGAAGAACATTGTCAAGTCTTTCTTTGCTGTGGCTGATACCTAAGGATAGAAATGCGCTGCTTACTGCAGGCTGTGCAGACTAGCAGTGGGCTTCGACTGTTTGCGTCAGGGATGTGTATTTCAGAGAAAAGGAGCCTACTCCAGATCACTGCTGATCTGTAGTTCCAAAGTCTCCCCAGCAAAAGTTCATTAGGCACAGGAATGCTGAGCAAAAGTAGACAATGTAAAGGATCCTGGCACATCCTGAGCACTGCGAGGGTCCTTGTGTCCTGCTGTTCATTATAGAGGTGGGAATCCATATGTCAGTGTGAGCCTGGGAGAGCACCAGTCTTGTCTCTGAGAGCACTGTTTGCTTTATTGGGGTGAGGCAGTTGAACACCGAATAACCTCTGTCCTTTCATGTTTGGCATTGTATAACACCAGGATATTCTTGCCACAAGTCCTTGAGGCTAATGCACAGGACAGCCACTGCGTTCTGTGCAGGCTGTTGGCTTTGGGACAATTTAAAAGCCATGTTATGCTTGTTCCTGGTTTTGTTCTCAGGGAGGGCTCAGAGAAGGCAGAGCCAGGCTCTTTACCGTGGTGTCTGGTGAAAGGATGAGAGGTTGCGAGCATGAACGTGACACACAGCTGATTACCTTGATCATCAGAAAATACTTATTCACTCTGTGGCTTACTGAGAACTGGCACAGGTTGTCCCGGGAGGTTGTGAAGCCTCTATCCTTGGAGATATTCAGGAGCTACCTGCACAGCTTCTGTTTGAGCAGGGAGCTTAGACCAGATGACCCCCTAACTTCAGCCAGTCTGTGGTTCTTTGATAAGATTCTCCTCGAGCCTTTTATTTATTCATTTGTGTTTATTTATTATTTATGTTGTCCTCAACTGAATTTTTTCCAACAAGTTCCCACCTCTTGTTCTGTGGTGCCCGGAAGAGGACACGTTACTCCAGACTTGGCCTCCCCAGTGCCTGGTAGAGAGGAAGGATCACCTTCCTCCTGCTGCAGCCCAGGATGCTGCTGCTGGCCTCTGTCACAAGGGTGCATCGATGGCCTAGGTCAGTTGTCTACCGCAATCCCCAGCGTCTCTCTACAGTGCTGCTTTCAGAGATGTGATCTGAGGGATGCTGTCTAGAGCAGTGACCCACCTAGGCCCGTGTTTTCCCTGTTTCTTCTACACAGACAGCAAACCTGTTGCTGTTTACAGAATTGTAGAATCACTGTTTGTTTCCCATTCACATCATTTGCCATATTTGGCTGACCTGAGAATATAAATTAAAAATTAATTCAAAAGACATGAATCTCTAAGACTGCCTTTCAGGTTGTTAATGTTCACATCCGTGCAAATAGGTGCAGATGGTTCCTCTGTTTGCATTTTTAAGGAGGTCAACTGTGAGCCAAACCCAGCAGGGCTTACTAGCTTGAGGGCGGTGTCAGGTTAATGTGGCCAAGGTGGACAAAGGCCAAGCAATATTTTCTCAATTCAGGTATGCATGCCTGAAATTGTAGTGCCTGTAGCATGCAGTTATGTGCTGAGGCCCATGCCTAGATTCTGCTTCTTTTTCATATATCTAATACCACTTCTAATAATTCATCTATTGGTTCTCTCAGTCCCAGCCACATATTTTGGATTTCTGACTTTAGGAGGCTGTGGCCTAATGCTCAGTTGGAAGATCAGATCCATCCTCTTCAAGTGTTGGAGACAGTTAGAAAGAGGCGTTCTTGCATTTGGATGGCTCTTTTCTAAAATGCACCATTGCCAAGACAGCAGGTTTGGTTCCTCACTGGGGCATCGTGGGAGTGATAGTTTACAAAACTATAAATACTTTATTATTCTTATGATGGATTCCAGACATTCCAGCTCTCCACATGAGTATCTCATATTACCTCATTGGTGAGCAGTTGATGTTGTCAGAAGAAATCTCCCTAGCAGGAGGTGTAAAGCTGTACTGTTCTGGAATTCCATGCCTCACGTCTTGCCCAGGGCTGGCTGAGAAGCGAGCAAAGCACCAGGACTTGTTTCAGTGACTGCTGTGTTGTTGCAGTACATTAACAATCCTAGCATTTTGACTGTGCTTCTGGAGGAGTTGCATCCCTTTGAGCTCTTTGAAGGAGCCTGTGTGAGGCCTGGCCTCTTGCTGCATGTCTTTTTGCTACACTAGCTGCTGCTGGAGTGTTTTATTCCCTGGGCTGAAGAGACTAAGCCCATGCTATGCTGTGTGAGAAACCAGGGAATGTCTGCAAATGCATGTTCCCAAACAGAGCAGACTTGTCACTTTTCATGTGTATTGCCAGTGACTGACTAACAGTTCTGGAATGTACTGTGTAGGATGAAGGATGGGCTTATTTCTTTATTATTGGATAATTTATTTTTTGTTGTTCTTTTTTGCTTCTCTCTCCATCAAAAGTCTTGGTTCATGCAACCTGTGAGTACTCTAGAAATAATAAGGAATGGCAAGAAAGACCAGTGTGTGACTGCTCTACCTTGGAAACATCACTATTGAATCAGCAGACCCATGAGCTCCTTGGAGTACAAAGCAGGTTAGTAGTATTGATATGCTCTTTTCTGCTATTGATGCATGACAATGTGCATTGTCATGTTTTCTACTTCTACCAAATCGGGTGACTTCTACAGATGAATAATGCGCTGCTTCTTTCCAGTGTCAGTATTTTCACACATTTAAGTGGCAATCTAAGGCCAAAGATTTGCTTAGTAAGACAAGGGAGGTCACTTAACGAGTGGATCTGTGTAGCCAGCTTCAGGAACCTGCTTCTAGTGAGGCAGAGACATCATATTAAAAGATTCCATTTGATGGAGATAATTTTAATAATGTAAACTTGATCTTATAGCTAATGTGAGTTTGCCTAGTTTCAGTGTGCAATACTGGAGTATTGGCGTTTGACCAATATTACAGACGGGACTGCCTTGGTCTGTCTGGCCTCGGCTGCTGAACCAAATAGCGGCACCTGTGGTCCTTCCTCCCAAGAGGAAGGATCTGTGGGTGCAGCTGAGGCACGTGGAGACAAGTCCGGGCACGCCCCAAGCTCCAGAGCTTGCGGGCTGCAGCTTGCTGCTGAGGGGGTCACTCCTCAGGCCTTCCCTGAGCTGGAGAAACCTTTGAGGCGAGGTGAAGAAAGGAGCGGGTCCTGATGGAGAGTTTTTAATCCAGAGTTCTTATTTTGGTGGCATGACTTCTGAATCTTGCAATAACTCCACTGAACTCTCCTACCAGAACTCTCCAACAGAACCCCAACTGCGTGGTCTGCTTGTCCTTTTACCTGGGTAGAGGGGCAGGGGAGGGAACACAGGGACCACTAACCAGGCACAGGGGGAGGAGGTCTCAGGTGAGAGGGACACCTGGGTGGGCCAATGGCCCCCCAGGGGATGGAGAACATCATTTGAACCTCCCAATTGCTCGATGCTCCTCTTGGAATTTCTGGGTTGACAGACTGTGCCCAGCAGGGATCAAGGGTGGGGAAAAGGAGAGGTGATTGACACCCCCCCAGGGAAAGAAATTTCAGGGAGAAATCAGGGGAAACTGAGGCAAATCATGACATCACACCTCAACACTGGAGCTTCTGTAATTGTACAAATTATTTTGCCACTTACAGGCATGGACAGTTCTTTGGCCTTTGTGCTCAGAGATGTCAAATGTCACAGGTGACCTCTTTTTATACAACACTAGAATGATGATTCTGTGATTCTTAAAGTAATTTGGGAGTTCAGTTGGTCAAATCCTTTGCTCTTAGTGTGTCTAACATAAAAAATGAGATCAGATTGCTATGAGTCTAATACAGTATTTTAACTTCTTCCCTGTGCATTTTTTCCTTATTGAAATTGCCTATGCTGCAACTTGTGTCCTCTGCCTTGTGTCCATCCTAGGTGGACCTTGTAAGAGGTGTGTGACTCTGTCTTCAGCTACCTTATGGGTGGTTGTAGGGAGGACAGCAACTGTATCCTACTCCTCACCTGCTGTTCTCATGGCTGAGCAAGCCCAGCGCTCTTATACTCTCCACATGCCTTGTACAGCAAACCCCACTCATCCTGGGGGCTCTCTGCTCTACTTGCTGTACTTCACTGTTTTGAAAGTGGGCACTCTACTTCAAATGTAGTCTTACAGGTGTGAATAGAGAGGAACAATTGCTTTTCTCGACCTGCTGCCTACAGTCCTCCCAGTACAGCTGAGTGTGTACCTGACCTTGGCTGTGAGCACACTGGTGGCTTGTGCCATGCTTGGCCATCAGCACTTGGAGCTTGTCTTCTGCAACACAGTTGTACAGCCAGTTGCTCCTCAGCTTGTGCCACTCATGCTTTTCCCATTCCAGGCATAGGAAAGGCATTCTACCTTTCCTGAACTTCACGATGTTTCTATCCATCTGTTTATCCAGCCTGTTGTTATCCTCCTGATTGGCAGCTCTATACAAAGGCTCATTTGAATTTGGTGAATTTAGTGAGGTCTCAGTTAATAATAGAGAATTTAATTTACTGCTCTCCCCAAGTTATATGTTGCTGGCTGGTACTGCTGCATGTTTTTTGGTTCTTCACTTCCACTTGCTGGATTAGTTTGGCTCCTGAATTTCAAGGAAATGGAAGAAGGTGTACTAAGAAGCAGCCAGTGCATCTGTATCCTCTCCAGGCTATTCCCCTATGTTGAGGTCCTGTCCTGTATGTGACATGCAGAGGTCTCATCATCTCTCTAATGTGACACATCTGTATCTGTTTAGCAAACATCAAGGCTCAGGCCATTATTTCCACTACTTATTATCGGAAAGCTGATTTTATGTTACAGGCCTTATAGAGAAATGATGTCATTTAACAATCCCCTTTCTTTTCAGTAAGCTGAACAGACTGTGGTTCTGTAATGTCATTGTTAAGAAAGATCAAGAATGAACTATGAAAATGACTTAGCATCTGGCATAAAAGTGTATTTTTCAATCATACGTGTGGAGCAGTGAAGGAATCTTCATGTGTCTTGACACCAGCACATCCTGTGCTTTAATATTCAGAGGGTCTGGCTGCTCCTGTTAACGTGACCATTCTTTTTTTCCTGAGGCTTTACTTTGGCTTTTCTCTCTTAGCAAAGGAGACAAATTCCTACAAGCCTGGTCACCAACTGCTGCAACATTAGAGATCAGCATAAAGGAGCTTATTCTTCATAGCAGTTTTGACTCTGGAACTCTATTCTGACTCTTGGTTTTCTTTTAGGCTTAAGATGCTGAGCCGTTTGTCAGGTTTAGCAAGTACTGTTTTACAAGAGCTGTCTGGGGAGGATGGAGATGCAGTTACTGAACCATCTATTGCTGTAAGTACAGTGTTATCTAAAGACTTTCAGATCTTATTCACAATTAATTTGGGAAGCATGGTTCATTACACTGCAGTGAGAACTGTCTCCTGCTTCTGCCTTGCTGAGCACTAGACCGAGCTGTCATTCCAGTCTGCTTTTCTTCTCGCCTCTTAAGTCAGCATTTCTGTTGGGCAGACCGTAATCTCCTCAGTTTCCACATCTCAAGGTGATCCCAGGAAACAAACTAGAATTAGGGTGAAGAAAGACTTTTAAGAGTACTAGTGATTGTGTGTAGCACAAGCGGAAGCTTGGCACGGTTGGGTCACAGTGGGAGACTTCATCTTTGTGCTGCCCTTTGGTATTGAGACTGTGGATAGTATGTGAGGGTGCCTCTCGTTTCAGATTTGTTCATGTGGTGTTCAGCAAGGTACTCTTTGTTTTTGTGTGTTGGCTTAAAAGTTCTCTGACTTTCCTCCTGGTTTCATCTAACTGTATAGTTCTACAGGCTTCATGAAATCCTGCAGGGAGCAGAGTGCAGCACTGAGGACTGGAGCTGAAGCTATCATGTGGATGCTCTTCTGCAGGCTGTTAATAGTTTTTTTTTTCCTTCAGAGCACTCATTTTGTTGTTTCAGGTAGAAGCTTTGAAGTCAGAAGCAGAAAGCATGGAGGAGGCACCTGAGGAGCTGTTGGAGCGCCTAGCCCAAACAGAAAAGCTAGTTGTTCAGCTGAAAGATTTGATTCGAGAAAAGGATGCCCTGCTCCAGGAAAAAGAAACTGTGTTCAAGGTACCATTTCTTTCTCTGAGGACCAAAAGTTAAATGCTGCTTCAGTCTTCTGTGCAAGCCTGTCTCTGGTTTCTTTTGAACATGAGATACCTGCGTGATGAATGGCATCAGTTCCAGAGAAATATTGGAATTTGAATAATAGACCCTAAGAGATGTAGAATATGTTCTCTTAGTTTGCTTGGGTTAATTTAGACTAGAGTTACATCTAAGTTACATCCAAGTTACACAGCATTTTGTCTCAGAGCCCTTTGAGGCCCATGCAGATTCCCAATGGCTCTAATAAGTCCTAATATCTTGCGTGAGGTTGTTCTTTCCCCGCTTCAGAGTGTTTGCACAGAGAAGCCTGTGCTGCGCTCATCCACTAGTCCAGTGGTTTCATTGGGACACATTCCCAAAAGGTACATGTTGTCCACCCTAAGGTATGGTGGGAGTGGGGTTACTTGAGATAGTTCTGAGGGACTGCATGTAGCAGAGAAAGTCAAACCGAGTTTGTATTCACTGCTGGGTGAAGTCCCTGAGTGCTCTGTTCCTTGAAAGGAAGTGCTGGGGTAGAAGCTACAGTGTTGGTATGTGTGGTGTTTCAGAACAAATTTGGTTTGCAGATGTGTTTTAGATAGTGCTGTTACTGGGGAGGCAGAGTTAAACAGAATATGGCAGGCTGACAAACTGCGTAGCTTTTTCAAAGTGGTTCTTCTTGGGTAGCAGCACTGGAGTCAAGGCAGTCAGTTTGTGTCCTTCTGTTACAGAAAGAGCAAGAGGCCGCGGATGCCAAGCTGATGAAACTTAAACTTCAAGCCAAAGCCAAACTTGCCTCTCTGAACAAACGCATCGAGGAGCTGACAGAGAAAGGATCACCACTGCCTACACAGGTAGGCCTTAGCAGAAGAGCTGGAGTATCCCAAGATTAGGAGAAGGGGGCTATTTAAAAGATGTAGCTTCTACTGATAATCTGGTACTGCCTGGTGTTTCAGCTCACAGTGACCCAGCAGGGTCTATCTGTCTTATTAGCAGGATATTCGTAATTCCAGCAAGGATGTCTGTGCCTGTGCTGTAGGAAGCCTGTCTGTCCACCTTCCCTGCACTGCAAATGCCCTTGGAGTGCTCAGCTTGATCTCCTCAAGGTCATGGGCTGGTTTCCCTCTGCATAGTTTTGGTAATCCAGTGTAGCTGAACTCTTTCCTGCAGAAACTGTGTCTATCTGAGCTGTGAGTTTCAAAATGTTGCCTGTCATGTCAGTACAGCAAAGGTTGGCTGGAGTACAAAAACAAAGAGGTAAAGAGGTCGTTGAAACTGGAAGGCAGTAACTTAAATATAAAAAAAAAAATTTTTTCCAGTTGTGTAGCTTCCTAAGCCATCATAAAGTTTTATGATTGAAAAACCATAATTGTGTAACGCTAGGTAAAACTGGGGGGAAAACATCCTCCATGAAGACTTTAAAGAGACTGTTAGCTACTAACTAGAAGCTCTCACTGGAGCTGGTAATTTTTGAAAACTTGACATGTGATCAGCAGAATAATGCTTTCTTTAAAAAGTTGGTCATATTATGGAAGAGAAATGGGACAGAAGTCCAGAATGGTTTCCAGACATCAGATGATGTTCATTAAGCCAGAGAACATAAAGGTTATTTCAGATATTGAAAAAAATATTAAAATATTATGGGAAACAATAAAAGGTGCTTGTGAGAGCTGTCAGATGAGAGGTGACTATTAATGAAGATCAGTTCTATGACTTGTGCTGGCTGTTTTTGATAGAGAGCATCATAAAATCATAGAAATGTGCTTCTGTAATTCCCAATACCAACTTGAGAGTCTTTCTCAATGCAAAGCACGATCTGGTTTCATACATGAAGAATTGGATGATCTCAAGGACTGACATAATAGAAAAACGAAGCAAAATTTAACCAGTGAGTGGTCAAGCATGAACAGCATTCCCTGGCTGTAGAGACCAGTGAAGGCCACGGGAGCTGTTTAGCTGTGTTACTTGACATTGCTGTCCTGGTGCTGAGGCTCTTTTTCAGCTTATCTATCTGCAGCATGTGTGTGTAACATCCGTGTTCTGTTACATGACTTTGTGTAGACTTGCTGTTGAGGAGTGGTCAGTGTTCTTGCTTCAAAATTCAAATTTATCAGTTGAAGAAGGCAAAATGAGAGAAAGCTGATCATCAGTTAATTGGTGCAATATAGATTTTAAAAAGAGACCTTACCTTTTTTACATACCATTCTAGCTGTTCTACTGAGAGTGGCGAGGCCTTACGTGCAGTGTTGTCATGTTCTGCTCATTTGGAATCAGGAAAGATAAGTTCTGAGAGCAGCAAGAGGCTTTTTGTTCTCCCATCATATTAGTAGCTGCACTTGGGACACATTCAAACAGCTTGGTTATTTAGTCAACCAAAATCAGAGAGGAAGTGTCATTTCTCTCTACAGTTGTATGAGGAAGGTGAGCTTCAAGAGGGCAAACTGTTAAAGGATAATGCAGATGAATGGATGAATGTAAGTTAGCCATTAAGAAAAATGGCCTTCTGATTAGAGGAATGAGGGCTTGAGACAGTCTCCAGTGGACATGGTATGGACCACAGCCTTATTTGGTTTGGGTTAGAACATAGTTTGAGTGAAATTATGTTAGGGCAGTTACCTGCAATATTTTGTGTTGGACCCAGAAAGCACTAGCTTATTTCTTGCAAGGTTAGACCTACTGAGAAGATACAGAGTCCTTTATTCAAACTTATTTCTCCAAGTAGATGCTGTCTTGAGTAGTGGGAGTATTTCCTAGACAGTTACCCTGCCATTTGAAGGTGAAAATTCTAGGTTAGAGTTGCATATTATGCTGAAGTATTGATTATTAGCAAAGGACTGGGTTTTTTCTCTCGATGATGTGGACCCTGTGGGAAGGCTGTATTTTAAATATCTAACTAGTACTATTACTTTCTGGGCTTTTAGCAGAGTGCCTTATTTTGAGAGGAATAAAAATATCAGTTTATCTCCTCCTCTCAGATAGTATTTGTGTACAGAACAATTGAGGCTCCTCTCAAGCTTTTGAAGTGGGTAAAGATAAATTATGTTCAGATAGAAGAGCTTATACATCTTGGAAAAACATAGTATTTAAAAGCTTGAGCTCTTTGTGGCTGTGCTACTGTCCTTACTTGTGGCACTCCATGTAATGGTCAGTGTAAGAGGCTTTTTAAAATCCAGCTGTATCAATCCTGAAAGCCAATTACAAGTAAGCAAACTAATCCACCTGTCTTCCCCCCAGCAGTTCCTCTGCCCCAGTCTTACAAGTTATGTATATCCTGGCTTCTTAGAGCTTTCTGCATATCTAGTCTTTATTTTTCTCTCTTGTTCTATTTCTAAATTGAAGTGCAACTGAAGCTTCTTTGTCTGTCTGTTCTGCCTCCTGCCAATTACATTCTCTGTAGGTGAAACAGCTTTTGAGGAACAGTAGCCTCCTACTCTTATTACACTAATGTATAAGTACTTTAAAAAGCCTTCATAGTATTTTCAGATTGAGTTTAAAGACATAAATATAGAATGTAGAATTCCTGTGTTATTGATGGTGTTTGACCCAATACCTGCCACAAATAAAACGGAAAATATGTATTTTATATACATTCAGTACAAAATACCCAGCACTGTGTACTGACAGTAGCTGGAAGTGCTGCGATAAGAATGTACAGCAGGTTTTGTCTGCTCAGGGACAGATGGTGAGGGACCTGCCCTCACCCAGGTGTGAAGAGCTGTGGGTTCAGGGACCTGTTCTCACCCAGGTGGAGAGACAGAGAGAAGAGTGCAGGTGTAGTGTGCTGGGTTGTCTGAGTAGACACAGTGTAAGCACATTTTATGTGAGCTGTTGTTTGTATTTCTTGGTTGTAAACAAAGGATTTAATACTTCAGAGCAGAGTAGAACTGATAATTGTGTGCCTGTTTCCTTCTTTGCTTGTATCTAATAAGTTCATTGCTAAAATTGTGTAGTCTGAAGAGATTTCCATAGGCATTTTCTGTAGTCTAGAATGTCTACCCCTTTGTCACATGGAGAATATTCTTCTGTAATTAATTTTAAAATGTTTTTATTTCTGGTATTAGAGAAATTTGTGATGTTAAAAAGCCTCAAAAATCAGGTTAGTCATATAACAACTAATGTATTTCATAATCTAATTTGCCTTAGATTATATAGTGAGTAGTCATGGACTGTTAGCCCTGCCAAGTGCTTTGACACTTCTGAGTTAAAAGCATCTTGTGCATCTCTACACAGAAATAGGGAAAATAGTTACTTAATGTAGGACAACTTCATTTAAAGAAACAAATGTAAAGTTAAGAAATGAAGCAATGTAGTAAAAATAGTCATCTGATTAGGAGTAAAGAGTAAAGTAGCATTATAGTGTATTTTTTAAAACTTATTTATTAACCAATAATACTGATAAGTTTACTTTCTTCTGTTTCTTTTCTTTCCACTTTTTTTCTCTTGCAGTGTCAGAAATATGAAAATACAAGTGAAGGGCACAGAGAGGAAGTGGAAGTACTGAAAAAGCAGCTCAGGGAGCAAGAGGAGACTGTTCAGGACCTGAAGAAACAGCTGGCTGTAGCCAAAGTGAATCTAAAAGATGCTGAAATCAAGTATTCAACACAGGTACAGAATTTTTTTTCTATTAATCGGTCTGTGTTTCCCACCTCACTGCTTAGACTAGTATAATCGAATAGAACAATGCTTACACAGCTGGTCTTCAATTCCCTTACCTCAATTTTGTTAGTCTTGTGCCTCCTCAAATCACCTAGGTCCATCCATTTCACTGCCTTTGGCTCCTCCTTCAAACATTACCTAAATTTTTCACAATCCCCAAATGATCTTTTCCTGCCCTTCCTCTGCCCCAGGCAATAACCACCCTTGGTGCAAAAGGTGCTCTGCAGGTAAGAGATGGGTTTCACCCTTGGACAGCAGGACTGATGGCTCTCTAAGGAGGGGGAAAACAGTCCCTGGAAAGGCCTGGATAGGGTGTCCCTTCCTCTGAGTCAGAGTTTGGGTTCTTCCCTACCTGCCATCACCTCTCTGCGTTCTGCTGTGGGTGTGCAGGGCAGCTGCTTATCACAGGATGTCACAGCGTTAATGCTATGTTGTAGTTATTTGTGGAAAGTTTTTTTTTTTAATACTCTAAATTGCAGGTTTGGCTTTTGAACTGTGAATTGGGCTGCATCCTATACAGTTAAAAGCCCAGAGGTTTTAGGAACTGTTAATTATATAGTAATAATTTATTTTATTATTCTGCGTATTTGTAGATTAAATTCTATGCATTTTACTTTCTGGGTTCTGAAATCTTATCAGTTGTTATACACATAATAGTAGGATAAACGCACCAAGTAAAAATACTGTTTGACCAAGATGATGTGTAGGATTGTCCAGCTGAAAACTCCATCACACACACAATATGGTGGTGCATGTTCAAAGCAAGCCTATGTGTCTGTCAGCTTCATGACCTTGTTGGTTTGTTTTTATTTTGTGGCTTATGTTTTCAGCTGAGTTCCCTGCAGGAAGTGATTCGAGAGAAGGAAGCTCTCCTGGAAGAGCATGTGCACCAGCATCAAGCTGAATTGCTCAAGATGGTGGTCCAGTCAGATACGGAAGTAGAGATGCAACAGGTATATTTGGTATAATAATGGGAGGAGGAAGGAAAACAGAAGACATTCTGAAAGAACAGTTCTCGTTAAAGTATCTCAGAAGGGATAAGAAGAAAGATGCTGTGATTGTTTGGAGTTTTTTGGATTGCTAGCTGGGGCTTTGAGTCCTTAGTTTCAGTCTGCTGGTTTGCTATCAGTCAAAGAGAAAGAACAGCTGAAAAAAGTGTTACAATATTGTGCTCCAGTTCCCTGTTCATGAAGCAAAGTAAGCTCCTCCTACTGCACCAGGGCTCTGGAATAGGTGTCAACAAAAATTAGTTAATTCAGGCTATGAAAGTAGCTGTGGGAAAAAAAAAAAAAAAGAGCAAAGGCATATGGATGAAACATGGGAATCTAAGTTTACACTGGTCTCTCCAGTGCTGGAATGGCCTTGTCTCTCTCACAGAACCTGCACACACTTCAGAGAAAGCTCGAGGAGCAGGAAGCAGCTCTGTTAGGACGAACTCAGGTGGTAGAACTGCTGCAGCAGGAGTTACACACTGCTGAAAAACAAAACCAGGTATCTGATCGTGCTTTTAATTGCTTTACTCTCTGTGTGTGCGCGTGTGCGCGTGTCTGGTGGATAGGGCCTTTGTCAGTGGTTCAGAAGTTACCAGATCAGGTTTTTTTTGGAACCAGCTTTCCATCATGAAATCAGCTAGGGCTGCCCTCCCTGGGTCAGGCATTAGAGCTGCAGGTCCGTGTGCACAGCTCACAGCAGCTACAGCCAGACAGTGGGTGCTGTGGTTGCCAGCTCTAATGATCCAGGGCAGGTGAACAGGGTCTACATCTTTCCATACCCATGCTGCTGACTGTACTTTCAAAGCCAAATACACAAACCTTTGCCAAAAGCAGAAATGCCTAATACAGTGCTGCTGAAGCCTCAGTGTTTCTGGACTGCAGTGTCCAGGCCAGATCAGAGCAGAAACAGTTATTCTTTGGTATGTCTTGCTGAGAACTTGCATATATGGTGGCACAACTTGTGGAGTGGGATTGGCTCTTGCTTCATCAGTTTGGAGTGTGAAGACAATGAGATCAAGTCTGTGCATATATGACTATATGGACACAGGCTCCTTGAAATAAGATTAAGAACACAACCTCTTAAAAGGTTGGTTTGCAGATAGAGGATGAGTGTATTTTTTGTTTTTCCAATATCTGAACTTCTGAAAATTCTCAATCCCTTTAGAAGAGACTTACACTGAATCGGTCATTGGCTGCATGATCACCAGCCAGTCTAATGCTGAACCTCATTTTGATAGTTTTTACATACTTGTGCCCCACGTATTTTCTTTTGCTCTGTGTCCCAGCCAGGACCACAATGGTGGATCCTCTTCCTACAGAGAAAGAGGTAAAGAACCTCAGTGAGCTGACTCGTACTCACTACTGGCTGCATTACTCACCAGGGTGTATCATGGGGTACTGACATGGATATCTTCATGAGATGGTGGTTTGCTTGGCTGGTTGGAGAAGCTCCCTTGGCTTCTCCTTGGTGTCTTTGACTTCCCTCATACATTCTGTGGTCTGAAGGAGACCTGGTGTAGGTACAAACTTGAGGCCATGTGGCTGAAGCCTACCCATAAAGTAAAAGGAGCTCCTCATCAGATTCCTCCTGAAATTAGCTGTGCTGACCATCCACAGCTCCAGTAGGAGGAAGTTTGACAACAGGAGTTTGGGCAAGTGTAAGGTTTGTTCCTGTCTCTTGGTCTGTCAGTGTTGACCAGAGGCTTCTGAGATCTTTCTTAAGGCGGTAGGTACTGAGTGGAGCCCTCTGTTATCTCCAGATTCATATTTCAGCATTCCCCTTTTGCTGTTTTGGTTTTTTTTTTAATTCTATTCTGTAATTGTTGAGTTCTCCCTCATTTTTTGTAGCTCTTCCTCCCTTTTTTAGGAAGTTTGCTTTCTTCTAAAAGAGAGCTCCTGACCACTGTTCTATTGCTTATTTTCTCTAAATTCCCCTCCTCTAAATCAAGACTTACCTTTTCTTTACCACAGCAATGAGGAGTTGTTTCTCCCAGCATTGCTTTCTTGCAATCTCCAAATTGTGGGTCAGATTCTTTCTAACAAATTGAAATTTCTGACGTGTTTGTTTCCTCCCTTCTGCTACTCAGGTATTTTAAAAGGATTTAATGAAAACCTTAGAATATAATTCAGGTACTTTGCTTTGTCAATGTATATAACTAGTTCAGAGAGAAATTAATTTCTGTATCATTTTACAGACGCTCCTAGATCGGTGCCAGAAGATGGAAGTGGAACTAAGCTCCATGAGGGATGTGTTAGATGCAGAGAGACGAGGGTCTCAGGATCTCAGGGAGAAGATGGAGCTGGAGCTAGCAGAGAGGAAGCTGTCTTCCCATCGCTTGCAGGAGGAGGTGCAGTGTCTCTCAGAACAGCTGGAGGAGGCAAGAAGAGCACAAGCTGAGCTAGAGGTGAAGTATAAAGGCCTGGAACAGGAGCATAGACTGGAGGTGGAAGAGAAAAACCATCTGCTCGGTCGTCTCACGGTGGCTGAAGAAGAGCTGCGATGTGGCTGTGCTCTCCGTGGGGCTGAGAAGGAGCAGCTGGAGCAGGACGTTGGCCAGCTCCCAGTGCCATCTGTGGGACATGGAGCTGCAGCACACGGACCACGGGGTGAGCAGGCACAGCAGATAGGTGGAGCAGGTCCTCAGGAGCCTGAGTGTCACTGGGTTGCCTTCTCTTCGGCTTTGCTTTTATAACAGTTCATAAGAATGGCTTGATGTAACAATTCCTAATTGCACAGGGACACAGGATGGTGGTGCTGTCTCAAGATAAGGGGGGCTAGTTGGATCCCACCATTCTGTCTTTGGCAGCTGCAAGAAAAGCAGAAGTGTGGGGCAGCATATATGGTGCTTTGCTTGTGTACTGTCCCAGCCTTTTGTCTTTTGGGGCTTATGGATTTCTTGAGATGGATGTATTTTTTTAGTTGATTTTATTGATTTGTTTGATTTTTTTCCATCAACTTATGTAAGTCCCTTTTAGATGTGTCTTGTTCTTCATAGTCTGAATTTCTACTGAAATTATAAGTAAAACAACCAAGAAAAGCAAACTGTACCATTTTCCCCATAGACCTGTGTTAAAAATAACAACATGGATCTTGCATCAAACTCTTATTTCAAATTGATTTTCTTCCAGCTTCTTTATGGCCTAATGCTGAAACAGTGACTAAGAGAGAAGAGATTTCATAAACTATTGTGCATGTGCGTAAAATGGACATAGTGTGTCAAAAAAGACAAGAACAGACCTTAACTCGCCCTTTTCCCCCTCTGTCAGATGAACTTCTACAGAAATTTGAAGAATTTGTCTGCTGTCAGGACGAGCTGAAATCCCAGCCACAAGTGCAGCTCTCTGAAGTGAAGCAGCAGGTTTGATGTTTTCAAATTATTCTCATTAATTTTTCTGGTATATTTAGGAACTGAAGCCAAATTAAATGTCTAGAATTCCTTTTTCTATCATGCATTGCTTGAGAAAGGCTTTTGTTAGTTCTGTCAGTTGATGGGCAGGCATGTTATGACTACAGAAGCCTGGAAAGAAGTCAATTCGAGTAATTTGAAAGTTGCCAATTGATTTTTTTAAAAAAAGTTAACCAAATGATCGAAGACTAATATGTTTTTATAAATTGTATTAAAATTTGTCTTTCTCTTCTCCATCCTATTTAAACAGGATGAATCAGCTTCACCAGAAAAAATAGTAGATCAGGAAGACCAGAATGAGACTTCATTCCTACCCACGGAAAACTTGGAAAGACAGAAGACAGAAGGTTGTATGATTACTTTACCTATTTTAATATTCTTAATATACTTAAGAATCATTCTAGAATTAGTTTCTACAAAACAAGATAGAGCTGAAGTGTACTTTTCCCTAGTACAAAACTATGACAATCTACAAGTTGTACTTCTGGGAGGGATATTTTTGATAGCTTTTGCTGAAACAGTAAGGGACCTATATATATGCCACAGATAAAAAAAACCCCAGACAGTTACATTGGTTTTGAGTGTCTGGTCATGTAGACTCCTAGCAGCAATATCACAGTTCTGTTGGAATTTTACTATAAAGGAGTGGATTCCCTCACGTGTTTACTTCAGGGTATGGTGAACTATGACAGTAGGCTGTCTTGATTTTTGAGAAATAGATTCATTTTTCTTCCTGTCATTCAAAGATAGGGAACAATCACCAATTAACCAGAGTCCTACAGTCCTAGAACATCATCTTTCTCTTTTTTTGTTCCAAGATCTCAGAGATGCAGGTCTTTCATGAACTTCAAGACATTGTTTAGAATCACAGCATGGTTTGAGTTGGAAGGAACTCATCAAGATCATCTGGTCCATCCCCCTGCCCTGAGCAGGGACATCCTTTAGCAGGTCAGGTTGCTCAGAGCCCCATCCAACTTGACCTTGAACATGTCCAATGATGGGGCAGCTGACAGCTTCTCTGGGCAATCCAGGGTGAAGCAGCCCTCTTGAAAGGCTGCAATAAGGTCTCTCTGAAGCCTTTCTTCTCCAGGCTGAATAACGATGACTCTCTCAGCCTTTCTTCATGGGAGATATGTTCCAGCCCTCTGATCATTTTTTTGGTTTCTTCTGGACTCACTCCAGATCTGTTTTGCACAGGGGAACCCCAGAACTGGACACAGTGCTCTGAGTGAGGTCTCACAAAAGCAGGGAAGAGGGTGAGAATTATCTCCTTCATCCTGCTGCCCACACCTCTTTTGGTGCAGCCCAGGGTATGATTGACTTTCTGGGCTGCAGGCACACATTGCCAGCTCCTGCCCAATTTTTAGTTTACTAGAATCCCAGAGTCTTCCTCTGTAGCCTGTCTTCAATCCATTCACCCCACAGTCTCTGCTGGTACTGGGGATTACCCCAGCCCAGGTGCAGGGCCTTTCACTTGGCCTTACTAAACCTTGCTGTGCACAAGGGCTGCATGGCTGCATTCCTCAAGCTTGTCCAGGTCCCTCTGGATGGCATCACATCCCCCCAGCAAAATCAGCTGCTCAGCCTGGGTCACCCGCAGGTGTGCCATGGATGCACTCCCCCCAGCTGTCTGTCAGCAGGCAGGACACTAAACAGTGCCAGTCCCAGTATGGATTTCTGTGGATCCTGGTTCCCACTTGGATGTTGAGCCATTGACTGCAGCTCTTTGCACACAGCCAGTTCCTTACCCCACCTAACAGCCCACCTGTCAAACCTATATCAGCAATTTAGTAGCAAGGGTGTTGGGAAGACCATATCAAAGGCCTCACAGAAATCCAGGTTTCAATCTGTTACCGTACCCCAAGCTACAGTTGAGTACATCCAAAATGCACCTGGAAAACTTCAGTCAGCTTTCTTAAAAAGCAGCTCCTCCCTCCCTGTACTGAAAGGAATTCCACCCAAAAAATGTGGTGACTCAGAGCTGCACTGTCTTGTTACTTAAAGCATCTTTCCCAATGCATGTTTAGCCGCATGTTTACTTCAAAACAAGCTTGTGTTGTTGTTGTTGTTGTAATTCTGTTTCCAGTGGGTGTGTTGAACGCTTGTTTACTTTTTTTTTTAATCTTAAAACGCTGAGAGATGTAGTTTCTTTTTTAAAACTACCAAAATATTAAATGAAACGTTAAAAATCTTTTAAGGCTGCTATATAGGTTCTAAGTACTTTGTTACTCCTTTTTGTGTTGTGAATTTGTTAGTCTTAATTAAAGTGGGATGCCTAAAACTGCCACCATAATCCATTCCTAACTTGGGTAGAATGAAATGAGGATTTATAGTTACCTTATATTTTGTAATTTCTGGAGCTTTTCAAGCAGGCCTCAACAAATCCCTTCAAATTTCAAGCTGCTGTTTGAAATACAAAGATTTTTTAAATCCTTGTACAGCCTTAATTTCCATGGGCTTAGCAGTGCATTAGACCAGAATATCTGTAACTCTCTTTACATCTGTATGGATTCCTTGAACTTTTCTTGAGGCAGCTCTTGGAGTGGTTGAAGGTCTCTTCTCCTGCTGCGTAAGGGAACATTGTGTGAGGCTGTCCATAGTTCACTTGATGGCAAGACTACAGTAGAGTATGGATCCATGAAGGAAAGCCATTATTACAGAAAACACAGACTACCTTCCAATTGTTAGAATTCACAAAACATTCATTTGAGCTTGCTCAGCTTCCATAGTACTTAGCAAATACAGTTTATATGATCAATTGTATGTCGAAAAGTGTTTAAAGGAGAACAGAAGAAAACTTTGTACTGTATGTTGATGGTATGTGTGTCCTCACTGTATGCTCAGAAGTGAAAAGTACAGAAATTCGTACCCCTTAGAGAACTGTTTAACTTGGTCTTCAGTTTTATTTTGCTTATATATTAACCTATTTTTCATATCATTATTGCTAGTTAACATATCCACAAAAATGGGGCCTGTTTTTTAATGCTTCTAAGTTGGGGAAGACACAATATTCATTGCTTTACTGGCTCCTCTGCTAAAAAGCTGAGGCATCACCTAATACATTAATTAGAACTGAGATGAATTTAAATGTATTTTTCTTGTAGATTTATAACAATTTCTCATTTTATTTTTTCCAGATGAAATTTGAAATGCTTTGCTACAATAGTTTTTCCTTTCTTCCCCTTTATAAAAATGTTCCTTAAAACTTGAATCTCTATTACCTGTCTTTCAGTATGTCTGTATGACAACAATTGTTCTTTCTAAAAGCTGCTTAAAAGAGCATGTTGGTTGTGTGGTTGCCTGTAAAAAATACCAAACCCACATTATCCCATGATGGTACATATCTCCACTACATAAGCGTTATTAACAGCCATGTGTCCTTTCTCAAAAGCTCCTGGAAGAATATCCTGTTGCTGTCTAAAGCAAAGTCTTAAGTTTCATATAATTTTTTGTGTTTGAATGTTTCAGAAATACCACATTTGCAACTTGTTCTCCAGGAGTCTCAGCAGGAAGCTGTGATGGTCGCAGAAGATGCAAAACAGGTAATGATTAAGCAGCTGAAATAAAATAGGTCAAGGACTGGCCTTAAAACAGCTAAGCTGTCATGGTCTTTTTTACCAATCCTCTTTAAAGGTTATTATTAACTGGATTATTGGTGAAAGACAGAAATAGCTTCCAAATACAGCTTGTACTGTGTTAGTAACAGACTGTGTTTCCCTTTGCCAGCTGTGTGCATTACTTGTGTCCTTCATCCATCTGGTCCACATTTGTGCTATTTTCTACCTGTTGTGAGTTAGTTTTTCAGCAGAACTATGGGTCTCTGGAAATAAAATTCCAAAGGCTCAGCTGTCATTATATAAGATGCCTTCCAAACCATTTCCACTGTCCTGATGGGCACCTGGCTGACTGACTGGGGAACTGTGTGCTCCGTGAGTGAAGACAGGTGGGCACTGTCCTTGTGCTGCTCCAGCATGTCCAGCTGCAGGTGCAAGTGCAGTCAGGATGTTGTTGGGAAGAATGCAGGATTAGGAACCTGCTACTTGGCCTTATGTTCAGCATGGGGAGGGAGATGCAGCCTCTGTGTATCTGTACTGAGGATTTGCTGTGGAAATGATAGTTAGCTTAGAGCAAGGTCTGGCTCTCTGCAGCCTGTTCTGCTGGCCCATTCTGTCCATGGGGGAAGATTAATGCTGTGTTTTATCTAATACATTCCTCTCTGTCAGAGGGTTTGTATATTACTATGAAGTATTAAGGTAAAAGTTGATATTTGGAAACGGAGAAGCATTTTGAGTCATTCATTCACCTTCCAACTGCCTGCAAGCTGTGAGCTGGTAGATCAGTGGGAATGCACACACACCAACACATGTAGGCTTTTCAAGGGCACATATAAGCATTTGAACTGTTTTCTACTGCTCCTTTATAGACAGTGGAAAAAACAGGTTCTTTAGCATATGACTCACCTGCAACAAAGTGAATGTTGAAAATGGGTCAATGAAAACAACCCTGGAATTGTCCATTTCAATGTCTTCATTATAAAAAGAATCCAGCTAAATAGTTTACATCTAAGTTTTTACACTTGGACAGCTATTCCTACCATTTGTGCACCTGACCCATGGCTTTAGCCAAGTCATACAGTTACCCAAACCCAGGTTAAGGCATCTAACAGTTAAAAGGTTCTTGTGGGGTTATTGGTTTGTTTGTGTGGTAGAGCCTAGCGTAACTTCATTGGGAAAGCTCCAGGATCTTTATCTGCTGGAGCAGTGAGGCATAGACTGACAGACACGTGACTTCTCACCTTCTCTGCTTGGGTGGTCACTGAAAGGTTATGATACTGTAGTTAGTCCCTTTGAGGTAGTGAAGATGGAAGAGAAATCATGTCAAGGTGGGAAGGGAGTTATTTAGATGATTCCATCCATTGATTTGTTAATCTGCTGAGATATGCCTTAGTCTATGGTATGCATTTACAGATACAAAAACTTTAATTTAGTTTAGAAGCCTCGAAGAGTTGTCTCTTTTTAACCTCCTGTGACTTAAAGTGGTTGTTTCATTATGACAGCAGACTTTTTAAGAGCAGATCTCCTTTAATGGTTCTCCAGAAACTGTTTCTGCCCTCCAACTCTTTACAGTGCAGTCTTCACATGTTGACTTACTGGTGGGCTGTTGATCCAAGCTGTCTGGGGAGGATTTGTGAGTGCTTTTCTTTTGTAATCTGTTTTAGAGGATGGAAAGAAACTTAAAAATAGTAATTTGGAAAAAGCCAAGCACTTTGCTCCAGGTGCTTTGTCTAGTGCTTTCACTTTGGGCATGCACACAGATTCTTTGCCATGTTAAATGGACAGATCAAATAGAAGAGAAAACCTCCTTATTCAGAGGCTATGAATAGGATGCCATGAAAATGTGACTAGTTAAATACACTAGAGGGCTTGTTAGAATCACAGGAGAACTTAAACAGTTCAGAGTCATACTATCTTGCAGTCAAGAGAGAAGGGTGGGGGGAAGGGAATAGGAAGTAGTCGTTATGGACTGATCCTGAAGCCAGAATCTTTCATGCTGCAACTTCAGAAACTGAAATTAGCAGAAGTGACCTGGGAAGTCTCAGAATCACAGAATAGTTGGGGTTGGAAAGGACCTCTGGAGGTCACCTAGTCCACCCCCCACTGCCTAGACAGAGTCTGCTTGTTATTAGCAAGGGTTCTATTTATTGCAGAAGCCAGCTTGGGACAGCTACAAAATGTGGAAAACAGATACTTCCAGAAGTGGCCCTTTCACAAGATTCAAAGGAAAAATTATGCCTACTGTTTTCTTTTAGGCAAGAACAGATGGCTTTACCAATAGAAGCAAGCAGTTTACTGAGGAAAGTTGTCCACCTGGAATTCTAGACTATATTGCTGCAGAGAAACAGAAGGAGCTGTCAGTTTTGCTGCTGGAACTGAAAGAAGCCCAAGAAGAAATAACTTTTCTGAAAAGCCAGCTCAAGGGCCCTAGTGGCCAAACTTGTACAGGCAGCCAAACAGAAGCTAACCAGCTGGAAGAGAATTCACAGATACAGTGTCTGGAGAGGGAGGAGCAGAAGGCTTCAGATACACAGAGTGTCTCATTACCGAGAGAAACAGAAATGCAGCAAATTGGCTTTCTTCAGGAAAATGGAATCAGCTTTCAAGAAGAGCCTCAGGGAAGCCCTGGCACCTCTCAGTCTCAAGAGCTGATCGAGTTACAAAACCAAATTACAGAACTGCAAATAATTCTGCAGAAATCAGAAGAATCCTTTAGGAAAGAGCTAGGAGAAAAATGTGCAGAAATAAATAGGCTAAACCAGGTGGCTGAGGAATACCGGAAAAAAGGAGAGGATCCTGACAGTACATTTTGTGTTTTGACTGAAGAACAAGATCAGCTCTTGTGTCAGGCCAAACAACTTTCCACCATAACGGAACTGAAGGAGCAAGTGAAGCAACTGGAGGAAGAGCTAGCTCTTTCAGAAAAGCAGAGACTGTCAGACAGTCAAAGCAGCCTTCTAAGAGAGCAAATCCAGAGCCTTAAAAATGAATTTAAATCCAAGGATATAAAAATTGAAGCTTTGCAAAAGGACTTGGATGAAGCACAACTTCAGCTTTCTGACCAGGACATGCAACTAAAGGATCTGAGAAGCCAGGTTGAGAAAAAGGAATGTGAAGTACTTGATCTAGGACAACTTTTGAGGAAGAATACAGCAGAGATGCAAGAGCTTTCCCACAAGTTAACCTTAAAGGGACACGAGGCAGCAGGCCTGGAACAGCTTGTTGCTGAGCACACCAGGTCTATAGAGAGCCTAAAACAAGCCTTGCAGGAAAAGGACCAACAGATGGCAGAGATCAGTGTCAGCATGTCTGAGAAAATGGTCCTCCTGAATGAAGAGAAATTTTCTCTAGGAAATGAGCTGAAGAGTCTTAAGGAGCAGACAAGTCTGTTATTAAAAGCCCAGGAAGAAAAAGAACAGAACATAGGAGTAAAAGATACATGTCTGAAGTGTGGGGTATCCAAGCAGCAAAATGAGACAGAGGCAGTGAGTAAAGAAAGTGACAAATTAGTAAATCAAGTTGAACTTCTGAGAAAAGAAAATGAGCAAGTAAAGCGGAAGCTGCAAGCAGTACTTGTGAACAGGAAGGACCTTCTGAAGAAGGTAACCAGATTGGAGAATGAATTGGAACAACTGAGTAGAGAACAAAAATCAGAAACCTCAGTGGCTCAGGCAGCTGCAGGGGAGGAAGATGTGAGAAGCATGATCAGCAAAGAAATGGGTCTTGAAAACCAGCCCCGTGAGGACTATCTAATTCAGCTGCTTTCTGAAAAGGAATCTGAGTTGCAGAGCATCCGGAAGGAAAAAGAAACTACTGAAGCACAACTGCAGGCAGTGATTGAGGAAATGAGGCAAAGCTTCCAAGATAAGACAAACACTGCTTCAGGTAAAGATGAAGTCATGGAGCATCAGACAATTACTGACAAAGTAACTGAAACTAATGAAAGCCCAGAAGATGATGAAGGAAATGAGAAACATAGTTCAGCAGATACCAGTCTGGAAGAAAAACAAAAGTCTGCTCTTAAAGAAAGGATTTCAGTTCTTGAACAAGAAAAAGAACAACTTCAAAAAAAACTTCAAGAAGCTCTCGTATCTCGCAAAGACACTATAAAAAAGGCTCAAGAAAAAGACAGGCATCACAGAGAACAACTGAAACAGCAAAAAGATGATTACAACATCCTGCAAGAACAATTTGATCAGCAAAGCAAAGAGAAAGACAGCATCCAGGCTCAGCTCAGACAGCTCCAAGAGCAGAAAGGATCAGCAGAGAGTGTTTTCAGGAGTCAAGGTAGGTTGGATTCTTCATGCATGGAAGCAGAAGATACAACAAATAACAAGCTTGTACAAGTTGAAGATATTTCTGAGGAAGAGTGGAAAAAACACCTTGACAAATTGCAGACAGAGAAATTGGAATGTAATGTCAGCCATATGCAAAGGGAGCTTGCCCACAAATCCGAATTAATCTTTGATTTGCAACAGCACATAGCACAGTTGTTTGTAGAGATAGAAGGGCTGAAGAGAACCTCTGACCAAGCTGAAGCTATGGGAGCAAGTCTTCAGACAGAATTGGAGGAGACTCGAGGAAAAAATTCTGGAGTGGCCAGTTTGGAAGACTTGAAAGTTCTTGTACATCAAAAGGATGAAGAAATTGAATTTCTTAACCAGCAGTTAAAGGAGAAAAGTGACGCTCTCAATAACATGCAGGCACAATTGCTGGAAAAAGAGGAATCGGTCCAAAGACTGTGTAGTCAGTTGGAGGCTCAGGCTCAGGTGCACGAGGAGCAAAGCAAGCGACTACAAACACAGATGCTTGAAATTCAGGAGAAGCAAGAGGACAGTGCAGAAGCAGCTAAGCAGAAGAATCAAATGCAGAGGAAATTGCAAGCAGCACTTATCTCTAGAAAAGAGGCACTAAAGGAGAGCAAATCGCTAAAAGAAGAGCTGGCTAATGCTAAAATTACTATTGACAATCTTTCTGTCAAGCTGACAAATATGGAAAGCCAAATATGTGGCCATGTTAAAGAAACAGATACTTTAACAGAAAAGTTAGCGTGCCTCACTGGAGAGCGAGAAAATCTTACTGCAGAAATTGATAAACTACTTAGAGAAAATCAGAATCTTGATGGATGCTGTAAAAACCTTACACTTAGTCTGGATAGAGTTGTTCTAGAGAAGGAGAAGCTGGAGAAGGAGGTGGAATCATTGAAGAGTTTTCAAGCCACTGAGAGTTCTGAGTGGGAGGAGAAATACAAGGAGCTTCAGGGAGAATATGAAACTCTGCTGCAGTCATATGAGAATGTGAGTGATGAGGCTGAGCGAATTCAGCGTGTGTTGGAAACTGTTAGGCAGGAAAAGCAGGAAGTTTTCATTCAGCTAAAAGGGGCTGAAGCAAAAAAACAGGAAACAGATAAGCAGCTACAAGAAGCTGAACAGGAAATTGATGAAATGAAGGAGAAAATGAGGAAATTTGCAAAATCAAAGCAACAAAAGATCCTGGAACTAGAGGAGGAGAACGAGAAGCTTAGAGCAGAGGTGCATTTGACAGATGGAGAGCTGCACAGGACTGGAGAGAGCTTTACAAACACTAGCCTGAAAGAAGAGTTGGAGTGCTCTAGGAGGGACTGCCAGTCTCTTTCTACTCAGCTTGAGACAGTAGTGGCTGAAAAGGAGTCTCTTAATCAAGAGATCGTGGACTTGAAGTGCCTTTTGCAGGTAACAGAATCTAAGCTGAAGGAAAGCAGAGAACTTGTAGACAGGTATGTTGCCCAGCAGACAGCGGGGGAAGAAACTAATAAGGCAGTTGCCACACCATCACCAAAGGAAGAGTCTGAAAATCAAGTGGACTTATCTTTTCGACCAGAGCCTCCTGCTGCAGAGCTGGAACAAGAGGCATTTGAAAGTGATAGACCTTGCGAGGATCCTGGTCTCTACAGACAGCAAATAGCTGAGCTCACCAAGCGAATCACAGAGATGGAAGATAATAGAAGGGCTTCAGAGCAACAGCTGGGTGACATCCGCAGGTGTGTTGAGACTTTAGCAGGTGAGAAAAGGGCTTTAGAGCACCAGATGGGAGAGAAAGTCCTTGAAGTGAATGATCTGCAGGCTACAGTAGTAAAGATGGAGCAAATGGTCCAAGAAGCCAGAGACGACCTCATCAGAATGACAGCACTGAAGGATGCTCTAGAGGCTGAAAAGGATGACTTGGAAGAAAGGCTCATGAATCAGCTGGCAGAACTTAATGGAAGTATTGGAAACTATCAGCAAGATGCAACAGACTTCCAAATCAAAAATGATCAACTGAAACATGAGCTTCAGAGTTTGCAGAGAATGATGCATGAACTGGAGGAGGAGAAAAGTCAGATGGCAAAGGAGCAAAGCAAAGCAAGTTCAGAAAAGCAGAAGGAATTTGTAGAAAAGCTAAAATACAATTGGAGAGGAGAAAGCAGCACACATATAAAGGAGCTTCAAGAACTGCTGAAACAGAAACAGCAGGAGATTAAGCAGCTGCAGAAGGACTGCATCAAAAGCCAGGAAAAGAACAGTAGTTTAGAAAGAACTGTTAAAGCTCTGGAATTTCTGCAGAGTGAGACTCAAAAAGAGGTAGAAGCAGCCAAAGAAACTTCAGCTAAAGCAGCTGAAGACACCAAGAAAGCCCAGGCAGAGCTTTCTCACTGCAGAGTAGTGTTGGATGACACTCAGAGTGAGGCAGCAAGGGTTTTAGCTGAGAGTATCAAAGTGAAAGAAGAGTTGCAAGCAAACAAAGAGCAAATGAAAATTCAAATGAAGAAAAAGGATGAGGACTTTGAGAGAAGACTGGAACAGGAAAAAGACAAGCACTCAAAGGAGATCAAAAACATGGAAGCAAAGCTGGCAACATTGCAGAGGGAGAAGGACCATATGGAAACAATAGTTGGTGATCTACAAGACTCCTTGAAGACAAAGGATCAAGAAGCCAAGCAACTGGAAGGCAGTCTAAACAAAACACTAGCCCAGCTTGCAGCCTTCACCAGGAGCATGTCTTCCCTTCAGGATGATAGGGATAGAGTGATAGATGAATCAAAAACATGGGAGAAGAAATTCACTGAAACTATTCAAAAGAAGGAAGAAGAAATACGTTCAAAAGAGGAAGCTTGTATTGTGCTAGAGGACCAGGTGAAACACATGACCATGCGTGTGGAAGAACTCCAGACTCATATATCCAGGTAAATAAGCTGTATCAGGAGAGGTTACTTTGCATTTGTTACCTGCACAAGGACATGGGGTGATCACTCTAGAATAGTCCTTCTTCACATCTTTAGGATACCTGTGTTAAATCTTTTCTCTGTGACAAGCACTCACCATCTGATTACTCTCCAGAGTATTTCAAATTTCAGATTAATTAAAGAGGTTCTTTTGCATGGAGTTTTTGCGCTAAGAAGTCAAGAGAGCATTGGGATACATAATTCCAGGTTAGTCCCAAAATAAATTTTGAGGGGAAGATGGAGCTATGGAAACTTACCATAATATGTATACATTTGTGTATTTCCAAAATTCAAAACCGAACAATTCTTACATGAGTAAAATTGTTTTATATATACATATATGCTGTATCTTTGCATGATGATGCATTAAATGGACATCAAAGGTATCAGAACAGCAATTTCATTGTGGAGGTGGCGCGGAGTTGTTTATATTGTTAGCTATAATGGACGAGAGAAATTATATAATGGGAGGTGATAACAGTCAGTGTTTAAGTGAACACTTTTTTCAGCATTGACATGAACAACTTTAAAAAATATATTCCCCTGCCACCACCCCTTTAAGGCAATAGTACAGTCAGAATTTTAAAAGATATCTTGACTTTTAAATTGAGAGATTTCCATCTTGCTTTCTTTAATTAAACAAATTCTGTGGCTTTTCTAAATTAGTACAAGAACAGAGTTATTGTGGGTTTAGATACTGAGATACTTTGTGGATTTTTTCACCAACTTAATATTTTCTCTTTTCAGGCTGGAATGCAACAAGAAAGACTGGGAGGCTGACTGCAGAAAGGAGATTCAGCATCATCAAAAGACATGTGAAATGTTGCAGGAGGAAAAAAAAGAGCTTTTGACTCAGCTTGAAGAGTCGCAGGAACTGTACAGCAAGTCTCAGAATGAGCAGCAGGAACTGGAGTCAGAAATCAGTAGCCTAAGAGACCAGCTTGCTGACTTACAGAATTCCCTCACCAAATGTGAGCTAGCCAGGGAAGAGCTGGGGACTGTGGTCAAACAACAAGAGACGAGTATCCAGAATTTTAAACTCAACTGTGAGCAGCTTGAAGCTGACCTGCAGGCTTCCAAGGACCTAACAAATAAGTTGCACGAAGAAACCAGTGCCAAAGATCAAAAGATCATGAGTTTGTTGTCTGCCAAAGAAGAAGCAGTGATGGCTGCTCTAGCTGAATTACAGCAGCAACATTCTGAAGAGATGAAAGAGTTGGAGTGTAGGCTAAGTAAGGAGGAAGATAGTAAAAAAGACTTGGAAAATGAGAAGAACAAATTTCTTGACAAACTCAGTCATCTCACTGAAAAGATGAAGATAAGCAGAGAAGAAAGTAAGCAGCAGAAGGCACAGCTGGACTCATTCACCAAGTCCATGTCATCTCTGCAGGACGACCGAGACCGCATTCTGAGGGACTACAAGCAGCTTGAGGAACGCCATCTTGTTATAATCTTGGAAAAAGACCAGCTGATTCAAGAGGCTGCTGCTGAAAATAACAAGCTCAAGGAAGAAATGAGAAGTTTCCATAGCCAGATGGATGACCTCAACTCTGAGAATGCCAAGCTGAACGCAGAGTTGGTGCGGTACAGAGAAGACCTTAACCAAGTGATTTCAATAAAGGACTCCCAACAGAAGCAACTTCTCAAAATACAGCTTCAGCGGATCCAAACTCTGGAAAATGAGAAGGCAACCATAGAAACACAGCTGAAAGAGTCTGAGCATACTCAGGATGATCTCAGGAAGTGCATGGAAGCCTTAAGAGAGGATAAAGTCAGTATGTCTCAAGAGATTGAAACTCTTACATCCTCTCTGTCGCAGGTGCAGAGTGAGATGGCAGCATTGCATGAGGGGAGTCCCATCATGGAGTGTCAAGCAGAACTGAAGGCTCGAGAGAAAGAAGTACAACAACTGAGTCATGAGCTTTCCCTCTTCCAGAAAAGAATAAGAGAACTTGAGGGAGAGCTAGAATGTGTTCAGAGAGATGCAGCCAAGAGAGTGGGAGAGGCTGAGGACAGGCTTCGGAAGGAATTGAAGCACCTGCATCATGATGCAGGGATAATGAGGAACGAAACCGAGACAGCTGAAGAGAGAGTAGCAGAGTTGGCACGGGACTTGATGGAAATGGAACAGAAATTGCTTGAAGTCACAGATGAAAACAAAGATCTCAGAGCTCAAATTCAGTCTTTTGGGAGGTCCATGAGTTCTCTTCAGGATAGCAGAGACCAGGCCAATGAAGAGCTTCATATTTTGAAGCAGAAATATTCTGCAGACTTAGAGGAACAAAAGAGTCTAGTGCAGAGTCTTCAGAAACAGATGACTCAGCTACAAGAGGAGCAACGTTCCACTGTCAGGGACCGAGATACGGTCAGGTCTGAGCTGACAGAACTGCAGAAGGCTATTGATGAAAGAGGTCTCTTGGCCCAGATTGAGGAACTTAGTCAGCAGCTCAGAGCTAAAGATGATGAGCTTCTCCACTTGTCTTTGGAATTGAAAGGCTCTTCCAACCAAGTCAAATCTTTCTCCAAGGCTATGGCAAGCCTGCAGAATGACCGAGACCGTCTGCTGAATGAATTGGACAAAACGCGTAAGATTGAAGAAGTGAAACAACAAGCAGAAGGGAGCATTTCCACCACTGCTTCAGAAGTGCAGAGTCTGAAGAAGGCACTGGCCTCCTTGCAGAGTGACAGAGACAGAGTAGTAAGTCCATGTTCTCTCTTCCTGCTCTTACTTTAAGCACTACAGGAGGTTTGGATCTTCAAGTCTTAAAATTCAGCACACTTAGGTCTGGTAATTGCAATGTGATGCATAGATCAGGCTGCATCTTCATGGAATCACAGAATGGTTGAGATTCAAAGGGTCTTCCAGAGATCTTCTAGAGACCTTCTAGTCCAACCCCCTTGCACAAACAAGGCTTGCTGGAACAGGTTGCTCTGTACAATGTCCTGTTGGATTTTGAATATTTCCATCAGTAAATATTCCACAGCTTCTCTGGCCAACCTGTTTTTTCATGTATCTGGAAACGGTTTCCAGAATTAGTTTCTCCCTCACTTTCCAAGGGATGGAGATAAGGCTGACCAGACTGCAGGTTCACAATTCTCCTCTCTTGCCCTTCTTATAGGTAGGGATGACATTTGCTTTCTTCCAGTCTTCAGGAGCCTCTTGGGTCACCATGACCTTTCAAAGGTAATGGAGTTGCCTCCCAATGACCTTAGCATTTGTGGGCATGCTCCATCAGACCCCATGGATCTGGTATGGGCCATTTGTATTATCTTCTCTGGCATGGAGGCTGTGATTCCACTGCTAACTTCCCAGGGTGGTTTCTCTGTTAGTTTGGTTTAAAATATGAAATCATGGAAATAAGGTCCCTGTTAACCTGCATAGTTCATATCTGTGTCAGCTCATTTAATTTGCCTTAGATTTCTAAAAGAGACTAGAACAAAGGTTTGAGTTTCCTCCTCCTCTTGGCAGCTGACTTTCAAGGCAGGTACAAGACATTGCAGATTGCTTTTGACATTCTTGCCTGCACACTGGATGTGTCTGTGTTTGTATAGTCTCTGGCACAGTGCAGCCCAGCAAGTTGCAGAATTCTCCTTGCTGGTCAGAAGACAGACTTTGACAGTCATGTCCCACTGCCACTCATTGAGCACTGTCCTGTCTCCAGAGTCAGCCGTGTCTTCTTGTCTTCAAAAACAATTGCAGTGATGCATGTGTGACAACAACTTATTTTTAATTATAGCCTGACTGGAATTGGAGAGCCAAAAGGATTTGGCTTACCAGTTTCCCGGTTTACAGTAAATACGAACTTCAGGAGTTATGCTTAACCAGCTCCTTCTGTGTCACTTAGTTTTCCTCTGAATAAGATAATTAATATTGTAGCTTGGAGTCTTTTTGTTAATGTATTTCACATCTTCATGAGAGGGCTCAAAACTCACTGCCCTCATTACCAATAGAATTGTCTGAGGGCTTTTTTTCTGAGCAGTTTTTAGTACACTGCTGTATTTGATGATTCCGTTTTTAGTTCTTCTGTCATCTGAATGTGACCCTTTTCTCCGTCCGGACACCACAGTAAGAAATGCTCTTAAACAGTTCTAAGTAATAAACCTGATGCTTGCTGAGCTGTCACACAATGATGTTTCTCTTTAATTCCAGGTAAGAGAGCTGGAGAATCTGCAGCAGCAATACATCCTGGTCGGGGTGGAAGCTGCTGAGAATTCTCGCTTAAAGGCACAGCTACAGCAGTGGGAGCAAGAGGCAGACAAACAGCTTCGTCTACAAGAACAGCTGAGGCAGGAAGGAGTTGTGTACCAGCAGGAGCTCCAGCAGCTCAGGTGAGCTGTCTGTCTGCTTCCTGCCTTGGTGAGGTTGCAAATGTGTTTGTTTCTCTCAAAGAGCAGCTGTGGGCAGAGATGGAGTGAGTGCTGAGAACCTCAGCCTGGGCTGCGCCAGGTGACACTGAGCACTCTGCCATGGCCAGGAGAGGACATGTGATTCCCTTGCCCAGCTTCTGCCTCAGAATTGCAGCCCAGCATCTTGGAGGTTAATGCCTGTGTGAAATAGAGCAGTGATGTTTTTGTTTTTATTTCCTTCATCCAGTGGTGGTCAGTATCCTCTGCTGGAGAAGAAACTGAGGCTGTTTCTTGTATTGGAGCTTATGTATATGATCACAGTACTCACCATTCCAGGCTGTGGCTGAACACCCTTTATTATCCCACTGATATCATAGTTTAGAGCATACTAATTTTGTATGGCTGTCTAATCCTTTATTTCACTTGCTCTATGTCTTCTGGTTTTTTTAAGCTCTGTAATTCAAGTCTAGTAAAATTGTCTTCTCCAACTAGACTAAAACTAGTCAGACAAATATGCTCTGTTCTGAAAACAAGGGGAAATGCTTTCAGATATTTAAGAGATCCATTTAAGAATGCCTGAGGCTGGAATGAAAAGGGTGGGATTTTCTTTGTGGAAAGGTCTACAGCTTATCTTTGTCTGGAGTGATATAAAAATTTGTAGTTTTCTCCCTCCCCCTACCCGCAATCTGACCCTCAAATTAACACTGCAGATCTCGTAAAGTTTGAAGCATCTTACAAATTTTATTTATCCTGACAAAAGAACAGGAGTTTTATTTCCTGTGCAGCTTTTACACTGTACATGTAGTGATGGCCTCAGGTTGGTGTGGTGGGATCAGTACTGTGGGTCTGGTGCACATATGACCGTGCAGAAAAATTATTATGGGGACAAGTGGCATTGCCAATGACTTCCTTGACAAAACTCTCTACAGTGATATCAAAACAATGTCCAGGAACACAGCAAGTGTGAAAAAGTCACCCTAGGATAGCATGGAGCAATCCAAAGGGTTCAACCAAATACAGAAAACTTCCTTAAACCTGCTTTTAAGGTTCCAGTACTTAAGTGTGTTGTTTTGGCTTGGCTTGGTTATAAAACTTCGTGTCTAGCATGATTGAATCACCCTTGGCTCATTCTTAGCTGGGTACCTGGTCATCATAAGTCATACTGGTAACTTCCTTGTAACTTCCCTTGTTTATGCTGAGCAGACAGGAGAAGACCACCTGGGAAAAGCAGAGCAGCAGCATGAAGGAGCAGTACCTCATGGCCATTGCAGAGAAGGACAAGCAGCTGAGCCATTTACAAAGCATCACACAGGAAATGAGGCTGCCCTTCAGCAGGTCTCAAACAATAGAGGAACAGCACCAAAGCAAGGTGGGTGCAAAGATACAGATTCTGTACTGGAAATGTGAAGCTTGAAACTCAACCAGAAGAGCACATGTAGCCTGTATCCACCTCCTGCAGACTGCAGCATTGGATGTGGTTGTGAGGCCTCCAAAGATAATGCCAACAGTCTAACTTGCGACACTGGAAGTTGTAGAAATTATGGCATACCCTTAAGTACTCTTCATTAAGTCCTGGTTTCCACTGTTTCAAGAAAGAGGGTAAAAGAGACAGGGCTTCCTAGGCACCTTGGGTCCCTTGGAGCAGCATGGAACTTCTCAGGTGTGTATTCTAGCTGGTTTAAAATTGCCCTCTTGCACTGTCTTTGAATCTAAGATTTTCTTAGTTCTCATTTTAATGTCAGATCTCCATTTTTAAGTTTTCTATTGAATTTTTCTTGCTGTTTTTACTGTAACAGGGATCTAAAATCCTGGTTCAAGCCCAGAGAGGCTGAGGCTTGAACACTGCACCTTCTCTCTTATTCCCTCTGTATACAGTCCTAAAAGTGGAGTGGAATGTGTTTGGTATTTTGTTTGTCTAGAGAAGGCTGCATGCACAGTGCAGTGTATCAGAGTCAAGACAGAACTCTCCCACCCATGTCTGCCATGTCCCTGTGGTTTATATCAGTGGAGGGGGCAGCAAATCTCCTTTATCCCTTTGATACACCCATGCATATATGCAAAGAAAAAGCTTGAACAACGTTCATGTGATGCTTTCCAGGAGGATTCTTCAGTGGTGGCCTTCTGGTCTTTGTTGATTAGATCAGTGTGGACACTGCTTTTGGGTTTTGTTTGTTTTTTCTTTTCACATTCATGTGCTTTTTTTATTCCTTCCGGTGTTACAAACAGCTTTAAGACAACTTTTGAGCAGGACCCATCATATGTGCAAGTTTGGTGATCTTTCCTGACTATTTGTATTTTCAGATGGCTTTTAGGATATTTCTGTTTATTCCCCATTCGCTCTTTTGCCTGTGCAGATCAAGTTCCAGGTCTAGGAATAATGTTAAGTTTGACCTTGGAATACTGAAGAGAGAGGAGCAACACAAGAGCGAGTTGTCACACGTGCAGTATATTTTTCATTGTTCTTTCCTTGGCAGATTTCTCCAGAAGTCCTGAAAGGGAACTTTTCAAGCCTAGAAGCAGAGATGAAACACCTCCAGGCCCAGCTAAGTGATAGTCTGAAAGAACTGCACCAGAAAGAGCTCAGAATTCAGCAGTTAAACAGCAAGGTACTGATACATGTCTTATACTTGCTTGCAGTCAGGAACAAAGAATGTGGGGAGGGTTTGGCTGGAATAGGGCTCAGGAAGCAGGAATTAATCTATTCTTGCAGGCATTCAATCAAGTAACACAAAATCAGAAATACATCTCTCAGAAAAGCAATGTTAGTATCACAGTGATGAATTCACTGCTGCTGAACAAGGCTGGCACAGCAGCAGAGCCCATCCTCCATGTCCCACACTGCTCTCCCTCAGTGAGCAGCTGTCAGAGCCAGAGCGCTGCAGAGAGAAGCCATGAGTGGGACAGCTGTTCTGTATGGACCAGAAGGATATCCAGGCCCCAGGCAGATCCCATCCAGCAGGCTCAGTGACAGGGTCTGACCCAGCAGCTTTTCTGCCACTGCCGTTTAGTGCCCTTTCTCCCAGGTGACCAAATGGAGAAGGGAGGAGGGAAGAAGGCAGGGGAAGAAAAAAAGAGGTGACAGAAGGGGAGAGGCGAGGAGAGAGGACAGATGGAGGGGACAGTGGAGGAAAGGAGTTGGATGGGGGAGATGAAGGCCAGTCAAAGGGACCAGACAGTGAGACCATATGAAGAAAGTTGTTTACAGGTTCCATGTAAAAAACAGTGCTCCTATTGTCAGGAGCACTTTCTAGCCTCCTGCTTTCTGGGCTGCTGAATGAAGTCCCTCCTCACGAAGGCAAGCTTGTCATCTTCATTCCTGCCTGCCAGCTTGAAACACTACCTGCATTTCAGTGCAGGATCACAATCAGTCAATTCCCACACTGAAATGGAAGACCCAGAATTTATTCATCTTCAAAAAGAGAGCTGTGTTCAAGGAGAAAGTGAGACTATCAAATAATAATTTACTGATGATATTTCTGAAAGGTTTAGGTCAGTATCAGCACTTCAGAAATCTTTTTCTGGACATGTAGTATTCTGTACATCTCTGATGTTTTGAGATTCCTATTGCAGAAACCATTGCCACAAGCTACTGTTGGAGATTGTCACTGGTCTTTTGATGTTAGTGATGGGTGGCATGGCAGTTATATGTTCTCAAGAGAACTCTTACCCTCAACTAGACAGAGAATAAATTTGCGTTCATAAAATCAATTTCTTTGCTTGCTGATTGTGTTCTCTTCTCAGCTATCTCAGGTTTTTGAGGAGAAAAATGCCCTCTCCCTCCAGCTCCGAGGGAGCAGTCGGAGCACCTGTGAGAGCCATCAGCACTACAGCGAGGTCCTGAACCGCTGCCTAGTGCTCGAGAGGCAGCTCCAGGAGCTGCAGGCTGCAGACAAGAGCATGGTAAGGGGGCTGGGCTTGCTGCAGAGCAGGCAAAAGGTCATTTCAAGTGGCTCTGCAAACTGTCCAGCATTCTAGTGGCTGTGTGTCCTCTTCATTCAGTGCAGTTTGCAGTACGTTTCTGTGTTCTTTCAGGAGCTGTTTGCAACAGACGCTGCTCCAGGAGCACCCCAAGAAAAGAATGAGTCACAGAGAGGCACTTACACATCTGAACTGCAGGAGCTGCAGCTGAGGTAAAGAAAGTGTGAGAAACAGGGGTGGGGATGTTAGTCCTGATGGAGGCCTTGAGGCTAGTGATGAGCCTGATGCTTTTACTCTGCACCAGTGTTGGGAAAACTCAGTCCCACACTAAGATCTTGTGGACTTGGAGGAACTGTCATATGCACTTATTAGCTGTCATTAGTTATCTCTTTGGATTAGAACTTCAAAAAAACACAAGGATAACGTACAGCAGCAACACCAGCCAAACCAGCATCTTGGATCTGGTAGGCTGCATCTTCAGCAGCTGCTGAAGTATATCAATAGTCCTGGCCTCAGGGTTGTAGCCTGAGAGTGTGTCTGGAATTGAGATGTAGCACAGGATTCCTTGTAACTTTCTGAAACTAAGATCTAGCACATGATTTCTCAAACCCTTTCAAAATAATTTTCAGAAGGTGGAGCCATGGTGACAGAGGCAAGGAACTCCTTCCTGATGTGAAACAAGCTTCAAGAGATTTATCTTCTCTCATGTTTTCCAAATAGTTTATATATAGTAAAGATCACTAAGTCTCCTGTGTGATAATTTGAATCTGTTCACATACTGCATCAGTGAATACAATAGAAACACAATGGTCCATGATTTGGGCCTTTTTTGGCATATGCTTTGTTATTTTCTGACAGGTTATCTGAAACAGAGCATTTACATAGCAGCACAAAGCAGGATACGAAGTATTTGGAGGAGCAGCTGGAGGAAGAACGGGACCGTCGTCTTGCTGCAGAGGAGGCGCTTTTTGCAGCGCAGGATCAGATCAGGAGGTGAGGCAGCTTGAGCAAATGAGCACTAGCACCACAGAAGTGTGCTGGTTCTAGCTCTATTTTTCATATGCACTTGATCACATCCTTCTGTCAAATGGCACTGGTGGCACAGAGACAACTACCATGTCTGTCACAGAATCACAGAAAGGTTGAGGGTGGGGGTCCCAAGGGATTGAAGTTGAGGGGCCTCCGAAGACCATGTGGCCCAGCCCCCTGCTCAGCCTGGATCCAGTTGCCCAGGACCATGTCCAGATGGCATTTGAATATTTCCAGAGGAAGACTTCACAAACTCCCTGGGCAGCTGTTCCTTCAGTTGTAGGCAGATAGGATGAGACTAACGATTAGGCATTAAGACAAGTTCTGTCTAGAAATTAGATGCCAACTTTCTCGATTAGTTAAATTAACTACTGGAAAATAAAATTTGGAGACTGAGTCTTGGGTGCAGGCTGAAGACGAATTCTCATGGTTCCAGGGGATTTGTCTGCTCAGTATGCATCTGTCATGCCTGAAACAGTTCTGACTTGAAGAATGTCACTCATTTTTAATGTATTGCCAATTAACATCAACTTTTCATTAATTTGGTTATGGAGAAACAATTAAACACTTAGGATTTTAGTCCACCTTTCCCAGGCTTAATTTCAGCCTAGCCCCCTATCCTGCCCTGTGCCCACTATCCAGCACTGGGGTCTGCACTGCACAGGGCTCTGCCTATCTCAGGGCACTGCACGGATGCCCTGAGAGTCAGAGCAAAGGCAGCTATCTGGACTAAATGTTGGGATTAGGATGCAGTGAGCCGCAGGTCCAAAATGCTTGATTCTCCTCATTGACTATGGAGGGGGATTTAGCATGTGTCCTGATGGTAGGCACATGTGCTGTGCATTTCCTGGTGGTTCAAATAAGTGGAGTTATGGACTAGTGGAGTCTTTTACATTAAAACACTGCCTTTCTTCTGACACACTTGCCGATTTAGCAAAAAAATAATGGTGTGTATGGAAGAATTCTGGATGAAGTTCCCTGGTAATTGCTACAAGGTTTGGACAACTATACCTCCTTCTGGCATTAAAGTCTATAAAAGCCTCCTGCAGCTGATCTCACTAATGAACCATAGCCCCAGGACGTGACTGCTGCCTCTGTCACTAGAAAATAGGAAGAACCAGCACTACTGCAGCCAGAGCTGGCTTCCAAAATAACTTCATAGAATTTTAAGCATCCGGATGTATTATCTGCCCTGACTTCTTTCTAGTCACACTATAAAATTTCACTTGAAAGGAAGAAGAACGCCTGCTAGCTGGGCCACCCTGTTCTTTTGCCCAGTGTGAGCGCAGGAGGCATGAGACCTGTTCAAATGGAACCAGCTCTTGGCAAGTGAAGCCAGGGCTTGCTTGCAGGGGTTGATTCCTTTTTTGAGAAATGCCTTCTTTCCTAAGCTTGATTACAATGTTGATTTGGGACATCATAATAAAAAACTGAATTTAATTTCATATTTGTTGTGGCAGGTTGCAGTCAAGTGAGTGGTCATCTTCTTTAAGTGCCAGCATTGATATGACTCCAGGTCACGAGCAGTCCTTGCTGATCGACTCCATGGATAATAATTCCAGCAGAGTAAGAATTTAATATTCACAGCTGTCAATTATGTGAGCCCCAGCTGATTCAAGAAACTGTGAACCTACAGCACTAAATTTCCTCTGTAGACACACATAAATCAGTCAGGGACTGTGTAGTTTTTCTGCTTTCACCGTGCTGGAAACAAAACTGAATGGGGCTGTTTTAGAAGTGCTGAAGGACAGGTTCATGGACAGCCTGCAGAGAGCAGAGGAAGGGGAACATTTCATGAGCATTGCCCTAGTGTTAGGATCTGATAGTGGAGCAGATTGGGGAAGGTTTATGCTCATTAGCTTAAACAAGCTTATCTCCATGGTCTGGAGAGCTCTGAATGAAGGCAGCTGGGGCCACAGCCATTCCTTGTAGTGACTGCTCTCTCTTTACTTTTCCAGACCCGGAGTACTCCTGGACTACGACGCCTGTTACGCTCTCTCTTCCACTCCCGGGCCCACTTGCCCCTGCTAGTGGCCACGTATCTGCTTGCTCTCCATGTCCTGCTCTTCCTGTGCTTCACAGGCCACCTGTGAATAGAAGTGACAGTTTTTCCTCGAGCCTCAGCCCTGTGCATGCTGAGGGCCTGCATGCCCTCACAGAAGGGCAGCACTTGCCCCAGCTGCAGCCTTTCCCAAACCAGCCCTGAAGCAGCAGCTGCACCCAGAACCTGCTGTCAGTGCTGGTGCTGGGGAACGGCTCCCAGGAGATCTGCCCTTCCCTCGGTGTTTCTATGTGAGTGGTTTGTCTTCTGAGCCAGGGCTGTGCTGCAAGCCTCAAGGCCAGCATCTGTTCCTGTACCTGGAAGCAGTACCACTCCTTTTAGATAGTATTGTGCTGCACTAGGAATAAGAAAAATACTCTTGAGTTGCTGCAGTACTTCAGCACTTCTAAAACTGCACAGTCTTCCCCCTCTTCGGCTGAATCCATGAGTGGGGTTGGGGGAACACTGCAGCTGGATATAAAAGAATTGTCTTCCCTTTCTTGCACCCCTTAGATTTGCTCCATGGCTCAGAGCTGTCTGAAATACATATCCTAAGGAAGTTATGGGCACTTTAAGGAATGTGAATTTTAAAATCATGTTTCCTGCTCAGTTGCATCTCCTGTTGAAGAAGGGCCAAAATTATTGGCCAGTATATCTGGCCCTGGTGAGCATTCCATTTAAAATCAGTCACGTGTCTGCCCTGACAAGCCTGTAATATAATGCCAGTAATTTAGTTACTTAAAAGGAATAGGAAACATGAAACCTTTTAGCTCTTAAGTTAAAAATCCTCCTATTTATAGCATTTGTGCACCTCTTATGATGGAAGGTGCTGCCTTACCTCTAATAGAGCAGCCCTGCTCCTGCCTTCTCATCCACTAAATACTCATTGCGAGACTGAACCTGCACAGGCTGTGTTGAAGGGGTCCTTAATGTGCTGCATGGGCCCAAAGCAAATGCAGAAACTCAGAAATAAACTCTCTCCCTTGTGCTGAGGAAGGAGCCTTCTGGTTTTAGAACCCTCTGGTGTAGAAAGCTGGTGCTGGTGTTTGGGCATGTTTGGACCCTAATCAAAAGATGCAAATGGACTGAATCTTTTATGATATATGGAGATATGGATATATTTCCATATGTTTTCTAAAAACCTCCTGAATTTGAGACTGCCCTCTTCCAAAAGGAGAATGTTGAATGCAAAGGAAGTTAAGTGGCATTCGCTGTCAGATCCTGAGTGGTCGTTTCATTCAGAGTACTGGCCAGGAGAATCCTATCTGCCTCTTAGTAGAGCATTAACAGTCACATTTTTCCCATGGGAAAGAGGTAGTTCTTTTGATATTGCTGGTAAACTAAGCTGCTCTAGCCAGTGCAGAAAGCCTGTTTGAGGGTGGATTGATTTCACTGGTAGCTAAACCAGCTGAATCTCTGGCAGGTCCAGAGCACTGGCACTAGATATCCTCTTGTGGACTGTCTGTGATTATCAGTGTGAACTTCCTCTAACTATGTCAAAATCAGTGACCAAATGGTTTGTCTATAGCTTCCTGGGGTATGAACTCCTGTATGTATAATAAAGTTTATTTTTCAGATGGAGTTTGTGTAACATTGCCATGTAACTATGCAAGTGGAGGGTGCAGTGCTGCTGTATCAGCACACCTCGTGTGGGACTGCAGGTTTCCTTTGTCTGCACTGCCTTCTATGATGGTTGCAGAAGCTGTTTCTTTATATAATGTGAATGCCTAGGTGATGACTTTTTTTCCCTATCTCACCTCTTGCTCAGCCTTTTTCAGCTGACAGAATAAGGAAATAGCACTTGAATGGGCCAATGCCTCATGGCAGGGATGTGTGGATCTAATGATTTTAAGATCCCTTCCAACCCAGACCATTGCATGCATCGTGAAAGTGATTCCAGTAAAACAATACCTACTTGGGTTTGTTTTTCCACATCTGCCTGAACACTGCGCCTTGTTAGAGTTGTGTAACCCCAGGACAGATAGAGAGGTTGGCAGCAGTGAGCTAGAGCGTGCTGGTCATTCAGATGGGACAGTTCAACTGTCCCAACTTTCTGTAGCCAAAAACTTGTTCACAGTCACTACTACAGTCCCCTACCACCGTTGGATCAAAAGCCAGCATTGGGGTATTGAAAGGCTGTAGATAATGTTTCCACTGTGTTTAACAGGAGCAAGGATTATAAGCAAAGTATGTTTCCTTAAAGCCCATGCATTTTTTTCCTGAACTGAAGAAAGGCATAATTCTGATGTCTCAGATACATTTAAATGTTTTATACCTTCAGACAGAACAGTTCTTAATCTTAATCTTAGATTAAATATAGGAATAAACCCTCAAAAGGATCTCCTGGTCTGCTGAGCATAGTCTGACTGAACAGCTTGATGACCTGATGAAAGATGGAGCCTTTTAGCTGATAGGAACATTTAGGTTCCTATCTCAAACATTTCAACATTTTGTTTCTTCTCCAATGGACCTGTCCTGCCTTGATTTTTGATCTATCTTCCATAAAGGCTGAGAAGGAAGGTCAGCCAACAAAGCTGTGCTCTATCATCCTCAGACACGCCAATTCAGCAGCACCATTGAAGCTGGGACAGGTCTGGTTATGTGCCCGGAGGAAGGCAATGTCAGGGGTGTAGGGAGGAGTGGATACTGCATGGAGCTCTAAGGGGTGCCCTCCTGATCCTCTCAGCTCCCTTTACAGGACAGGTGTGAGGATCTGGGAGTGGCAGAAAAAGCTCACGATGAGGTGCAAGGAACCTGTGCAGGTGCCCTCACTGAGGGCAGATCAACCCACCCCTGATAATGCAGCTCTCATTAAGGCCAGTGCTGAGGAGAAACAACAGAGGGTGCAATCACAGGTAAGTTGCTCCTGAGCACAATGAAAGCACCCATGTGCTAGACTCTTTTCAGGAGTGCTTGCTGCCTCCCAGGAGCCCGAGACACGGATGTCACTGGACAATTGACTTCAGTTCAGTGCAGCCTTTGGACTGTGCCCACTCTGGTTCTCTCATGTAGGTACTGGTGATTTTGCAACAAGAAGCCCAAGTTTGATCAAAGAAGTATTCAGGCCCCTGGGCAGAAATGGGAAAAGGCTCAGGAGCACGGTTAGTGTTCTCAATCCTCCAAGCAATGGGGAGAGATATTGAAAGTAAAAGGCATGCTCAAGACCTGGCTCTGGGATTTGTGCCTCCACCAGAACTTTGGTTTTTATTACCCATGCGAGAGTCTTCTTGAAAACACAAGTGTGCTGGGACCTGATGGGCTCCAGTGTGCTGATGGAGGACCTCTGTGTCTGCACTGCACCAGTGTCTCAGGGCAGAGGCAGTCTGCAGGGGAACTGCAGCTCTGGGGCCAGCTCTGGGACTCAAGACTTGAGCAGAGCTGGGGGCTGGGATGCAGGAAGTGAAAAGAGCTGAAGTTAAAACAGGAACTCAGAGCAGACACAGGTCCAAAGCTGTCACTGGCAGCAGGTGCCTGAGCAAAAAGCAGCAAGTTTGCCAGCAGGAACTCGTGAGCCTTTAAAGGTAAGAAAATTTGAGGGAGTTTTGGGCGTGGAAAGTGAGAAATTACTACAAAAAAGTATAGTTTTCGGTGGGCAAAGAGAACTTCCTGAACAGCATGTTCAAGTGGACAATGCTCAACATTTGTTTCTCAGGCTATTGTCCTGTCATCATTGTGGTTCTTGCGTTTGAGGCTCTAAAGAACCACGTTTCCAAATCTACCAGTACAACTGTGCTGTGTGGTAGCCCTGTATTTGTGCTGTAGTGGATGTTTTCCTAGGGGAAAATGGGACAAAAAAGGGTTGAGATGCTACCCTGGCTGATATTTCTCATATGGACAGTGTCCAGAGCCTTGTGATGTGATTACAGCCTGTGGTTTGTCATGGTTCCCACAATGCATGGCAGGTGGCTTTGGAGAATGGGTGGTCAAGAATCATTTTCAGCAGTATTTGAAACTTTGAACCATCTTATTTGAGCTCAAATCAGCTGTCCTGATGACGAGCAGCCCTATGCTAGCTGGTTATTATTGCTGGTTTATGCTTTACAAAAATGAGCAACAAATATTAAAAATCTTTGGCATGAGAGATGCCAATAAATGAGTGACAGGAGGAGAAGAAAGGTGTTAGAAAGGGCTGTGTTGTCCACATGAGCCTTTCCACATTGCTTCTAATTGCAATTAACTGTATCCTGTTTGGCACCAGATAGCTGTCAGTTGGCAATGTCACAGTCTGATCCTGAGGCACCTGGAGAAGGCCTAAAACTGGATCTTCACCGTGTATCTGCCTTAGCCCGTCATCTTCTCTCTTAGCAGACTACCTGTCCTTTGTTTAACAAAAGAAAGAATCATGACTGCTGTGCTTATTTGGTTTCTGTTCTCTTTGCTCCCTGATCTTACCGTGCTGGTTCTTTGGAAAGGACGGCTCGAAACTGAGCAGTGTATTGCACTAAACCGGAAGGTTATTCACTTAAGCAGCTTTTGATGTGGGACAGTTAATTACTTAGCATAAACAGAGAATTATTAATTATTAAGCATAAACAATTTGCTTTCACAGAGGGTAACTGCCCCAAGAGCTCAGGGCTGTCTGAGGCTTCCACACAGCTGTGGGAGCGAGGGGTTAGCACAGCTGAGCAGCACATGGTAAAGCTGCTGTTAACTGAAGATCCAGCACAAAGGAGCTCTCTTCCTGCTGATTTGGTCACAGTTTGGTGTGATGGAGAACAGGGCTCAGCTCAGTCTTTCCTGCACATTCTCTTCCATCTTTCTCTCTGCCCCACAAAAAAGCTGGTTTGGGCAACACAGAGAACTTGCAGTTCCTCAACAATGCAGGCAGAAAAAGGGGTAGGATATGAAGGGATGGAGCTCTGATGAGAGTGATTGCTCTGGGGTGTAGGGGCAGCAAACTAATCTTTTTTCTCTGTCTCTCATTGTGGAAAAATGCAATTGTTTCGAGGGGGCTGTTTCATCATGTTTTTTCACAGTCACCTTGAAAATGAAATGCAGCAGTTTTAGATTTCACATTACTTTTATCTTCCTCTTCCTGGGCCCATCACTTCCTCCAGGCCTGCAGCAGCAGTTCCACCACAGCCTCAGCCAGTTTAGCCCTACATCTTCAGTGCTTTTAGCCCCATTTCCCATTTTCTCCACGTGACAGACAGAATACCACACAGCACAAGTTCTGTCACACCACTGTCCAGCCTTGCTCTGACCCTTTTCTAGGCTATGGGCAGGGATTAAAAGGTTGAAAAGCAGACAAGAGGCTTGAGGAGTCCATCTCAGTTCCAACAGGACAGTGTCACAGTGTTGGAGCACGCCATGGTGTGTGCGACTGAGCTAATAGCAGGGGTAACTCAGGGAACAGCCTCCCACAGCACAGAAAATCAATGTGTGTTGGAAAAGCAGAATCTGGTAATTGGAAAAGCAGCATTCGTTTACATTATTATGTGTGTGTTCCTACTGCAGAGTCAGGGTGCAGAAGGCCATGGTTTACACCTACATGCCCCGTGTGCTTTGCTGTAAGACATTCTGGGGCTCAGGAGCTGCTATCTGGGGGTGCCCTGTGCTATATGAGGGACAGATGTGTGAGGACAGGTGGCCTGTAAGGACCCCTTCCAGCCCAGGTTCTGCTGTGACCGAGTGTGAGCCAGCTGTGGCCGTGTGTGGCCACCCGGGGTGACAGCATGTCTTTGTTGTGCAGATGTGGAAAGCAGTTGTGGGACACAACGTGTCAGTGAAAATGGAGGCTCAGGGAGATGACTGGGACACAGACCCTGATTTTGTGGTGAGTGTTTGATGTGGAAACTGTTATACTGATGGTGTGAAGAGCTCCTGGCCTTGGGCTCTTGCTGCTGGGGCAGGGCTCGGGGCTCGGCAGGGCTGCAGCACTGCTGGCGGGGCAGGATCAACCCAGTGCCATCAGCCCCTCGCAGGCACTGTCAGGTCACTGTCTGAGCCACTTCTGACATCTCCAGGTTTAGTCTCCAGAACTTCCTACACCATTGCATACTTCATGTCTGACCACAAGTAATGGCACTTAAGGAGTACAGAATACGCAGGGTTTCTCAAACCTGCTTGTTTAAGAAACTCCCTTTTTATAAGGGTAACTCCTTTGTCCTCTCCACAGCATATATTACAAGACACACCAAACAAATTTTCTCTGTCCCACACTGTTTGTAACTACAGGATACAGAATTTCCCTCATTTATCTTTTTTCCAGATGAAAAATCCTACTCTGCTTACAGTCAGCTTGTGCAGGTGCAGCTCTGTGCCTCTTACACTCTTGTTTTCTATCTAGTTCAACTCTGAGTTGAGCTGGTGAGACAGCAGAAGGGTTCAGCCTAGGGAACCCTCTGCATTCATACAGGATCATGATTTTCATTTTGCATTTGGTTCTCTATTACTTTCATAATAAGCCTCTCCTGTTGGACAAGAGTCCTGTGTTTGTGAGGTTCAGTCTTGCCTAATTATTTCCATTAAGATATTCTAGTTTGGGGAAGAAAATCAAATTCCTTTTTCATAGTCACAAGTTTTTAATGTTTTAGGAAAAATCTACACTGTCAAATTTTTTTGTTTACTTTTCTTCTATTTGTGGAAGCATTCAAACTAAGTGTGAACACAATAAGACTTTGTATTAACTTTTTCATTCTATGTCATATATACATATTTTCAGCCTTATTGCATTTTAGGAAATACTTTAGTGATGCTTCACTTTATTGAATAAGTGTTCAGAGCTTCCACAAAGCTACAAGGCTGTGATGGCCAGGCCCGAGGGTTGGGGTCACTGTGGTTTCTCGAGTGATTTCCCCAACAGCGCATTCCGCACGTGCCGGTGTCGCCCCGGCTCTGCGGAGTGTGTCGGAGACCCGGCCTGGCCCGGCCCTGCCTGGCAGGGATGGGGTGCGGGACTCCTGGACCGTGCCCGGTCCGACGGAGCGCAGCGAGCCCCGTGCGGGCTGGGGCTGACAGCCACGTTCGTCCGCAGAATGACATCTCTGAGCGGGAGCAGCGCTGGGGAGCCAAAACCATCGAGGGCTCTGGCCGTGCCGGGCACATCGAGTGAGTGCGGTGAGACCGGGACCGGGGCGTCGGGAAGAGGCCCTGCCCGGGCACAGAACGGGCTCTGCCGGGCACAGAACGGGCTCTGCCGGGGCACAGAACGGGCTCTGCCAGGGTCAGAACGGGCTCTGCCCGGGGTGCCCGGCCCTGCGGAGGAGAGCAGGGTGACACCGCGGGCTCTGCTGGGCTGGTTTGCTGCGGGCCGGGAGCCTCTCTGCCGGGGACAGAACGGGCTCTGCCGGGGGACAGAACGGGCTCTGCCCGGGCACAGAACGGGCTCTGCCGGGGCACAGAACGGGCTCTGCCGGGGACAGAACGGGCTCTGCCGGGGCACAGAACGGGCCCTGCCCGGGCACAGAACGGGTTCTGCCCGGGACAGAACGGGCTCTGCCGGGGACAGAACGGGCTCTGCCGGGCACAGAACGGGCTCTGCCAGGGACAGAACGGGCTCTGCCGGGGACAGAACGGGCTCCGCCGGGCACAGAACGGGCTCTGCCGGGCACAGAACGGGCTCTGCCGGGGCACAGAACGGGCCCTGCCCGGGCACAGAACGGGCTCTGCCGGGGACAGAACGGGCCCTGCCCGGGCACAGAACGGGCCCTGCCAGGGACAGAACAGGCTCTGCCCGGGACAGAACGGGCCCTGCCCGGGCACAGAACGGGCTCTGCCGGGCACAGAACGGGCCCTGCCCGGGCACAGAACGGGCTCTGCCGGGGACAGAACAGGCTCTGCCAGGGTCAGAACGGGCTCTGCCCGGGGTGCCCGGCCCTGCGGAGGAGAGCAGGGTGACACCGCGGGCTCTGCTGGGCTGGTTTGCTGCGGGCCGGGAGCCTCCGCGCCCTCGTTCTGCGGCGCTTGGCCGAGTCCTGCCCCGCAGCCGTGGGCGATCAGGGCCGAACACCTGCACATGGGGCTGCCCCAGGGCAAAGGCTGCCAGCTCCTTCCCTGCCCGGGGCTGACCCGCAGTACAGCTACCTCGGGACAGCTCAGTGCAGCCCTGCAGGAAAAAGGAAATGTGGGGTCCCAAGAAGGTCGGGATGTAACCCTGAACAGGGCTGCATGAGAGGGGCTGGATGTCCCCCTGAACCCACTCGTCCCTTGCCAGACCCCGGGGGAGCCCAGCACAGGCAGCTGGTCCTGCCTGTATGTCCTGCTGGCCTTAGGCTCTGGAAAATCCCACACCCACCTGCCATCTCTGTCTGCAGCATCCATCAGCTGAGGAACGAGGTATCAGAGGAACATGAGGTCATCAAGAAGAAGGAGCTGGAGACTGGCCCCAAGGCATCCTATGGCTATGGAGGAAAATTTGGCACAGAGCAAGACCGAATGGATAAGGTAACAGCTGTGGGAGGCTTCCCTCAGCTTCAGTGGAAAAGTGCTTTTCTCATAAAGGAGGTGGTATCTCTGTTTTCCGGCCTGACCCTGGAGGAAGAGTATGGAGGGTTTGCATGGCTGCACAGATTCACACATGTCCAGCTGGCCCATTCACTATCTCCAGGATCTGTTTGAATTCATTTGTGTAACTCCTCTCTACAACTTCTTTGCAATGCTCCCTTTAGCTGTGAAAGTCTTTCCGGGGCTGTTCAAGCCTGCTGCATAACAAACTAAATCTGGTGCCTCCCTACTTGTGCTTGCAGAACTAATGTGTAGTAATTCCCTCCTCATATTCTGCATTACAGAGCTCATATCTCCCTGAGATAAAGCCCTAGACATCAGATCTGGTCTGTGTTTTGTGATAATCATTATCACGCTTCTTCCTGCACCTTTCAGCATTTAATGCTTCTTTCTCAGAAGTGTGATGTTTAGATCAAAGTAGAGCTGCATAGGTGTGGTCACTGTGGGATTGAACAATACCAGGATGGCAGGGTGAGAAAGACTGTCGTCAAAAATTCCCTGCTCTCCCTGCCAGAGCTGTTGTAGTCAGGAACTGCACACGCTCCTCAGGAGAAGGGGCAGAAACTGAACACTTGCAGAATCCTGGTGAAATCGGACAAAAGCCAAGAAGTTGCTCAACAAAAGCACCCTCACTGTGGTCCAGCAGAGTCTGAGCACAGCTGCTCCATTTTGGCATAGAGTGGCTGTGGTTCCTGGCCACAGAACCTCCAGCAGGGAGAGCAGGTTCCTGGCTTGGCTTGTGGCCAGGTTTGCTGGCCCTCACTGTCAGATACAGAAACCGGAAACAGGTGCCAGAGCTCTGCCTGGAGTTCTCAGCTGTATGTACATACCTGTCCGCACTTTTCTCTTGTCTTCCCTGTGATTATCCACCATGCAACATCACCAGCACTTGAGAGCAGGTGGCATTCAGCATCCCACGCTTTGCTTAATGAGCTGGCAGTGGGGACATTTGTGAGATGACAGCCCTCGAGACTCCTCCCAGGCCTCTGAGCAGAGCTGCTGCTGGCAAAGGCCACATGGAGAGCCTGGGCACCATCAGCACAGCCAGCTTGGACCTGTTACCTGTGGCTGTGAGTGTGTCAGCAGTGTGTGGGAGCAGCTGTGGTGCCTCTGCCTGTCCACCATGGATGCTCATGTCACACTGTCTCTCCTCTCAGTGTGCAGTAGGACACGAGTACATTGCTGATGTTGGGAAGCACTCCTCGCAGACAGATGCAGCCCAGGGCTTTGGTGGCAAGTTCGGAGTCCAGCGGGACCGAGCTGACAAGGTGTGTTGAACAGTGCAGCTGAAATCCATAGTTGTGGCCTCTGCTGGCCTGGAGCATTGCCACGTGCCAGCCTGGGGCTGTTCTCAAAGCTCAGGGCATGCAGGGTGTACCCTGTGCCCTGGTCTCGCTGAAGCACAGCTCAGCTGTGTGCAGGGCAGTGGCCCCACAGTGTGAGGCAGCTCTGGAGGTGGCTGGTGTGCATTGCTGTGGTGGGCCTGTCCCACCCAGGCAGAACACTGTTTCTCCAGGGGCTGTGGTGTTTGCCCCTGCATGCTGCACCACAAGACAGGGAGCCAGTGACAGCCTGGCCCCAGGGGAGGGAGGCTGAGGCCCATCTTGGCCCTCAGGATGTTTGACAGTCCTCCCCTTTTTGTTCCAGTCAGCACTGGGCTTTGAATACAAGAGCGAGGTGGAGAAACACTCATCCCAGAAAGGCAAGTCCATGGGCATATGTGGCCCCTTGACCCTTTGCCCAGCTTCTCTTCTGCTCCCAGTATCTTGTGCTGTTGGCTGTGGCACAGTCTCCTGTCTCTTGTTTCAGATTCCTGTTCCCCGTCCATCTCCCTTGTGGTCCCATGTGCCACTGTCCTCCACACATCTGTTTTCTTCTTTCCTCCTGGTCTGCTGTGTCTCCTGGTGCCCTGACCCGGTTTGCCTCATGCCCCCATTCCTGTGGGCTCTCATCCATGATGCTTCCTACCATCCACTCTGTCCCCTCCACCCCTTCACGTTCTGTGGTGTTTTCCATAATCTCTGCTGCTGTCGCGTCTCCCTGGGGGCCCTCCCCAGTGCTGCTCCCTATCCTCTCCTCACCAGCCCCATACTGGGGGCAGCATTTGACTCCATGCTCCACCTCAGATTACTCCAAGGGCTTTGGTGGCCGTTACGGAGTGGAAAGGGATAAGGTGGACAAAGCAGCTGTGGGATTTGACTACAAAAGCCAGGCAGAGAAGCATGACTCTCAGAAAGGTGAGCCCTGGCATCCAGGTGAGCTGGGGAAAACTGAGGGAACTGGGGGTGCTGGAGGGCGTGGGGGAGCTGGGAGAGTCAGCTGAGGAGGGGGAGCAGGCAGTGTCATGGCTGGAGCTGGGGACTGTGCCCACTGGCACTATGGGCACTGTGCAGGACACTTGTAATCTGCTGCAAGAATGGTGGAAGAGCTACAGGGAGCTGTTGGGAAGGGCCAGGTGAGGAAAGCCATTGCACTGTGCATGACTGCTAGAAAGTGTTCAGGCTAAAGGAAGAGGAGCAGAAGAGTTCTGTGGGCATAGGGATCTCTTGACAGCATATCACCAAAGGAAGGCTGAAGGGGAAGCTCAGGCAGGTGCTAATAGCAGGTGACATGTCCCAGGGAGGAGAGAGGGCTGTTGCTGCAACACCAGTGGGGAAATCTGACTTTGTTCCATGTCTTTCTCTAAGTCCTGGGCATGGAAAACCTGTGAGAACAGCCTAAGCTCACACTGCTGCCACTCATCTCCTTCCCTCCCTTGTGTGTTCTCTTCCATGCCCTGATCTGGATCCCTGTGGCTGAAGACTATTCTGTGGGCTTTGGTGGGAAGTTTGGGGTCCAGAGGGATCGTCAGGACAAGAATGCCCTCGGCTGGGACCATCAGGAAGAAGTGCAGCCCCACGCATCCCAAAGAGGTCAGCAGTATTGCCAGAGGTGGTAGTAGTTTCCTTGGAGCAGACACAGACCTGTGGCTGGAGCTTGTGGTTCATAGTAAGAGATCCAGCTGCTGAAAACAGAATGTGTCCAGCACGTTGCAGACACAGTGAACCCCAAAGCACAAGGGCAGAGTAGTGGGAGCTTGGATCAGTGGGGGACACGCAGTGTGGGTCCCTCAGTCAGGACTCCCAAACTGTGCCGTTCCCTGTGAGGGACGCTCCTAACCATGAGCTCATTGAAACCTCGCTGCCCCATTTCCTAACCGTGAGCTCGTTGTAACCTCGCTGCCCCGTTTCCTAACTGTGAGCTCATTGAAACCTCGCTGCCCCGTTTCCTAACCGTGAGCTCATTGTAACCTCGCTGCCCCGGTTCCTAACCGTGAGCTCATTGTAACCTCGCTGCCCTGGTTCCGCCCAGATTTGCTCTTCGCACACACGAGACGCTCTGAAGTCAGGAGCTCTCACAGAGGAATGAGGCAGAGCAGATCCCAGGAGTGCATTTTGTGCAGCATGTTTGACCTCCCTGAACAGGGCCACGCTCCATTCAGGTGGGGTGACTGGCCTCACCCTGGTGCCTTGGGCTTGGGTTGGCAGCCACAGCCCTGCACACCTGCGCCCTCAGTTGAAAGGAGGGAGGGATTAGTCCTAAAAGCTACTGTCCAGAGCACTTGGCTTTATCTGTGTCTCCTCACAAATGGAATTAACTAGAGATAACACATGCAAACTCATTCCACTGGTCACAGCATACTGAAGTCAGAGATGCACACGAAATACTCTAAAATAATTTTTTTTCCCATACAGACTATGCCAAGGGGTTTGGAGGCCGTTATGGGGTCCAGAAGGATAGAGTGGATAAGGTAAGACTGCTGCAGGCTGCAATTGCTTCCTTGTAACCACTGCTTTTTGCCTAGCTGAAAGAGAAGAGATTCCCCCAGTGGAGCTGAGATCCCAGTACCCAGTGCACAGCTATGGAAGGAACTGGCCGAGCATAAAATACCACAGGGTGCAGAGGAATGCAGCCTGGGGAGACTGTAATGCAGGAATTCCTCATGGCACTCTGTCACCTCTCACTTCTCTGCTGTGTGTTACCCTCTGCAGGTTTTTCACTCCTATCAAGGAGTGCCTCATGGTCTGTTCAGGTGCTAAATCTTCCTGCACACCTTGACAAACTCCAGCAGGGTTGAGATTGGCATAGATGAACCTGCTGTGTGTGAGAAGAGGTCACCAAGTTGCTGGTTCAGGTTTTGTGTTTGGGCTGACACCTGGCAAAGCCTCGTCTACAGTCACAACTCAGAGTGAGGCACGGAGATCAGTTCTGTACTTGGCAGGCTGCCCTGAAGGCTTGGTCCCCAGAGGGTGTCCTGTGAGTGGCTGTGATCTGCATGGATGTGATAGCCTAAAAGATGCAGACCCTGGGGCTTTGGGGCATTTGGAAGAGGAGTGAGAGTGCCTTCCCTGAAACCTCCTTCCCTTGCTGGGGGCACAGAGCTGTGCTTGGTGCAGCACCAGCATCACTGTCCTCGGGAGCTCGAGGAAGCAGGGGAGGGTGCAGAGACCTGGAATCACCCACACGGTCCTGTCCCTGCTGCGTGCTGGCTGGGCCTGCCACAGAGAGGGAATGTTGTCCTGCCCTCAGAAGAGATTCGCACTAGCTCTGAATTTAACAACAGCAAATGGAGGTGCACTGACAAAAGGCACACCTTGTATGTGGTCAAAAACAACATACAAAAGCACATGAGGACTGAATAGAAGGGTTGTGGCTCTTTTGGGAAGCAGGATGCGGAGGGGAGATAAGCAGTTCTTGTTTGGGTGAAAGTGAGCATGAATTTGTGCATTTTAAGAATACTGAAGCATAAACAAACATGGTAAAAATAAAGATTATTTGGGCAAGTAAATAAGTTTCAGATTGCCTGGCCCTCAGGAATGGAGAAATGCTGAATTCACTGCACCAGAGCAGAGCATGACAGACTCTCATGCAGCCTGAACTACCCTTTGGTAAAGTTCTGGACACTCAGTATCAGACAAAGGCTCACACAAAATAAAAATGCTGTCATATACGCAGCATGACCAGGCTTCTGTTGTGACCTGTGGGCACCTGGTTCTGAGCCTGCAGGCTGGTTTACGTGCTCAGGTGTGTTTTCTGCAGGGAAAGCAGAACTGCTGTCGGGCTCCATGGCTGCAGTTGGCTATCATAGCATGGGTCCCTGCCAGATCATAATTAGCATTGACTCCATGATTCTAGAAGGCTGATCAATCACTTTATTATACTATACTGTGCTTATTAAGAAACTAATAATCCTTTACAGACAGTCTGATACAGACAGACCAGATTAGTCAATTGAATCTAAGCACTATCACTGGTGGCCAATCAAGAAATCACCCGTTAGTAAACAAATCTCCATAACACATTTTACATGTTCACAACAAGTACAATAAGTGAAGATAAGAATTGTTTAACATTATTTTCTCTGATCTTCTCACAGCCTTCCCCCACAGAATGCCTGGGAAAGTTGAGCCTTGCTCTCTGTGGCCAGAGAGCTGCTGCCACAGTTGGCCACCAACCTAATGTGACAGCTGCAGGCAGCACCTGCTGTAAAGTGTCAGGCTGAGAAGTGGGTCCTACCTGCTCGTACCTTTTTGCATAAAATAGTTTTCTCATGAAAGCAGATAAACGCTTAAGCCTTCTCTATCTCACTTTGGGTTTCCTTCACCCTCCCCACCAATCCTATTCCCAGTCCAGCCTCTCTCCATCCCTCCTGAAGCCGGTGGTGCTACAGATGTTGGCACACAGGTGCTGCTTTCCAGCCTGTGCCACTGCACACACATGGCAAGTGAGGCAGCTGTGCATCCAGCAGGGAAGTGCTTTCAGGCCTCCTGCACGGGCAGTGCCAGGGTGGGTGCACAGTGTCCCTGGGCCTGGGGAAGAGGCAGATGGCCAGGCATCTCCCCAGACATCCCCCCAGCTCCTTGCCATGGTACAGGGAGTGTCCCCAGCACTGCTGTCCTGTGTCACTGCTCAGCCTTCCCCACTGGGCTCCACAGCACCTTTCTGGCTCTCAGTGCCATCTCTTGGGCAGGGACACCTGTGTCCTTGGCTGGGGGGCAACAGGCACGTCCCCAGGCCAGGGAGGTGTCAGAAGGGGGGACTGCAGCCAACAGCCTCCCCTGGGCCAGGGCAGGTGTGCAGGTGAGGAAAAACATACCTGGGAACAAAGCTTGCCATCACCAGTACCCAAAGCCAGCACTGGCATTGCCCAATGGGCTGAACAATTCTTTCACTTCCTCTTGCAGAGTGCTGCTGGCTTTGATGAGATGGCAGCTCCCACCTCCTCCTATGAGAAAACAAGACCCCTGGAGGCAGGTGAGACCTGAGTACCAGCCCTGGGCTTAGGAAGCTGTGGGCCTCACAGTCCCTCTGTGGCAGCCTGCTGGCAGGTGTGTGCTGTGGTGGGATAGGGGTTTTACCTGTGCTGGAGGGCAGGAGAAGGTGGCTGACTGCAAGTTTCTCTGGAAGAGGCAGCGGTCTGGGTTTCTCCTGGATGCTTGGTGTGGTGGAAGGAAGACACAGGGCTGGGTCAACCAGCTGTCTCCTCACAGGAGCCTCCAGTGGCACCAGCAGCCTGCGGTTGCGGTTTGAGCACATGGCCCAGTCGGCAGAGGAGGAGAGCAGGAGGCAGGCAGAGGAGGAGCGGGTGAGGCGGCAGGCCCGGGAGCACCGGCTGGCTCAGCAGCAGGTGAGTCAGGGCTGTCTTGCCATGTCCTCCAAGACTCATGCCTCAGACTTTTCTTTGGAGCCTTGCAGCTCCATGTTCTTCTGTCTGGTCTCTTGAGAGTAACCTCCTGCCTAAACTGCTTCCCTGCATCTGCCAAGAATGGCCACTGAACTTCACGGTTGTCACCGGACTTTCCTTTTCAGCACACCAAACACTCATACAAGGACATACCTGCACTTAACCTGTGCTCTGGCCTCAGCTTCTTTTGCCTCTGGTGCAACAGTGTGGTTTCTGCTCCCCAACACTGCGGATGCATCCCAGCAAACTGGAGATGGCCCCCAGCCCCTATGTTTACCTGCCTTCCCCCGGTGCTTTTCCTTTACTCAGAGAACAGAGCGGTATTAACGATGGACCTCTCCCCCCAGCATTGCTCCTCTTTGGGGCTGCCCAACCCCAAAGAGGGTTGTCACCAACCTGTGAGTGCCCAGGCCCAGAGCAGGTTTGTAGGTGGTGGAGAACATTCTGAGTTGCTCTGTTGGGAACGTGAACAGCCATTGTTCAAAGGAACTGAGCAGTCTGATGGCTTTTCCCCAGCAGGAAGTCCCTCTGAGAGAGAAGGAGCACACTGGGACTGGGGCAGCCCCTCCAGCTGTGCCAGCAGGGGTGCCCAGGGGTGCTGCTGGGGACCAGCCTGTGTCACCAGGAGAGCAGGTACCAAGGCAGTCTGGGAGAGCTGGGGAGGGGAGCAGGCAAAGGGGATTGCACCTGAGAGGAGCTGTGCTTCATGTGCAGCCCTGCAGGAAGATGTGGAGCACAACCACAGGGTGGGAGAGGCTTTGGAAGAATGAGGGGGAGCATTGGGCTGGGAATGGGCCATGGCTGTGCAGCACCTGACCCCATGGGACAAGCTCTGGGAGCGGGTCAGTGCAGTGGCACTGCTGTGGGCTGTGGTGAAGTATGAACAGAGTTCAGGCACGTGAGTCCTGAGGGTCTCCAGAACAACCCCAGCTGCTGGTTCAGTATGGCCCAAGTAGCTCTGCTGTTTCCCGGGTGTGCAGGGGATGGTGTTCCATTGGTGGCCTGGCAGCAGTAAAGGGGCTGCCTTGTGTCAGGTGCTGGGAGTCAGGAAAGAGTTGCCTGTGGTGGGTGCCTTGCAGGTGACTTTGCTGTCACTTTCCCACCTCACGGCAGGAGGCCAAAAGGGATGATGAAGAAGTACCACCCACTTTGCCACCAAGGCCAGCAGATCTGGATGCAGAGCTGTGCAAGGTCCCCAGCCAGGGTCAGCCCACCTACAATGTAAGTTTGGATGTTGGCGGAGACTATGAGGAGCTGCCAGAGCCTTCTGACCACTATGACAGCACCAGTGGAGGTGCTGACTATGAAGAGCTGCCAGCCCCTCTGGAAAAGCTGGACGCCACCTACGACTTTGGAGGAGATGGAGGTGAAGACTATGAGGTGATCCTTCCTCAGGAGCCCAGACAGAGCCATCCCCACCTGGGTGAGTACTGATGGAATGTCTTAGGAAGCTTGTACCTGTCCACTAACCTCACTGGACATATGGGACAAACTGCAGAGGGAATTTTTTTCCTGAAATCTACTGTGGTCAGGATAGCAGCTTCTGGTGATGGAGACTTGGTTGTGTCCCACTCCCCCGCCCAACTCTAAGGTGCAGATGAGCTGCATGGGATGCTGGACCAGACAGCAAGAATCTGCTGGGTCAGGGTCTGGGCAGGAGGCTGCCAGAGGCCTGGGAGAAGCTGGATGTGGACCAATGCTCTTGCTGGAGTTTCCTGGCAAGTAGTGCCCTGGGTCCTGGGGATGCCCCTGGTTCAGCCCATCTGTCATATGGCTGGTGTTCCTGGGACCTGCTGTGGTGGAGTCTCTGGTGTGAGGAGTGTAGGTAGCCTTTGTCCAAGCACAGGAGCAAACTGTGTGGGCTGCTGTCGGTGCTTCTGTCACAGCTGGCATTGCTGGCAGGTGAAGAGCTTGGAGTTATTCCCGGCCTTTTTCTTGGGAGAGGAGCATGAAAGATCAGGATCCAGCTGTCTCCTTGAGGGAGGGGAGGGAAGTCACTCCTTGCTTTGGGCTGTGGTGCACCTCTCCTTGCTGACAGGGTTTGACGTGCTTCCCCAGAGCTGGGCTGGAGGGTGGCCTGACCAGGACTGTGTGGAGGCTTCAGCCTCTGTCTCATCTGTGTGTCCTGTGTCCTGCAGGGAACACAGACAGTGCTGCTGAGGGGCAGAGCCCCGGGATCTGCGCAGTGGCTCTCTATGACTACCAAGGAGGTGAGTCTGCCCTCAGGGCTGGGGGAAGGCGCTGTGCCTGCAGGGGGTTCACTGCAGAGGGGAAAGGACTGGGACTTGGTGGTTTAAATTTCTTCCTCCTGGGAAGCACAATGAGATCTGGCTTAGGAACATCATGGTGCAGGAATGGTATTCTCCTGTTTAGTACTCCCAGTAAAAAAAAAATCACTTCTCCTCTCCAATTGGAGGCACAAAAAGGCAGAGATCACAGGTTGAGATAACAATTTTGAAAACAGCAATAAGAAAGTGAACAGTAACAGCAACAATGTTAATAACAAAAGATATAAGAAAAAAATTATTCACATGGAAAAACACCCAGCAACAGACAGTATTGGATGGCTCCCTCCACCACATTTTCTCAACCCAGTGGTCCTTGGAACTGAGAGTTCCTTTCCCCCACCCTGGCAATGACATGAGGTGGTACAGAATAACGTCCATGTCTTGGCCATGGTTCCTCCCAACAACTGCAAATATTAGCCTTGTCCTGACGCAGAGCAGGACAGGAACAAAGAAACTTCATCTTTCATCTGTGAGGTCTTGCTCTTTGCTTTATCTGTGATGTGGGATGGGGGTTGGGTGAGGTAAACTCTTGGGGTTATCAGAGCACTTGTTCTGTCTTCTGCCTGGGGAAAGGTGGGAGGAAGAACGTGAACCAGCTCTCTCTGGGGTTCTCTTTGCATTGTGACTGTCTTTTCTTGACAATGTTTGCAGATGGAGATGATGAGATTTCTTTTGATCCTGATGACACAATCACGCACATTGAGATGGTGGATGAAGGCTGGTGGCGGGGACAGTGCCATGGCAGAGTCGGCCTCTTCCCAGCAAATTATGTGAAGCTTCTGCAATGAAATTAGCACAGTGCAAGCTGCTTCCTTCACACCTTTTGCCTCTGTCATGGTTTGACACTGGGCAAATGCCAGACACCCACAAAAGTCACTCATCCACCCTCCTCTGCCACAGCTTGGCAGAGGAGAGAAAAATTTAACGAAGCTTTGTGAGCTAAGGACTGGGAGAAAACACTCCAAGGGCAAAATAGGCTTGACTTAGAGGTACAAAGGGAATTTATTACTAACAGAGTCAGAGGAGGATAAGGAGAAATAAAGGAAACCCTTAAAACACCTTTTTTTCCCCCAACTCCTCTCTCCTTCCCACCAACATTGCAGGGAGATAGGGCATGGGAGTTTTGGTCATTTCATCACTGAGATTTTCTTCCATTGCTCTGGGAGAGGAGTCTTTCCCCTGTGAAACCATGAGGTCCCTCCCATGGGAGACAATTCTCTGAACTTCTCTGACACAGGTCCACTCTCATGAGCAGCAGTCCTCCAAAAACTGCTGCAGCATGGTCACTGTTCCATGGGGTGCAGTGCTCCAAGGACAGGCTGCTCCAGCCTGGCAGCAGGGCCCTCTCTCTTCACTGGCTCTCCCACTGGATCACAGCCTCCTCCAGGCATCCACTGCCCTGGCATGGGCACCTCCCCCTGGGGCTGTGGGTGGATCTCTGCATCCCCCGTGGATCCCCACAGCTGTCTCACCATGGTCTCACCGCAGCTGCAGAGGAATCTCAGCTCTGGCCCCTGGAGCACCTCCTGCTCCTCCTTGTGCACTGGCCTTGGTGTCTCCAGGTTGTCTCCCTCACATGTTCTCACCTTCTCCTCTTCTCTGGCTGGAACTGAAATTGCTCCTCACTTAAATCATGGAGGTGTTACCATCACCTCTCATTGGCTCAGCTGTGACCAGCAGCATGTCCATTTTCAGAGCCACCAGAGGTTGGCTCTGCTGGACGTGGTGGAAGCTTCCAGCAGCTTCTCACAGAAGCCACCTCTGTGCTCCCCACTACCAAAAACCAGGCCATGCAAAACCAACACAGTCCACCTCTTGCATCTGTGAATCACATATTGAAGAAGAAGAGCAACAACAGCACCACCACAACAAAGTGAGCACAGTTTGTTTGTTTTCTTTTCTAGCCAGAGAAGAGGGGGAGGTGAGAACCTGTGAGGGAAACAACCTGGAGACAGCAAGGTCAGTGGGGAAGGGAGGGCAGGAGATGCTCCAAGTACCAGAGCCGAGATTCTTCTGCAGGCCATAGTGAGACCATGGTGAGAAGTGTTTTCTCACAGTCCTTATCTCAACTCATGAACCCTTAATTTAATTTTTTTTTCCCTCTTCTATGGCAGGGGAGGGTGAGTGAGTGACTTTTGTGGGGGCCTGGCATTTGGCCAGTGTCAAATCATGGCAGCCTCTCTCTGCTTTAGCCTTTCCCGTGTTATCAGCTTCATTTGGCTCAGCTTGGTATAGCCACATTCAGAGAAATATCAAGGAGCAAATTGGCAGTGCTAGAGGGAATGTTTTGTCTTGTGCCCAAGAGGATTTTGATCTCCATCCACTTCCAAGTGGGAAAGGTGGGATGGTTTAAGAGCATATGAGTGCAATACAAGGTCTCTTCTATCTAGGCTGCCCCACCTGTCAGCCAGCAAGCCTGCAGGAGTGTGTCCTGTTCCCAGTGGGGCAATTTCCAGAGCAGAAATACCAAATCTAGTCCAGGCAAGGCAGAAGGGATGTGAGCTGTGGGACCTTTGTCAGTTGCTGTGGCCCTGGATCTCATCCTAATCAGGGGTCAGGGAAAAGAACCCTGGGAAAGCCAAATTTGTGTTTATGGCAAAGAAGGGTTTCAATTTTAGGACGAGCCATATTTGCAGCGTGGACCAGAGAAACAGGAAGATGGTCTGTGTGATGCTTTTGGGCACTGGTGTGTCTGTCCCTGGGGCTGTGCCCTCCCTCCCAGCTTCTGATCTGGCCTGGCTCAAACTGTGTCCCAGTGATTCTGTGACAGCTCGTGTCCCCTGTGCCTGCTGGAGGCTCCTGAAAAGCCTGACAGTTCATCACAGATGTGAGGGAAAGGCTGGGCAGGTGGGAAGCAGGACAGGAGGAAACATTTTATTGTTAATGTTTAAAAAACAGTTTTCAGAAATGCAAAGTAAAGCCCTCCCTCAAGCTCGTACCTCTTAGGTGGGTGTTCAGCTGTGGGAATTGTTCCTCTGTGGGATGCAGGTACCATCACAGCAGGAATAAACCAGGGAAAACTGAATAGAACAGCACCTGAGGGTGTGTGGGATTTGAGGGGCTGTGGGAGCACACCTGAGAGGCTGCAGGAACACGTGAGGTTCTCTGGGACTTGAGAGGCTGTGGGAGCACACCTGAGGGGCTGTGGGAGCACACCTGAGGGACTGAGGGGCTGTGGGAGCACACCTGGGAGGCTGCAGGAACACCTGAGGCACTGTGGGAGCACAGCCCATCACTGCCACTGCCAGCAGTGTGTGCAGAGGGTGCCTCTGTGACACTAAAGCGTTAGAGTGCAGTGTGGTTTGCAGGTGAGTTCTGGACCACGCTGCAGTTGACCAAGCTGGACTACCCCAAGCTGACTTGTCCTACCTGTGCAGGGGTGTGGCATTCCTGCTCAGTGTTTGATCCTGGGAACACCTAACACTGCCTGTCACAGGAAAGGTGCATTGCAATTCAGGTTAAAAATTACCAATTTTTATGTAACTTTTCCTGAGGTTTCTTGTTTAGGTTTCTGGTTGGTTGGCTTTGGGGTTTTTGTTTGGAGTGCTTTGGGTTTTTTTGTTTCTCTGAGGCAGCTTCCCCAGTCTTTTTCCTTGTGCAGTTTCTGCTGTTTCCTTCCAGGGGCTCCTCAGAAAGGTGTTCACTGGTCAGACTCTGATGTGTCCAGTGACACTGGACTGAGGGTGCTTCAAGGACTTTTTAGAATCCAGAAGGGTGTATAGCAAGGAGGGCTGAGGAGCTCACAGCCTGTCTGGATAGGAGCAACAGCCCAACCCAACAGATGGGTTACAGAAGCATTTCTTTCCCTGAAGAGTAAAATCAGTATGTGTTGTGCACTAAGAAATGGTGAACTGATCCCAGCAAGGCTGTGTGCCTCCTAGTCCCAGTTCTGACTCTCCGGTGGGTTTCTTTGGGAGCAGATTAGATACTGTTGGGTATCTCTTGGTAACTGAGCTACACATGAGCGTGTTTGGGTCCAGCCGACGTAGGTTGTGTGACTGCAGGTGTCACCTGCCTGTGCCACCTCCCTTGCCCCAGTGAGCCCCTGCTCCTGGCTCTGCTGCAGTGCTCATGTGCCTCATGTGCACACCTGCAGATTTGGCCACTTCTACCACAGCCACAGAATCATTTGAGCTTGGGCCCTGCTGCAGACCCCCAGCCAGTCCTCAGCCACCGTCACCCAGAGCCACAGCAAACACAACAGCTGCACAGGGAAATTTTTCTGGCCATAAAGCAGACCATTTCTGGTGAGGAGTTCAGTGCCACCAGGTCTCAGCTCAGTGCCAAGACCTCTGTGTCTGAGTGCAGCACTGAGGCCGTGGGTGGCCTGTGCAAGCTGCTGTGCTTATGTACAGAGTGCTGCAGAGCCTCCCTGGCAGCCTGGGGAAACCCAGCAGACATCAGATTTGAAGCCAGGGCACGTGGGGACAGTGGATGATGGGACAGCCCCTCTTGCCCAGGCCAGGTTTTGCAGTCCAAGGCACTGCCCTTGTTCTGCACAGAGCCTGACTCAAGACCTGGGGCAGCCCTGAGGCAGAGCTTGGCCATGCTCAGGGCCAGCACATGTCTGGCTCCACATGAATTTGCCTTTTGCAGAGCTCACTGGCAGTAGCAGAGCTGCAGCACATCCTGTGTCAAGCTCAGCACATGGCATCTGGAAAATAAAGACAGAATCCTGGACCTGTGGCTTTGTTTCTGACTTTATTCTGCTCTCAGTGATGCAATGAGGGTGAGATGAGCGATGGCAGTGTGCCATGTGCTTGGGCTGGGAGCCCCAGGCTGGCTGTGCTGTCACAGGCATCCCACAGATGGACACTGCAGTGGCAGTGCCATGTTGGCAGCCTGTGGCAGCCCTGGCGCTGCTCAGGCATTGTTGCCTAGGGAGCCTGGCATGGCACTCACCCGCACAGCCTTCCGCAGGGCCCCCCACACCTCCTGGTTGCGGAGGCTGTAGACGAGGGGGTTCAGCATGGGGACGATGATGCAGTACAGCACAGAGACCAGCGTGTCAGCTGCCGGGGAGTAGCCTGAGCTGGGCCGGTTGTAGTTCAGGTTGGCTGCCACGAAGTACAGCGTGACCACGATCAGGTGCGCAGAGCAGGTGGAGAAGGCCTTGCGCCGGCTGGTGGCCAGTGGCATCCCAAGGACGGTGGCCAGGATGCAAAGGTAGGAGATTACGACGAGCAGAAAGGGACTGAGTCCCACAAAGATGCTGGAGATGTGGAGGGCCAGCTCGTTTGGGCGGGTGTCGCTGCAGGTGGCCCCCAGCAGTGGCGGCACGTCGCAGAAGATGTGCTGGAGCCGGGCAACCCCGCAGAAGGAGAGCCGGGCCGCCAGGAGCGTGTGCACGGCCGAGTCCAGCAGCCCCCAGAGCCAGCAGCCGGCGGCAGCGGTGGCGCAGGTGCTGCGGCGCAGGGCCTGGCTGTAGCGCAGGGGCTGGCACACGGCGGTGAAGCGGTCGTAGGCCATGAGGGCCAGCAGCGCGCACTCGGCCCCCGCGCACCACATCAGCAGGAACATCTGTGCCAGGCACCCCCCGTAGGAGATGGTGGCCTGCGGGCGCAGAGCGTTCGCCAGGATCTTGGGCACCGTCACTGATGAGTAGCAAAGGTCCAGGCAAGACAGGTGACTAAGGAAGAAGTACATGGGGCTGTGGAGGTGGGAGTCCAGCGACACGAGGGAGAGTATTGCAGAGTTGCCCAGTAGCGTGGCCAGGTAAATGGCCAGGAAAAGAGCAAAGAGGAAGGGCCGGCCGTGGGAAAAGCCCAGGAGCACAAACTCCGTCACCTGTGTCTGGTTCGTACCTGCCATGGGGCAAGTTGGGTCTGGCTTTGGGCAGAGCCCTGAGGAGGAGGGATGACTGTGAGGCAAGGGACTAGAGCACAGCCCCTCGTGAAGCAAGGGGGTCCCTAGTGGTACAGCTCTGATCCCATCTCCCTGGTGGTTGAAAGTTTCCTGAGTTCAGATTTCACAGATGCTGGGATTTTGGAGTCCAAAGAGCTGCCATCCTGTGTTGGGTACCTGATTGCAGAACAAGCACACAGAAAAACCCAAGAGCAGGGGGTATTCACCCACGCCTCTTGGAGTTCTTTGCCTACCCAGCCCCTTGTCCTGATGGCTATTCCAAGCATGTGTCCCTCCCCCTCCTGGATGTATTTATTCTGACTAAAAGTTTCCCTGCCCCTGGTCACGTCACAGCATTCCCTGATGCTGTCATTGAGCTTGCTCTTCCCCAGCCCTCGGCTGGGAATTTGGCATCACCCTGCACCAGTCAATTTGTTTTTCTTTTTCCTGTTTCCTGCTCCGTAATAACCAGCTCTCACAAAGCAGGGGTCCCACTTACAAAAGTACAGGTTCCAACAAAGAGCAACTCATCACATGGGGTTTGTTGAGCCACAGGAAAATTTAAGCCAGCAGGGTTCTCCTGGCCTGGAACTCCCTACCATTTTTCCATCATCCTATTTCAATTTTCACCCTGACACAAGGGTTTTGCTCACTGTCACATGGAGCTGTGATCACCATGTCCAAGAGATGGAGGAGGCCTGAGGAAGCATTTCTGGTTGAGAACTTCAGCCAGGGGCTGATGGGGGTGGCACGTGCTGGGCACATCCAGCCAGGGCTGCTGCTGCCCACCCTGCCCCTGCCATGGACTCCATGGGGCGGGGGGGCAAGGCGCTTCAGTGGGCAAATGCAGTGAAAGAAGAGAAGAGAAGAGAAGAGAAGAGAGAAGAGAGAAGAGAGAAGAGAGAAGAGAGAAGAGAGAAGAGAGAAGAGAGAAGAGAGAAGAGAGAAGAGAGAAGAGAGAAGAGAGAAGAGAGAAGAGAGAAGAGAGAAGAGAGAAGAGAGAAGAGAGAAGAGAGAAGAGAGAAGAGAGAAGAGAGAAGAGAGAAGAGAGAAGTCCCCTTCCTCTTTATAAAAGTATTTTTAGCAACTGAAGTCAATTGTCTTGTCTGTTCAGGAGATTAACCAATCTGATTTGATTTTAGGTTGATTCCCTTGATTTAGACTCATTAATCTGACTTTAATTTCCCTGCCCTATTCTTGCATCTGTGCATCAGTCATGCATTTATAATATTAATTGCTGGAGAATTCACTGCTTCTGGTGGGAGTTTGTTTCTTATAGCTGCTTACCACAGGAAACTGTGAAAGCACTGTCAAAATTCTGCACTTCTGCCTGCTAGAATTTCTCCATTGTGAGTTCTGTTTCATTCATAACTTTCAGATCTTCCAGCTGAAGACTATCCTGTTCTGAGGGTATTTTCTCCCTGTGCACTGGGAGCAATACCAGGGTTTGCTAAGCAAATTAAGTTCTGATTCATTTCTCCTTCACTTGCTAGTTTTTCAACACCTAAAAAACCAAAACAAACAACTTTGAGAGGAAAATGTTCACTCAGAAGATGAGTTCTTCCTTGCCTGGCACAGAGACATCCTAACTTGTCACTCCATTCAGGATGTGCCAGGCTGGGAAACCTCTCAGTGGGCAAGCTCTCAAGTAGTTGCACAGACCAACATATTCTTTAACTACTTATTCTGCACACTTTGGGGTTTCTTAAATTACTGCACATATTGGAGAGGGACACAAGGACTGTATCATCCAGTGGTCTGGAAATCTCAGACTCTTGCTCTTCCTCCAGCTCCAGGCTGAGCCAAGAACATTTTGATGAAGGAGCAGTGCTGCTGGGAGAGGGTCCTGGGGGCTGAACGCTGGGGGGGCCCATGGTGCCACTCCCCAGGAAGTGCCTCCTGCCTGCCACTGTCCCTGCTGCAGTGCCACACAGCCTGCACATGGATCTGTGCTCACTGGAAATTCAGGCTGCGTGAGCTGCCACAGCACTCAGGCAGCTGGTTTGTCAGGGCACGGGTACCATGTTGTGTGGGGTGAGAGGGGAAGGCTCCGTCCAGGACCTGCCTGGACCCTGCTCCCACTGACCTGTTCATCAGAGGCAGGAGGAGGAGGAATAGGGGAGTTCAGGAACCAGAGTGACAAAAATGTGAATAAATTCAATAATAGGAGGTTGGACATATAAGAGTTAGTCACCTGTTCATGCTCCAAGCTGGGCCTCAACTCCTGGAAAAAGAGCAGATGAGCAAGAGGAAAGTAAGCCCATCACAGTGGGAAATGAACCTTGAGCCCTGCAGTGACCCTGTGTGGCACAGCATGCAGGGAATGGGTAATGTCACTGCAGGAGAGACAGCAAGGGTTCAAGAGCTCATCTGGTGCCCCCCACCCATACTGACAAATCCAGGCTGGATTGGACATGCAACTGCAGGGCTGCAGAGTAGCCACAGGAATGTGCAGAGGAATGATCCTGAGTTTCACCCTAGCGAGGAGCAATGTGGCAGTCAGCAAACACAGCCACAGTTCAGAGATGCCAGATTTAATCCATTTGTCTTCAGACATCCTGAGCACGAAGGAATAGGAAGATACGGGAGGAGAATCTCCCTGTCCCCCCTGGGCTGCACAGGGATGAGCCTGGAAAGAGCCTCCACCTTGCTCAACCCTTTTCCTCCCTCTCTCACCTGCACTGAAGGCGATTTCTCATGGTAACTGCAGACTGAGCAGGTGTTACACTGTGCAGGTACCAGAGCAGGCACACACACCTCTGCCCAGGCAGGCAAGGCCAGAGAGGCTGGATGGGAAGCAGAGAGGGAACACAGATGCACCAGTGCCAGGTTCCTGCCCTTCCCTCAGGAGATGGGAGGGACCTTTGTGACAGTGCCTTGTGAGCCAGCCAGAGACCCAGCTCTGCTGGTGCAGGAGCACATTTGTGCTCCTACCCATGCAGGGAAGCTGCTCCTGCAGGAGGATGTGGTTCTCCTCACCAAGCCACTGCACCTGTACTCACTCAGGTGAGCAGAGCAGACAGCCTGGAGCATTTAGCAGTGGGAGTGGGGCCCTGAGCCCTGGGCACAGCCATGGCCCAGTGCAAGGGCATGGCTGAACTGAGGGAGCAGATAACAACACAGGATTCATTTCTCTTGGAAAGGACTGGATGCCTCTACTGGAGGCAGCAGCAGCAGCCACAGCCTGCCCAGACCACCCAGAGCCCTGGGGGCCAGCACCAGGTTGCCCCCAGCAGTGTATGACAGGGTCCTGGTGAAGCCCTGCTCTCTCACCCCTCCTCACCTCCACAGCCAAGAGCAGAGACTGTATGACACCTAGTCCTTAGTAAGCTGTCCCCAGATGCTGTCCCATGTTCCATGTGCCAGCCATGCCGCAGGTGCTGGCTAGTTTGTCTTACCTGCATGATGAGAAGCTGTGTGTCCTCAGTGCTGTAAGCGCAGCAGGAGCTTTTAACCCTGTGGGGGCCCTGGGGAGAGGCTTCCAGAGGTGGCTCCTGCTCAGCTGCAGCCAGCGGAGTGAGGAGCAGCACCCAGCAGCCTGCAGCGGTGGGATCTGAGCCCACGGGACCAAGCCCTTGTGGCACAGCACCCATGCTGACCTGCCTTGTCCTGGGCTGTGCCAGGTGCTGACCGGCTGTTGCTCCAGCCTTGCAGCTCTTTGGCACCTGGGCACGGGAGGAGGCTGCTGGAGGAGCTGGGAGCTGCAGTTCCTGGGCACCAAGTCCTTCCCACAGCCCCATCTTACCTGTTGCAGGGCTGTGAGGTGCCTGCACCTGCCACTGTCAGCAGAGAGGAGCAGTGATGGGGGCTGGCCTTGGGCCAAGCTGGCAGCACCACAGCCATAGGGGCACAGCAGATGACTGCATGGCACCTGCGCTCCCTGTGCTCCCACACCTGTGCCAACTGTGCCCACTCAGCCCAAGGCACAGCTCTCTGGGGGAGCTGATGTGGTCCAGAGACCTGGAGAGGACTTGGACAGCAGGGACAGAGCCCTAGCAGTGGCACTGGCTGGACACAGAAGGCACCAAAAGTGCCCAGCGCGTTTGAAGGGCTCAGCAGTGAGATGGCTCCAGCTCAGTGAGATGGCTGGGTGAGCACTGCCTGCTCAGAGCCTGGAGCTATTCCTGATAGAAGGAGTGAGTTCAGCTGGAGTTCACCACGTAGTGCCAGGGAAATGTAAAGTGGGACCCCCAGGAGATGAGGACTGCCGCAGGGAGTGAATCTGGAGGTCGAGAGAGAGCTGTGATGTTTCTGCAGCAGGGAAACACTATTGCTTCAGTGTCCTTGCAGCTTCTGCTCCTGGTGGTGGGGCAGTAGGAGATGGTCCAAGCAGAAGCTCTGGACCTGGAATGTCAAGAGAGGAGAGGCTGAACAGCAACATTTCTGGGAAGTAGGAAAGTGTAGGCTACAGCCCCAGATGGGGATGAACACCCTATTTGGAAATCCAACACAGATACCAAGGGAGTGGCAGCCTCAGTGAGGGAAATTCAGGTCAGAAGGTGTCTGGAGCTGAAAAAGATAAGCAGTAAGTGTGAAAAAGAGCAGCTGTGGCTGTGGCCCTGTGTGTGTGTGTGTAGCTGTGGATCTGTGTCCTGTGTGTACATGGAACAGTGACTCTGGGCTCTGCCCTTCTCGAGCACCTCTCAGGCAGGGCAGCTGAGCTGGCAGAGCAGAGGGGCCACGGTAATGGGACTTTTTCACTTATTTGCTTTGAGTTTACAAATTACACTTTTTGCTCATGGCAGTGACGAGCATTTCCTTGTTTCGCACAGAAACTTGGTGCCATGGCATTCCAGTACAACCTGGCCACTCTCCCAATGTTTTAGGGAAGGCACAGGCTGGCAGCACTTGCAGAAACCCCCTCCCACTTTGATATTTGAAAAGGGACTTTTCTGAGACCATCAATACTTGGCACAAATATTAAAATATACTGAAATCTCCCTGGATGCCATGAACTTCAGTTCTGGTAGTCCACATCTTCAGAACAGCCTTTAGGATAAGAAATATCATGTTTGTGTCCCCCTCTAGTCTCCTGATGGATATCAAACCTGGCCAGTGATGTCCAGCAGTAAATCAAATCTCCATGAACTTGTGAAATGTTAAGGGAGATGTTTTTTTAAACCAAATACCTCAAATTGGGGGTGCAGCCTTCAGGATTGGGCCCAGATCCTATAAATACTTGTCACTTCTGAAAATCAGACTCTTAACTTACCTTTTCCAAGCATGTGTCGTATCTCCCAAAGCCAAGGGCATTGTTGTAGCACCAGTAACTTCTCCCAGTGCTGTTCCTTGGCTGTTTTGAGGGATGCACCTTCCTGCTCAAGAATTCTTTCTCCACCAGAAATCACCATCACTTGTATCTCAGCTCCCTGCCAGCTGGTTCTGATCTCCACATGGGCACAACTGCTTCCTTTGAGGATGGGGACAAGAAAGTGGTGGGTTTTGTCTGGATTTTGCCTGTCTCCTCTCTCCATGTCCCCCTGTAACGAGTGTGGCACCGGTTTTGGGGTAACCTCCCTACAGGGCCTGACAGACAAATGGCTCTTTGGTGTTCCCAAAGCCATTCCTGCTGTGGGCAGAGTCCACTCAGCACTTCCAGCCCCCGCTCTCAGTGTGGAGCTTCATCCCTAGCCTGTTTGGGGGGTCTTCACTGACCTCTCCTGAGATTGTGGTGCTGTTTTTTTCAGGGAGCGCTGGATGCAGGATCTGGCATTTGTCTTTGTTGAATTGTACCAGCTGCTTCTGGCTTCATTTTCCAGTCTGTCCAAGTCCTTCTGGCCCTGCCCTGGAGCACTGGTCCCCCTGACTTGTGTCACCCACAACCCTGACAGGAGAACACTGTCACCTCTTTCCTACAGCTGAAGTGAATGTTCCACAGAACATGTGTCAAGACAGACCCTGGTGACACTCCACTTGTCCCTGCCCTCTAGACAGAGCATGATCTCACCCTCTGAACCTGGTGGCCTGGGCAGATGCTTTCCCTGGCATTGCTGCTGCTCTGACATGTGCCCACTGAGAGCCCTCCTGGCCTTCTTCCCTGCTCACCCTGCTGCTGCCCAGGCAGCCTCTGGGCCCAGGATCCCTGCAGCCACAACAGGCTCAGGAGCTCAGTGGGTTTTTGATAGCCAAAATTCTCCCCGAGGAGCGAGAGTTTCATGCTCAAGTTTTTCCTCTCCATGGGTTTGGCTGCATCAGATGCAGTTCTGAGGGCACGAAAACTGTCCTGTCCTGCAGGTGTCATCCAGACAGCAGTTCCAGCAGATTTCATACAACTTAGAGCTTGTGCTTTCCTGTTCCCCTTTTCTTCTCCAGCTGGGCTTCCACATCCCTGGCAGTGTCCAAGACGAGGCTGGACAGGGCTTGAAGCGACCTGGTCTAGCAGAAGATGCCCCTGCCCCTGGCAGGGGGTGGAACTGGATGAGCTTTAAGGTCCCTCTCAAGCCAAATCAATCTGAGAGTCTGTGATTCTAGCACCACTTTTTAAAACTCCCCATGGGCACTCTTCTGTAGGATTTTCTCATGTCCCACTGTTGTCGGAGTGAGGAAAAGGGGGCCCTGACCACAGTCTCCAGTTGCCTCATGGTCCTGGGAGAGGTGACGGGTACAGAGCACTCACAGCTGCGTGGTGACCAGAGAGGCAACTTGGACAAGCTGGAACAGGAGACATCCTCGCTGGATCTCAGAAAAAACCTTGGAGCACTAATAAAGGCCCTGAGAGGCTCCTGACTCTGACCTTGGAGATTCTCAGTACTCACCTGGCCACAGATGAGCACAGTCCCAGCCTGAGCCACCTCTGCTGCAAGGGCCTCCTCAAAGCATGGCCTGGTCCAGCTTCCCTGCCCAGCATAAGGCTGATGCTGGAATCAAACTCTCACCAGGTTTTCCAATAATAATATTTCAGGGGTTTCTCCCAATGATTTCCTCAGGAAAAGCACTTCCTTCAGTATATTTTAAATTATTTTTAGCTTAATTGCCAGGGCCACCTGTTACTGGAACCAGGCAAGGAATAAGAATAAGCTAAATTTGGCATTTCCACTTTAGCCTATCCAAGACAGGACAACAGCCTCACCCCACATCTTGTGGGAGAGGTCGTAGATTCCTGCCAGACTCCTCTCCCAACACTTGACAAGGAGGTTTTTGTCTGAAGAATATTGTACTGTTTCAAGCTTTTGTCCAGCGTAATTTATATTTGTGTTTAAGAAGACTGGGCAAGAAGGGTTGCAGTTTTGTGGTCTAACCATAAACTGGCCAAAGCTGACCGTATTTGCAGTGTTTGTAGTGTGCTGATGTTTGCAGAAGCCCAAACCCTGCACTCACGAACATGGAGTGAGTGCCTCTTAACCTGGGGCATCACCCTTGCCCAGGGGAGGTCCAGCACCTGCAGGGGCCTGGACATGGAAAGTGTGGTCATGGCAGCAGCCCTGGGGCCACTGGCTCTTCCTGGCCGACTTGTGCTCAGAAAGCACCAAGGAAAGTCTCTTCTGTCATCACTTTTGCCTCATGGTTTCTCATGGTCCTTCTGGGCCGTGGTGGCAGCTGCTGCCTGTCTCCTCCTTCCCACTGCAGAGGGCCAGCCCGAGGCTCCTCACCCAGGTGTGGGCACCAGCTCTGCCCCTGGGGCCAATCAGGGCACTTCCACCAGGAGGCTGAAGTTGGAGAGGAGCTCCTGTGTTCCCAGTCTGGTCCCATCCCCACAGCCTCCTGGTGGGAACAGGAGCTCCAGTGCCAATTACAAAAGCCCAGAGCACTCCACCTGCTCACCTGCATGTTTGTGAATGTGCAAACAAGGCCCACAGCGGGCTGTTAAAAGTTCTGGGCTGGTAAAAGTTCAATGCAACCACTTAACTCACAGCTGCTGGAATCAGTCACATCCCAGAGGCACTTGGAGCGAGAAGACCCCACATGGCACAGACCTACCACCTTGAAAAGGTAGGACACACACCTGGACACACACCTGGAACTGTTGAAGTAAAACAAAAAGAGAAAACAGTAAGTAATTGACCAATGCTTTGACAGGCTCTGGGAAATATTTGGGTGACAGGAAGCATTTTGAAAACAACTTTTTTTGCAACAAAAAATAAAATGTTAACATTCCAGAGCTATTTGCAATCCTGATTGTACCTCCTGCCCAAATTCTTGCTCTGCTCCAGCCACAGCAGTTTATCCCACAGTAGGTAGGAGCAGTTATTACAGCATTGCATACCTCATACATTACTTGTTTGAGTCGTTCTGGTGCCTCTCGGTCCTCTGCTGAGTCACCTCTGATTTTTAACTTCCAAAGCGTTTAATTTAACACAATTTATCTAATTTTTCTCTCCTTGCTGCCCCTTTCCCATCCCTGATCTGTGGGTACAGGCCAAGCTGAAACCAGAGACCCGGGCCTTGCCTCAGGCTTATTCTTTTCTGTCACAAAGATTTTTGATTGCTTTATCTGACCTCCAAACTTTGTATCACAAAATAACAAAAACAATAATCTGAATTCTGGTTCAGCTTAGTTTTGTGATGGATGGTGCTGCCACAATCTCACATCTGTAATTTTCCTGGTGTTTTCCTTCTGTCCAATGTTTAAACTTCTCCTGCCTGTTGTCCCTTTGCAGGTACCAAGGGATGGGACTGGGAAATACTGAACCGTGGCTGCTGCTGCATGCAGGATTTCTAAAGAGTTTCCATAAAACATCTGTTCTCTGGAAAGGATCAACACAGCCCCATCTTAAATTTAAATATTCAGCTCCAGCAGCAGCAGCAGATGCTTTGCACAACCGATGGCTTTCAACTTTCCCTGGGTGCTGTGGGAGATACAGAACTGTGTTTTGTTTATCTAGAATGTTTTGGAAGGCAGGGGAGCATTAATGAGGAAATCTGGCTAATACAAGTACTCAATAGTCATGTGTGAATGGAGGGGCCAATCAAGTCCTGGACATGATGATAATTGGGATCGGGATCTGATGGGGAGATGAAAACTGGCTCTTCCTGGAGCCTGCCAGGGCTTTGGACAGTGCATCACAAAGATGTGGCTGTCTGGACACAGGTGAGGAGGAGCACATGTGGATGGCTTGTCTGTGTAGGCTGGAGTCTGGTCTCTCATGAGGTTTTCCTGATCTGTGGCACCACACCAAGCTCAGTTACATTTGGTCAGTGTCCTGATCCAGCCCATGCTTGGCCTGTCTGGGGCATGAGGTGGGAGAGTGTTGGGGAAGATGAAACAGGAAAGCCTTATAAATATGATTGCTTGGCAAGATTTTGAGAATATGGAAACTATAAGCGAGATTGAAATGAAAGCAAGCTTTCAGATACCTTGGTTACTAACAACTGGAAAACAATGGTATGGCCAGCTGAAGGTAATCCCTTTTGAGGAAACAACACCCTCTGCTTGCAGACAGGTCCAAGGGCCAGAGCAGACTCTACTAGCTTGGCAGAAGGGGCCCAAAGAGTAGCTTTTAGGGTTTAAAATGTACCACAGTATGGTAATGTAATGATTCTTATAGGCTGTATGTAAATACTATAGATTTGTATCTTGTACTAAATTGGTTAGTGAAAATTAGAATATTCAGCTCAGAAGATTTATTGTATTGTAATGGGAACTTTGTCCTCTTTGGTCCTCTCTTTTCCTCTTGCTCTCTCTCTCCCCAGCTCCTCTTTGGGGCCTGCTCTGAGCTGTGGCTGGAAGCTCCCTGCACCCAGCCTTTGGCAATAAACCACAGGTTCCAAGACCTGGCTCCAGAGATCTCTCGTCTCCATCCTTCCCAACTGTCCTACTCCTGCCGCTCCTACAGGAGAGGGTTTATTTTCTGTGCTAGGAAGAAAACAGTGCCAGTCTATGACGATTTTTTTCCTCATAGTTTGGTGTTTCTCTCACTCCTTGTTTCTCCTGCTTTGTACAGCACCTCTGTGGGAAAACTGTGGACAACAGGGTTGTGACCCCCAAATCTGAGATGACCGTTTGCTAATCCTGTGGAACTTTCAGTGTGGGGATGGATTGCACTTCTCTGGCACAGCCTTCCCTAAACATCATTACTTCTGTTTGTGTGGGATTCTGTGGCTGCTTTCCCAGGCTCCTTTTCTTTTCCACGGGAGAACCCACAGCCTGATACATGACCAAATCCACAAAATCTTTGGCCACCTACAACACCCTTGTCTCTAGCTCTGCACAGTGAGATGCAGCTTTAGCAGAGGAAAGTGCAGCAAGCACTGAAGTGAAAAATTTTTATATTTCCACTTGGAAATATAGTATCCATTTTTCCTTGTCCCCAGACCTGGGAAAAGCAGAAGACAGGCTGTTGTGAGAAGAGCAGATCTGCCGGTTCTTGGCTTCCTTCCTGCCTCTGTCAATGTGGGGATTGAAGCACTCGAGACGATGTTTCGTGTTCCGACTGAGGTGTTTATTATTTCTTATCTCTATTACAAATGGTGAGTTCTACAGCATTCTACTAACAAGCTACAAAATGGCTAACAATCTTTCTGTACATGGTCTTTTAAGGCTAAACTATCCAATTAAGAAATTACACCTAAATTATTTTCACTCTTAACCTAATAACTAATCACTCAAAGTCCGCAATGTGGACTTTTCTGTCCAATTACACAAAACCACCCAAACCTATGAAGAAGGAAGAAGATGAAGAAGGACCAGCTACCACGCTAAAACCTCCATCTTGCTCTACATATATTACTATATTCTAAAACCTTAAACTCTTAAGTTTTCCACCCTGGAATATCACACACTTCTAACCAACTACACACCCATAATCCAAGCGCTATCAATCAATTTTGGAAGCCTTCTCTACAGCCTCAGGTCAATGCAGTGTTCTCTTGGGGATCAGTGCATGTCAGCACAGAAAGTCTGAAATTCTCAGCATCCAGGGCTCCAACACAGATCCGCTGCAGAGATGGAGTGTTGAGGCCGAAGTCCTGCCTTGGCATAGGGGCTCCTGACCTTATTTTATCACCCTTGGAGTATAAAAATAATAAAAGAGGGTTTTTTATGTCTCAGTGAAATTGCCAGTTTTCAGGTCATTTCCACTGCCTTGTGTCCATTCCTGGGACACCTAAGGTTCCCTTCACTGCTCACACCTGGGATTTCTACCCATTGATAAACCCCACTGAGGTCCTAGGTCTGAGCAGCCCCAGCCCACAGCCTCTCCTTACCTGTCAGACTCTCAGATGTCCCAATCAATCCATGCTGGACTCCAGTTCTGACCAGCCTGTCTTGCACTGGGGAGTTCAAAACTGGTGCCAATGCTGCAGATGTGGCCTTACCTGTGCCCCAGGAGGGGACAAGGGTAACCTGAGGGCAAGTGCTCTGGCTCCCACACCTGAGGATGTTGTCAGACCATGGAGGTGCACTGCTGACTCAGGGGTGGCTCATGGCCATCAGTGTCTCTGGTCCCTCACACCAGTGTTGTCAGATGGAAACATCCTTGCCCAGGTGCAGGACATGGCATTTTCCTCTAGAAACTTCATGAAATTCCCATGGGCCCATTTCTCCCTGAAGAGACCAGCCCAGGGAGGGACGACACCAGAGCAGGCACACACCTGAGGGACTGCAGCCTGAGTGTGCCATGAGTGAGTAAACAAGAAGGAAAGAGGAAGAAACAAGTAGAAAAGCAAAGCCTAGCCCAGCCCCAGCCCTCTGTGCTGTGTCACCTCCCTCAGGGACTAGGAGAGACTAGGCAGAACCTGCAGGGAAAGAGGGGAGAAAAGATGCTGGACTGAAGCTGAACCTGGGAAAGTAGAGGAAAGGTGTTTCCCCAGGTGTTTCTTCAGTCATTACCTTGGGTCTTCCTCGGTACATGAATCAGTAACTAGAAGTTTATGTTACAGCAATAAATAAAGTGAAGTTCCTCAGGCTGAGAGGGTTCTGCCCGTGGTGGCAGAGACTGAGGCCAGGCCTGGGCTGGGATCAGCACTGATTGCCCTCTGAAGCCTTTCCTTCCCTTCTCCCCAGGCCAAACCGTGTTCTCCCCTCCAGTGCTGACACAAGCCTGCTCCATTCTTCCAAGAGCAGACCAAGTTTAGGCTCCAACTCACACGTCCCTCTGAGATGCCCTGTCCCAGCTCCACACCTGAAGTGTCCCTGCAGGTGCCTGGGCTGGACCTTGTGCCCCAGGCAGTGCTGGGGCACCTGGGGCAAAAGCTGCTGCAGACACACAGCCGTGACCAGCCCTGTGCACAGACCCCACAGGTGGGCCAGGCACCTGCAGCTTCCAGGAAAAAACCTGTACTGAGGTGCCACATTGTCTCGGTTTGAGACCAACTGGGAGACTGATTTACTGCTGCAACACACACCCATCAGCACGGAATGGCCTGGGCTGGGAGGGACCATTCAGCTCATCCAGCTCCATGCCCCTGCCATGAACAGGGATGTCACCCACTGCTCCAGGCTGCTCCAGGCCCATCCAACTCAGCCCAGGAAACTGCCAGGGATGGGGCAAGCACCACTAGAAAAGCAAAAAATCACTTACTGGGTATTTACAAGGAAAAGAAAAAGAAAATGGGAAAAAACCCAAAACAAACAAACCCACTTTGATAAGAGCCCTCAAAGCAGAGTTACCTGTGACATTCTGTAAGACTTCCTTGGAGAGCAAAAATCAGTTTTGACACTGTCTCCTGCAAGAAACACCATGTGCTTCAGCCTCAGGTCTCTGAAAGTCTGCTGGACAGCTTTAGATTCACACAATAAATCCTCTGTCTGGGGCAATGGGCTGCCCAGTCCGAGCACCTGTGCTCAGGTACAGCCTCAGGGCCAGGGCAATGTCAAGGTGCCACCCAGCAGGTATCTGAACCACGGTGGCTGTAAGGCAGTGTCACTGTGACAATCCTGCTGCCAGAGTTCTCTGCATTGGCAATGTTCAGAAGGGCCCTTTTCCCAAGTGTAACCATTGCAAGTGAGTAGAAAAAAGACCAAAACTTCAAAAATGGCAAGTGTGAGCCAGGAATTATCAGTTAATGATATTCCCAAGGAATATCCAAAAAGGAAAGCACAACATAAAAGAAGAAAGGTGAAAAACAGTAAAGTTTAATAGTTAAAAACACAAAGATCTGAGCAAAACCTCCAGGAATCAATAAAATAACTGACAAAATATCAATAAAGTATCAACAGCACTGGGGACAGCAGCTCTCAGAGCTGTGTGAAGACACACAGGATCCTGAGCAGATCCACTCTGGACACTGCTGAGGACAGGGACAGCAGTGATGTCCTGCAGATCCCTGGATCTGTACCTGGAACAGAACAAGGACCATTTGATCCCAGACAGGAGGAGGGAACACAAACACGGGTGAGTCCAGGCAGTGCTTTCCACCACAGAGTCAGTCAGTCAGTCACTACCCAACACCTCACGGGGTTCTGGAAGCACCTGCAGAGTCCCTGCCTTGGCTCTGCTGAATCTCGGCTCAGCTTTCCTGCCCCAAGCACAGCACACCTTCCCCAGCCCAGGCATTTGGGACTGCCCAAAGGAAATTCCAACAGGGCACTGTAACTAAAATGGCAGCACTGCAAGGAGCCCATAGGGAGACAGCATAAATGGACTGAAACCCTGTCCTGGAACACATCTCACACGGCATCACAGAGAGAAACACCATTCAGCCACCAGGACCTGGCTCTGTACCTCCCAACTGAGCCCTCCTGCACCACCCTGTCATTATTCCACCATGTATCTGGGTAATTTAATGGCCTTGTTCATCCCATTTCCCAAGGACACAGAACTGCCCCAGCACCCAGGCGGGCCCTGGACACTGAGGGCTCCAAGTGCTCTCATATGCAGAGCTACTGGCAAAGCTCCTCATTTCCCAGCCCAGCTGCAGGTGAGCAAGGACAGGACTGTTCATCTTGCCCTGCTGATGTCTTTCTTCATGTTCTTCTTCCTTCTTTTCTCCCTAAGGCACTGTGGGAACAGCCAGCTGAGACTTCCCAGCAGCAACCCAGGACAATCCCATCTGGAACAAGCAACCCATCCTTCACCTGGCCCTTGACCAACTCACCTGCCCTGTTCACACCCAAACAAACTCAGGGGGCCAGTGAGCTGCATGGCCAGACTGTCAGCATGAGCACTGCAGGGGGAACTCCTACAGTACCCCAGCATCCTGTTACACCAATAATCTGATCCCAGGCAGCACAACGCTGCTCTCCCCCTCCCACGCTCCCTGAAAGGCAGCACAGCTCTGCGTCTGCTGCCCAGAGGAGTGCCCACAGCGGCTGCCAGGCCAGCCAAGCAGGCCCTGCCCGGTACCTGTGCTGGCTGTGCCCCGAGCACGCGGTGCACGCGCTCCTGGGCGCTGTAGAACAGCTGCCCCCGCCGCAGCCGCGGCTCCTCCTGCTCGTACCAGCGCTGCTCGTCAAACTCGGGGAAGAAAAAGGCAATTTCTCTGCTGGCTGAGGCAGCCGAGTCTGAAAAAAAGAGAGGCAAAGAATGACAGAGAGATGCCAGTCTGCCACCACAAACACGTGCTGGACTCCAAAGGTGCCTGGCTAGGCTGCACCTGGCCAGGTGTGCGTGGGGTCTGCAGAATGGAACAAATCACTCACTTGGAGCCCCAGAACTAAAGCAAAGGCGGACAAAGCACCATCACTCCTGCCTCCCCAAGAACTATCCAAGAATGCTAGGCCTACCTGAGCCATGGGTCGTATTCCTGGTGTCTGTAAGGCCATAGGCACCTCGGATGGAGTCTGGGTCGCTGTGTCGGGCTCGGAACACTTTAGTGGGTCCCATCAGGGATCTCCAGAGAGGGACAGCGTCCTCATGGGCCAGGATGTAAGCCCACATGGGGCCACTGCAGCAAGGGCCCAGGAACAGCAGGAGAAAAGATTACGAAGAGCTCATTACTAACAGGTTATTCGTCCTCACAAACCTGCACAGTGCAGCCGCCCTGGCCTGCCCTGGCACGGTGCCACCGCGGCACCGAGGCCACGGCGCTGGCACTGCCGGCCTACTCCAAATGATGACCGGCACACCTTCGGGGCTGCCACCCGCCAGGTATCACTGCTGCCACAGCAGGCTGCGATCCCGAGAGCCTCCCACCTCGCACGCGGGCACGGCAGCGCACAGCCGCGGCACGTACCTGGCCATGAACTCCACCAGCCGCTGGTAGAAGAAACGCCCTGCGGAGAGACACGGGCCGCGTGGGCACCGGCCCGGGGCAGCAAGCCGCCCCGCAGCCCTGAGCCCCGCTCGTACCTGCGTGCTCCCGGTAGAAGCGGCGGCTCTGCTCCGCGCCGCACCGCAGCTCCTTGGCGCGGACGATGAGGAACCGGTGACGGAGGATGGCGGCGTGCACGGCCTGCGGGAAGAGGCGGTGCTGGGGGGGTTCGTGGCGAGGCCTGCTGTGCCGTGCCGTGCCGTGCCGTGCTGTGCCCGGCCCGGCCCGGCCCGGCGCTCACCTCGCGCACCAGCGGATGCGCCACGGCGTCCGGCTTGAGCAGCGCCAGCGTCAGCTGGAGCTCGTCGCGCGGCAGCGGGCACGCGCAGGCGCTGCCATGGCGACGGCGGCGGAGCAGCAGGCGCGGGCCGCGGCGCGGGAGGAGGCCCCAGCCCCGGATGGGGCCCGCGATGAGGCCGCGGCCGGCGCCGAGGAGACGGTGAAGATCATCTGCCTGGGCGACAGCGCCGTGGGCAAGTCCAAGTGCGTGGGGCGCGGGCGGCCCGCGGGTTGTGGCGGGGGTCCCGCGGAGCCGGGCGGGCCGCGGCTGACGGGACGCGTGCTGTGTCCGCAGGCTGCTGGAGCGGTTCCTGCTCGATGGCTTGTATCCTTGGCAGCGGGGCGGCGGGCAGGCCGGCGGCGGGCGGGGTCGCGGGCCGGCGGCTGTGCCCTCGCGGTGGCTCCTTAGCGCGGCGCAGCCAGCCCCAGCAGCTCTCCACGTTCGCCCTGACGCTGTACCAGCACCGCGCCCGCGTGGGCGGCCAGGAGGTCCGCGTGGGTGAGTGGGGCCAGCCCGGGGACATGGGGTGCCGTGGCAGACGAGGGCAGATTCCCTTCGCTCTGGGTCTCGGCTACGTGTTTTGATAAACAGCAGCATGGTGATAAATCTGGTGCCCTTCTGGGACGGGGCTGCAGCATTGGTGGATGGGGCAAAGTGACTGCCATCATCCTCCTGGGCTTGCAAAGTGTGGGGCACGGTCCCCACGATGTCCTGGACTCTGAGCTGGAGAGGGTTGGTTGGATGGATCCGTGGACAGTCGGAGGATAAAGAATGGTCTGGATGGACTCTGCGTGGAGTCACTGGTCACGGCTCTTTGGGGCTGGGGCTGACACTGCTTAACATCTTTGTTGTGACACAGACAGTGAGTGCAAATGTGGTCTGGTGGGGACCTGTCTGTATTTGGGCAGTTTAAGAAAGTCACTGTCCAGTAGGTCTGACACAGAGTCCAGTCACAGTATCAGTGCAAAGGAATCCCTAAGGAAACTGGTTCATTTGGCTTCGGATACAGCACCACACTTGGGTTCAGCTGACAGGAGGTGTGACTACACTGAGATTCTTAACTGAAGCTGTGCCAATTTATACAGCAAACCAGAGCCAGATCTGAACCTACAAACCCAGTGAGAGGTGGGGGATCTCCACCTGAGCTGCACCAACAGCAAAAGGCACGGCCGTGTCCAGGTTTGCTCCATGGTGTCTGGTGTACACAGAACTTCATGGACTGGGACCTGTTTGCCTCTGGCTGACTTACCTTCAGCACTTCAGGATGATTCCTGCCCCTGGGAGAACAGAGTCAGGTGTCTGTGAGAGGAGCTGGAGCATTTCCCACAGCAGGGCCCCAGCTGACCATCACTGGGTCAGAAATCAGCAGTGCCCAGCAGCTCCTGGAGTTTTAGGTAGTTTCCCGTTGTCATCCCTAGTGACAGAGTGGCAGGCATGGCAACTGCTGTGTGCACTTCTGCCTGTCTTGGTCCTGCTGTCCCACACAACTTGTGTCACTGGTGGCTTCTCCTTTGTTGATGGCCAGTGCCAGCATAGCCCACAGCTGAGCCCAGTAAGGAAAGGTCCCAGTTTGGCACAATTTCTTAACCCTAAGGTGTTTCAGATTGGTGAGGTGAAGCTCAGTGTGTGTCTCTGAGCAGGTGGGCTGGGCTTTGCCTCCTGGGTGTGAGTTGTGGGAAAAGCAGAGCTCGGTGAGTTGTGTCATTCTGAGCTGTTTTTGTGTTCCAGACTTCTGGGACACGGCGGGCCAGGAACGCTTCCGGAGCATGCACGCCTCCTACTACCACCAGGCCCATGCCTGCATCATGGTGAGGGAGTCTCAGCTGGACCCGTGGGATTTGGGCACAGAATGGTCTCAGTGACACTTGGCCTTTGTGTTACTTTTATGGTTACACTGCCATGTGTTCCTTGTCTCTTCCAGTCACTTAAAAAACTTTCCTATATTGTTCTTTCTTCTCTCACCAGATAAACCCCCTGTAGATGGACCTGATTAGCTCTGGTCTGTCTCTCCTGGTAACCCTTTTCCTCCATCCCCTGGCTCTGCTGTCTTCTCAATGTCCTCATGTTTGCCCCTGTTGCCAGTTTTGGTGGCTCCTCTCCTGCTCAGATCTCCTGATTTGTCCTGTCGCCCTCACTTTCCACCAGTGATTTTCATTGGTGCTTTAGTTGCCAGAACAGAGGATCTGATCCTGCTTGGCACAAGCTGTTCCCTCTGTGGGTGGTAGGGACTTGCACAGGACACAGGACGGTGTAAAGGACATCCAGGGCTGTTTCCTGCTGGCTGGGTTTGGCGATACTGTCCCTTTCTCTTTCACCCTTTGTAATAATGCCCAGTTCCCTTTGTCTTGTCTTTCTGGGAACATTCTGGATTCTGTCCTTGTGTTGGTCAGAGCTGTCCTGGGTCAGTCAGCCTTGCTGGGCTGGCCCCGGGATAGGTGGTTCTCTCTTGGAAGGTGTTTGATGTGCAGCGGAAGGTCACCTACAAGAACCTGAACAGCTGGTACAAGGAGCTGAGGGAATTCCGCCCAGAAATCCCATGCATTGTAGTGGCCAACAAGATTGATGGTGAGCATGCCTTCTGCTGCCAGCTTGCCAGGGTTGTGCTGGGATTCACTCCTGTCCTTACTGAGAACCAATGTCCCTTGTCTGTTGGGTCCAGAGGATTTCCTCAGTCCCCCAGGGCTGGGTCCTGTGCTGACCTCAGCTGCTGCTTTACAGGTGCTTGTCCTGTGTCACCAGCAATTAAAAGTGCAAATTTCATCCATTTCAATTTATTCAAGCATTTTTCTTCCAGTTCTCCCCTTACCACACTGCCTATTCTATCCATCAAGACCCCAAAAGTGATTGGAATAGCACCTGGTCAAAAATAGCAGCAAAAGGAAGCAAAAGCTGTTCTGTGGCTTCCCTAGATCAGTCAGGGATGGCCTTAGTGCTCCTTCAGCCTGCACAGACTCCTCTGTGCTGACGTGTCTCAATGCACCTGCTGACAGAACTGTTCACCTGGCCCTGCAGGAGGCTGAAAGGTTCTCTCCCATGGGGAATGCCAGCCAGCCCTTCGTGATTGCCGTCACAGGGTTGTGCTCGTCCGGCTTAGCAGGGGCTGACGTGTCACACAGAAGACACCCACCTTTGGACCTCCTGCCATGTCTGACTGACCATGTCTTCTTTGTCTGCCTCAGCGGATATGAAGGTGACCCAGAGAAGCTTCAACTTTGCCCGGAAGTTCAGCTTGCCCTTTTACTTTGTGTCTGCTGCCAATGGCACCAACGTGGTGAAGGTGAGATGGGTGTTCGGCTGCTGGGCTTGGTGTCCACGAGAGCCCTTGGCAGCCCATGGGGACTGCTGTGGGCACAGAGAGCAGGAAATGGTCCATCATTTCAGCTCCATGTGAGTGGCTGGTGGCTATGGAGTGCGGCAGAAGGGGTTTTTTCCCTGGGATGTGGGAACAGTCTCCATTTGCTACAAAAACCCAGTGCCCATGTGCCCCATTCTGTGAGTGACGAGCCTTGTCCTTCCCACCAGCTCTTCAACGACGCCATCAGACTGGCTGTGGCTTACAAACAGCACTCAGGAGACTTCATGGACGAGATCCTGCGGGAGCTGGAGGTAGGGAAGGCTCTGTCCCTGCTCGGTCCTGAGTCCTGTCAGATGAGCAGTTCTGCCCTTTTCCCTTGTGGCAAAGCGGGGAAACTGCAGCACGGGAAGCTTTGCCCTCTGCTGGGCTTTGTGTGCTGCTCAGTCTGGGCTGGGAGGGGGGAAGTGGGAGCCATCACAAGAGTTCTCACTGCCCTAGGCGGAGTCTAAAAGAGCTGCCACAGCAGATACAGTTGTTGCAGTCTGTCATTTCTCAGTAGTTCCTTGTCCCGCTCCTTTCCAGAGCTTTGATCTGCAGAACACAAGCAAGGATTTGTCAGATAAAGGGAAGAGCTGCACTGAAGAGGAGCCCTCATCTGCCTAGGCCTGGACCCTGAGCCTATTTTCCCCTTGGCTCTGGACTTCTGGGGCCTGCATGGAGGACAGTGATGCTTCTCATGCCCTAGAGCTGTGGTGATGGGCAGCTGGGCCTCTTCCCTTGTGGGAGTCTGCCTGGGCAGGATCTTCATTGGCTCAGCCCTTGCTGCTGCACACTTCGCTCAGGAGAGGGATGGGAGAATCCACATGATTCTGCATGGATGGTGGCTCATTCCTACTGCTCCTTCAGGACAGAGCTGCCTGGGAGAAGTGAGCCATCCTGGACCTGCAGGAGGTATCCTGCCCAGGCGCTGTAGTGGTACCTGCTGCAGAAAGCAAACACTAAAGGATATTTTTTACAAAGCTATGAGATGGCATCCTCCCTGCGCTGCTGCTGTAAGGAGGCAGGTGGTTTAAGGCCACAGGCCAGCCAGCCTGCTCCCAGCTGAGCCAGTGCTGCCTCAGTCCACCCATGACCTCTGCTGCCCATCCCTGGGCTGCTGTCCCCATTCTGCCCCAGAACAGCCAGATCCCAGGGGCTGCTGAGCACAGGAGGTTTCTCCTTCCAGGTCTGTACAGCTGACACATGTGGGCTCACACCCAGGAGCTGGTTCTGTCCCAGCTTATTGGATGTGGCCATGGCTCTTGTCTGTGTCTCTGCACACGATGCTGCATTCCAGAGAGCTGGATACACACAAAGTCACGGAATCATGGAATGGTTTGGTTTGAAAGGCACCTTAAAGGTCACCTCATTCCACTCCCTTCCATGGACAGGGAGACTTTCCACTATCCCAGGTTGCTCCAAGTCCTGTCCAGCCTGGCCTTAGACACCTCCAGGGATCCAGGGGCAGCCACATCTTCTCTAGGCACTGTGTGCCAGGGCCTCATCACTCCCTGAGTAAAAACTCCTTCCCACCACCATCCCAATCTCCCCTCCTCTAGATTTAATCCATTCCTCCTTATCCTGTCATGGCCTGCCCATGCAAAAAGCCGCTCTCCCCCACTATTATAACCTGCTTCAGGCACGGCAAGGGGCACTGAGGTTTCCCCGGAGCCCTCTCCAGGCTGAAGAATGAATGTGAACACAGCAGATGGACACAGCAGGGACTCTGTGGGCCTGCCAGTGCACTGAGCAGGGCTGAAAACACAGTTAATGGTGAACACAGAAACTTTACTTCAACGCCTCAGTCACGTCAGCATCGCTGTGGCTGCAGCGCAGCAGCGTGGGCAGGACAGAGAAGCCTCTGGCCCCAAGGCTACCTTTGGCCCAGCAGGAACTGCCGTGATCCACTGTAGCCCTGGAGCCTGCTCATCCTGCTGCTGCTCAGGCTTTTTTGTCCTTCTGAAACTGCAGGAATTCCTGCAGCAGATTCCAAAATTGCACCAGGAACTGGTGTGGGAATGCCATGGGCAGTGACGAGCCCGAGGATGTCACTGCTGGTCTCCGGCTGTACTCAGGGGTCAAGTTGATATCTTCCTCTGCTTCCTCTGCTTCCTCTGCTTCCTCAGGCTCCTCCTCGGGGGCCGAGGTGACAACTGGCTCTGGTGCTGGACCAGCTCTTTCTGCTGGGCTCAGGCCCGTCTGGAGTAGGATCCAGTTGTAGAAGTGCTGAGTGGAGGTGTAGATCCCGGGGTGCCTGGCTCTGTCACAGCCTCTTCCCCAGCTGTTCAATCCCACCAGCCAGTAGTAGTCAGCGTCATTGTCCTTGCAGACGAGGGGACCCCCGCTGTCCCCCTGTGCCAGAAGAGATGGCTCAGGGACTGTGGGGGCTGCTGTGGGGAAGGGAGGGGCAGACTGGGGACAGGCTGTGCTGTGTGTGGGGATGAGGGGGTCCCTGCACTGCCGCGGGCTCAGGGACTTATCACAGCCTCCTACCTGGCAGGTGTCAATGCCACCCTGCGGGTACCCAGCACACAGGTTGTCAGCATGAACGGCCCCTGCATACCAAACACCCACATGGGCCGTGCCAGCAGCAGAGGCCACGGAGCCGTAGTCGAGAGCAGCAGAGCTGTGGTCAGAGGCCATGGGCCGGAGCCCGCAGGTCCCTCTGGAAGCACAAAGCCATCACTGACCTGCTCGGTGGCTGCTGCTGCTGCTCAGGCTGAAAGTCCCACCTGGTCCCTGAGCAGCAGCAGGGCCAGAGAACCCCGAGGGGCATCTTTCACCACAGTTCTGCCAGGGAAGTCCCCAGGTGTTCCTCCAGCTCCCTCCCAGAGCCTGGAACCACTGACCTGCAGGTGTCCCAGCTGCCCCACACGGGCCCGGCCAGGGCTGGCAGGATGAGCAGCCACAGAAGAGCCATCCGTGCCAGCACAGGTGGCAGAGCCAGAACAGAGGTGTCAGCTCCAGTGCGGCCACCGCCACAGCACCCACAGCCTTCGTGGTGCTCACAGTGCCCGGGCCAGGGCCGCTGTCACAGAGGGGCTGGTTCTGAGTGCTGGGCAGGGAAGGGAGGGGCAGCACAGAGTCATAGAGACATGGAATGGTCTGGGTGGAAGGGACTTTAGTGACCACCCAGTGCCATCCCTGCCATGGACAGGGACACCTTCCACTGTCCCAGGTTGCTCCAAGCCCTGTCCAGCCTGACCTTGGGCACTGCCAGGATTTCAGCCCCAGGGCCAGCCCCAGCTGCTCTGGGCACCCTGTGCCAGGGCCTGCCCGTACTCACAGTCAGAAATTCCTTCCTAAAGGAATCTAAATCTGATCTGCCCACCTTCAGCTTAAGGCCATTTTTCTTGTGTCCTATCACCACACGATCTTGTCCGAAGTACCCCTCCAGCCTTTTTCTAAGCCCCCTTTAAGTACTGGAAGAGGCACCAAAGTGTCCCTGGAACCTTCTGTTCTCCAGGCTGACCTGCCATAACTCTCTCAGCCTGTCAACCCTTCTTCCCACCCTGAATGAGTATTTTAAACATGGTGATCCTTGCTGCAAAACAGCAGCGGTCTACAAATTCACCTTCACCTTTTACATATGTTTATTTTACATATCTATTTCAGAAAGGCACCTGACTTTGATTAAATACCTCGAGAAATTGAAGTTTACATTTTTTCCTCCATAATTTCTTGAAATACTTTGTGGGAGGATGGCTGAGGGTAAAAAGATAACAGTATGAAATTATAGGGGAAATTACAGTTGCTGCTCTCTGGATGGAAGGCAGTCAGCATGCCTGATGTCCCTCACACCGCACAACCAAGAGAATCCCCTGCTGCCCATGCTATGGGATGAGACCAGGACAGGAGGGTTCTAGGCGGGGTTATGTCCAGCTCCCCATCCACCAGCACCCCCAAGTCCTTCTCACAGGGCTCCTCCATCTGCTCATTCCAAGCCTGGATGGATTCCAAAGTTTTTTCCAGGCACAGCATCTGCACTTGGTCTTGTCAAACCTCATGAGGTTCCCACAGGCCACCACTTGGGCCTGTCCAGGTCCCTCAGGGGGCAACCTGCCCCACTCAGTTTGGTGTCACCTGCAAACCTGCTGAGGATGCACTCCCTCCCTTCATCCTTGTCATTAACAAAGATATTAAATTCTTCCTGCACATCTGTCCCAGCTTCTCCCTTCCCCTTTGGGTGGGACATCACAGGGGTGTTGGACAGAGGGTGGCCAGCAGAGCAGGGGGGTGATCCTGCCCCTCTGCCCTGCCCACATGAGGCTGCTCTGAGCTCCACAACTCGGGAAAGACAAGGAGCTGCTGGAGAGGGCCAAGGAGGCCACAAAGATGATTCAGGGTCTGGAGCATGTCTGTTGATGAGGGGCGACTTCAGGAGCTTGGCTTGGTTAGTCTGGAGAAGGCTGAGAGTGGATTCCATCAATCCATACAAATATCTCAAATCACAGAATCACACAGAACCACAGAATCAATTACAGTGGAGAAGCCCTCCTAGACCATTGAGTCCAACCCTGTGCCTGGTCTCCACTTTGTCCACCAGACCAGACCACTGAGTGCTACATTCAGTTGTTCCTTGGACACCTCCAGGGACTGGAACTCCATGGGGCAGCCCCTTCCAATGCCTGACTACCTTTCCATGAAGAATTTCTTGAACTCCACCCTGAACCTCTTCTGGCATAACTTGAGGCCGCTCCCTCTTGTCCTGTCCTTTGTTCCCTGGGAGGCTGAGCCTCCCCTGGCTCCGCTCTCCTGTCAGGGAGTTCTGGAGAGTGAGAAGGTTCCCCCTGAGCCTCCTTTTCTCCAGGCTGAGCCTCTCCAGCTCCCTCTACTCCTCCTCTAGGCCCTTCCCAGCTATGTTGCCTTTTCTGGACACACTCCAGCCCCTCAATGTCCTTCTTGAACTGAGAGGCTGAGAACTGGACACAGGACTTGAGGTGTGTCTCACCAATGCCACGTTCAGGGGGACAATCACTTCTTCCCCAACAGCTCATTTTTAGGCACATAGGGACAGGCTGCTCCTGCACCTTAAAGGTTTCCTTCTTGATGTATGCCCAGCCCTCTTGGGACCCTTTGTTTTTAAGGGCTGCTTCCAAAGGGACTGTCCAAATCAGTGTCCAAACTGGCTGAAATTCACCCTCTGACAGTCTGATGTAGAGGTTTTGTTGACTCACCTTGTTACTTCACCAAGGACTGAAAACTCTTTCGTTTCATGGTCACTGTGCCCAAGATGGCTCCAACCACCACATCTTCCAGCAGCGCCTCTCAGTCTGCAAACAGCAAGTCCAGCAGGGCCCCACCCTTGGTGGGCTGCTCAGCTACTGAGTCAGAAGTTCTCTTCCACACATTCCAGGAGCCTCTCAGCCTGTCTCCTCTCCACTGTGCTGCTTCCAGCAGACATCCGGCAGGTTAAAGACCTCCAAAAAAACAAGGGCTGGCAACCACGAACCATCAGCCAGCACTTACCTCTCCATCCTGGTTGTGGGGTCTAGAACAGACTCCCACCAGGTATCTGCCTTGCCAGCCTTCCCCTTGGTTCTCACCCATGACCTGCCACTGAGCTCCAGACAGCCAAAACCCTCCCTAACGTACAGAGTCATCACACCACATCTGCTGCCTCACCTGTTCCTTCTGAAGGGCTTGGAGCCATCCACTGCAACATTCCACTCATGGAGTCATCTCATCACAGTTCCATGACAGCAGAGCTCTACATCAGAGCTTTGCTGCTGCACCATGGCCTCCAGCTCCTCCTGTGTTGCCCACACTGCTGCATTGGTGTAGATGCACTTTAGCTGTGCCATCAGTGTCTCCCCAGCACTGGCCTGCTGCCCCCAGCTTCATTTCTAGGGAGTGTGCTCTCATCCCCCTCTCCCTTCAAACCTAGTTTGAAGCCCTCTCAATGAGCCCTGCCAATTCACAGGTTGGAACCCTTTTGCCTCTTCTAGAGGTGAACCCATCTACCTTCAGCCTGGTGCTATACACACCACCTCATGTTCAAAAAACCCAAAATTCACCAATGGCACCAGTCTTTAAGCTACTTTTTGATCTCATGGGTTTTCCTGTTCATTTTGACATTCATCCCTACTACCAAAGGAATCAAGACCACCACCTCTTGTACCTTGTGCTCTTGTCCCTTCAACCAGGCAACCCAGTGCCTTGAAATAGTTTTTTGTTACCCTGGTACTTTTCTCATCAGGACAATGAGCAGTGGGCAGGAACTGGTGGGTGAATTAGAGCAGGGAGTCTCTCAGCAATGTCCCTTGCCTGGGCCTCAGGGAGACAGCAGACTGTGGGATAGGTCTGGTTGGCATACAGGTCCTCAGCCCCGTTCAGAAGTGAATCACACACAAATACCCTTCTTTCTTTTTTCTTTAATAACTGTAGCTGTGATCTGTCTGACTGACTGCACTGATCTGGGACACCCACCAAGTAGACTTTCTTCTCCACTGTCAACTATCTGACCCTCAAAATCCAGGACCTCGTATCAGTGCTGTAAGGGCACCTGGGAAGGCGAGGGAAGCCAGGAGGGGTTCTGCTACCTCCCTAAGCAGGGACCTGTTTCCATTCCCCAGCTTTTAGGTCTCCTCCTGCCTGATGGCAAGAGGGCCAGGGCTGCTCTGACTCTTGCTGAGCTTTCATGCACTGCATTTCTCTCCTGGATGGAAGGGTGCAACTCCACCAGTCTGTTTCTCCTTGGCAGTCCTTGATAATCCTCAGCCTCCCCACCTCCTCTGTAAGATCCCCCACCTGTTCACACCACATGCAGTGATGTTTCCACTGTCCTCCAGCAGCAACAGTAGGCTCAGACACTCCCTGCAGCCCGGTGCTTCTAGGGGAGCTCTGTCTGCTTCTCCCCACTCCTGCAGCTATGGCTTTTGTCAGTGTGTGAACTACTGCTGGGTCTAATCAAGTTGGACAAGTGAAAAAAACAATCCCCACCTGAGGAGAGCACACCTCAAGAGTCAGGAGGGTGGCTATGCCCTTCTACAAATGCTACTCCTTGAGCTGCTACGCCACGTCCTGCTGCTTCACGTCCCATTTGGCTGCCCCAGCCACCAGGCTCTGGGTCACCTGCACAGCCTGGAGCCATTTCGATCTCCCCTGCTCCTGGCAAAGCCCCGCTGTGTGCCTGATGGGCTGCCAGGGCTCCTGAGTCCACGTGGAGCTTTGGACTGCTGCTCACATGTCCACACTAATCCCTCACCCGAGGGGATTGCACCAATCCATACAAGTATCTGAGGGGGGATCCCACCAACCCCAGACCTCCCCAGGTTATGAGGATGGTGTCAGACCCAGCCTCATCCTGCCAGCGACAGGACGAGGAGTCAGGCCCTGAGCTCCAACAGTCCCAGCTCAGCATGAGGAACATCTTCCCTCCACCAGGGAAAGGCCAAGCCCTGGGAGAGCTGCCCAGCAGGGTGAGGGGTGTCCCTCCATGGAGACATCCTAACCCACCTGGACAAGTGTCACCTGCTCAAGGCGACCCTGCCTGGGCAGGAGCTGAGCTGGATCATCACCAGAGGGCCCCTCCCACCCACACTGTTCTGGGATTCCGTGTGTGATAAATGTGTGTGTGTGTGGTATGTGTGAGACACCTGTGTGTGAGACACCTGTGTGTGAGACACCTGTGTGTGGCACAC